AATGACGATTTTCTGTACCATAACTTTCCTGTGAAATATGTGAGGCGGGTGTTGGAAAATCCAAAGTGGCTGCTACTGACGGTATATGGTCTCATATTAGGTCAGTAACAACCATCTTGGATTTTTACTGACTGTATACAGGCTCATATGGGGGTTAGTAGTTCTGTTCTCCAATTGGTCAATCTCACTTTGAGGTATTATGATGGAATATATTATACCTGATAAAGTAATGGTTTCAGATACAATTCTTCTGTTCATTGCATCAAAATTCTTTATGAAGTTACATTATTGGGTAATTATTAATGGAATCACCAGTAGATTGGAAGAAAACATGTCTATAGCTGATAGCTGCTTCCATCTTAATTTAGGAAAAAATACACCAATATTGAGGACAGTATGAGATTTCTAGTTCATCCTGCATAATTCACCATAACATTACAGCGAAAAAGTACTGTTTTCTTCCACTTTTGACCTTCCCTTCATTTTGTAAAAGTCCAAATACCACCAGATGTCAGCTTATCCCTTTTTGTTGAGCAACCCATGCTTGTCAAAAGAGGCGACTAACGGGATCGGGTGGTCAGGCTCGCTGACTTGGTTTATGCATGTCATCGATCCCAATTCCGTGGGTAGATGCTCATGATATCAGTCACTGGATTGTCTGGTCCACACTTGATCATTTACAGACCGCCGTCATATGGCTGGAATATTGAGTGAGGTGTTAAACAACAAACAATCAATCAGTCATTGAGCAGTACCTTGTCATCAAGAGATTTGACTGCCATTTGTAACTTTAATGCTTCAAGGAAGGTGACACAGTGACAAAAGGAAATCCATGCATACTATAAGTACCAGGTACATTTTAATTTATTTTTTTATTGATAAAACTCCAAGATATACATTTGCTTACATATTTTCTCAATATACAAACCCATTTAAATCGTATTGCAGTACTTATTGTTGAAGGTATGCTGGTATACTGGTAATACCGTGCAGTCGTATGGTTCAATTTAGTTACTGTAAACCAGAAATATTTCCTTATTTTCTTGTGAAATATATCTAGTATCAATACTTATGCTGCCATCCAAGCCAAGTCACATTCTTACTATTTTTCTCAGTGTATTAATATCATCAAAAGGTTGTGATGTAAACCTTAATTATTTTCAGTCACATACAAGTTATGATTACCTCAACAAAACATCATTAATGCAATAATCCTAATGCTGTCATTGAAGCTAAATCCACTGAAGATATTTCCCTGTGCATCAGTATTTAATGCATTTTGTTGTGATGCTGCTGCTGACCCAGTTTTCCTGAAGGACAATCCTGCCCTTTGCTTGTTAGCTGGCAGTGCTGTTCAGTGACTGATGGTGATTTAGATAAGAATATCACATGAGTCTAGGAATAGTGAAGACCCAGGAAGCCATGCTGGCATTTTGATATTGATTCTTGTGTGGATAATGACTCCACTCGTCACAAAACCGATCAATAAAATGGCGAATATAGAGAGAAATGGTCTCAGGACAAGTGTGTTTGATATGTGTGTATTGATTGATCATGCTTTTAACAGCCTCAACACAGCAAGTTGATTCTTTTGACCCATTCAATGTTGGCATTCTTCGCTTGTCACATGGCCCCAATTATAATTGAGGGATAATTTGTATGAAATTTGATCCATTTAATGATACCCCAGCAGTGCAGAATCAAGTTTAACCTTATAATGTTGATGCATGTTCATGCATTGATGTTGAGTTGTTAAACTATTGAGTTCTTTCAAGCTGTTTCCTCTGCTTTATATGGATAATATATTTGTTAAATGTTAAAAGAATTCTTGTAATAGGTTAGTTTATATTCTTCGATACAGTTGATTTTTTACTCTAGAAAAACTGTACCCTTTGTCCTGTGTGACAAACGATTGGTGCAGAAACAATTACTTAAGTACTTGTTTCCATTTTCTTCTTTGTGAGATGTGATACAAGTTTTATTTATTTAAAGGTTTGAGTTTGACACATGTAAAACTGCTATAACTATATGTAAAAGAATTGATTAGATATTTCATCAGGTCAGAGGTACCAATTTCTGTTGAATACCAAGGATCAATACACTTTTGTTCTCCCACAAGTAATATGTTTAATCTCAATCAACATTGCCAAAATAAGTAGCCATCACACTCCCCAGGTGCTTGTTTAATATTGCAAATGCAGACAGTTTGTGAGATAGTTAAGATCTAAGCATATTTCATTTGCCAATTTTGAATTCAACTGATCATTGTGGGAATTTAGTATTGTATATATCTGACGGAAGAATAAAAGAACTAATGAAATGATAGTTAAGGTGTAATTACGATAAATGTATGTAAACTTAATTTCGGGCGTGTAGATCAATATCTGGTGTGTCCATCATATTGGATGATACATGCACGACACCATGATGGCATACTGTTGATTTGCTTGTGTGTGGTTGCCCTTGGTATTGCCCGCAATTCCGCCTGAAGAGCTACCCTAAGCTGGGCCACGTTGGCAGATGCTTGGTCTGTGGTGTACATTCTCTGCCAGAGAACATCCCACTGATGCTGTTGGTGACATGTCAGAGGACTCAGCAGGCCAGTCCAATGTCCGTATACCTTCTCCTCATCTTCATCTTCATCTTCATCTAGTCATCTTGCAGTTAGAAATTTCTGCTGATAATTTCGTCATCATATCACTGGCCAGTCAAATGTCCATTCTGAATTACCAAGTCAATTCATCTGTCATGTGTGATAATGCCCCATACCATGACACTACCAGCCCCATACTCATCATGATGAAGACATGTTGCCCTGGCATACCTCTCGCCGCTGCATTGCCAACGTTAAGAAATTACACTTTTTCATTGCCAATCATTGAGGCAACTTGGGATATTCCCTTCCTCTACCGACAATTTGCCATTTTGTCTGTTCATTGAGATACTGTCTTTGAACATTTTGAGCATTGGCTCATTTGCATTTGTGATTGTGACTTCCCCTATGGGCGCACAAAATTTAGGCTTTGGTGTGCACGTGCATACATGCTCTTCATGCATGACATGAAATTTCATTGTGATTAGATGTGTTCAGATGTAACGCCATGGTTTTGCAAATGTACATTCAAAATCATTAGTTCCCCTTTTTTTTGGTCACCAGTATGTATGTATTAAGTTCAGAAGTTGTATTTAGATGATAATTTCATATTCAGAAGATCTTCATTACTTATTTTGTAGCTATTTTGAATATTATCTGGCTGACTGATTTACTTCTTTAAGGTCCTGATGAGGTCATGTAAAAATTTATGCAAATTCATGTGCCTGTGATCTGATGCATTTGTAATGACCAGTGCCTAGAGCATTAGTCAATTTCAGCCAGATGTTACCGTTATGTTGTCTCTGCTTAGTGAGTGGTGATGGGTTCTTTGATACTATGCAGTATCAAATTCAACTAATAACTGCCTGTTGATTCTTTCAGGCAGTAGGCAGCTGTAGATAAGGTTAGATCATGAACTGGCTCTTGATGTGTTCTCTGATCGTGTTTCATGGGCTAGTAACGATAATGGATTGGTGTGGATCACCTCAAAACTCAAAACTCAAAACAAACTGAAAATTCATTGTGTCCAAGGGTTGCATATTATGATTTAAGGATATAATATTTATTTTGGGACATCCTGACTGTTCATCACCCTGTCAAGTGAGCTTTTGTCGTGGCCTGTTTGTCCGTAGTGCATCATAAACATCTTCTGAGATACCACAAGATCCATAATGTGAAACTTCACATGCATGTTCATACCAACAATGACATCTTAGTTTGTTCAAGAGGTTGAATCTGAATTCAAGCTGGCTGCCACAGCAACTATACAGGAAGACCTATTTGTGGCCATTACACAGCTATTTTGGTTCAAAATGGAATATTTGGTACTTGTGTAGTGGGGATCAACATTTTTGTTCAGTGTTGTTTTGTTTTTTACAATATTTTAAACTTTGATCTTGATTTGACTTTTGCACTTGCCCATACTGCAATTTGGAACTTCTAATGGCCATTACACAGTCATTTTTGTAAAGAATGTAATGAAATATGCGATGAATGTAGTCAGTAGTGGGGTTCATAATATTCTAAATATTGACCTTTATTTGACCTTTACCCTTATCTTGCACTATAAACATCATCTCCTCAGAAATAACTGTACCAATGGCAGTGAACCTGAAATCTCAAAAGCTTGTTCCCAAAAATGATGATATCAATTTTGTTCAAAACTTTTGAACCTGATATCTTTAATAACCTTTATTTGGCCACTGCTCAACTATTGTTTCTTAAAATATACTGTATAGCTCTTTCTCCTTATGGACCCATGAAGATCCGCGGTAGAATAGGTCTTCAGCAGCTCATGCTTGCCGGAAAAAGCAACTATGCTTGTCGTAAGAGGCGACTAACGGGATCGGGTGGTCAGCCTTGCTGACTTGGTTAATGCATGTCATCGTATCACAGTTGCGTAGATCGATGCTCATGATGTCAATCATTGGATTGTCTGGTTCAGACTCGATTATTTAAAGACCGCCGTCATACAGATGGAATATTGCTGAGTGTGGTGTTAAACAACAAACTTTCTCCTTAGCCCTTATGATAAAAATGATATATACTTTGTCCGAACCATTAGATTTAGTTCCCATATTTATGTTGATAACTTCTTTTTTAAGTGTATATCTTTGTTGACATTTTAAACTGATGACTACATATCCAGGTGAGCTACCATGTCATGGAAATGTTTTGTGTCATTTAAGATAGGTGGGCTTCTGTACCACTGGTAATCTGGTGTGTATGGCATTTGAGCCATAAACATCATTACTTTGGTATTTCTTCAAATTTTATCAACAAATAGACATGTATACATTTATTATTTTGATCTATACTTATGTACCTTATATCAATGTTTCTGATAATGTGCTACCTGAAATTTGATGCAAAAATTAAAGATATATTTGTAAATTTGTTACCATAGGTGCTGATAGAAATGTGTTCACACAAGTGTTCTCAAAGACTCTGCTTGGAGATGCAATCTCAGCATGTTCCCAACCTCCTGAACTGTCCATCCAGACTCAGCCTTCAGTGCTGGGTAGCGTGAGCAACACCTCCAAGTCACCCCCAATCCTCGACATCTCCTCTTTCATGGGTGGTGATGGTGGTGCTTCAGATACTTCGTCCCTACAGTCACCGACAAGTACAAAGGCAGCAAAACACAACTCTTTGTCTGACTGTAGCTCAAGATCTCAGTCCATCACACCCGAAAAAGTGAAAAAACAATTTGTGAAAAAAGAAAAACTCAGCTTAGGGAAATCAACTAAGAAGTCTTTGAGTAGTACAAATGAAGATAAATCTTCAAAGTCAAAATCTCAGAAAGTGTCCGAAAGTGTTTCTTCTGAGAATGTGTGTGACAGTCAACCTGTTAGTGCTGTGATTTCTGATAGTGATGAATTGTGCAATACCTCTGCGGATAGTGTTGATGATACTATAGAGTCTGTGATACGAACTGTGTGTTCGGAATATGAGCCTTTGCCTACTCCACGCCATAAGAGGAAAAAGTTATCTTTGGATAAAGATGGGACAGGAAAGAGGAAGAAAGTACGACGTCAGCTTGACATGGACGACAGGTGAGCTACATTAAAGTTAATGCATTAAGTCAGCTTCAACTTGAAACATTTCCCACTTCGACAAGTATAAAATCTTGAATTGATTTCCTGTTGCCATATATTATTGGAGGTATGTTTTTCTTCAGTTTCAATGTGTGTCTTATAATTCTGTTTCTTAAATTAAGAAAAGTTATATACCCATATCTAGAATTATTATATTATATATTATATATAATTCAAGAAGACATGTTCAGCATTTTCAAAGATTGAGCTTATATATCTCTCTTCTTTTGAATTTGAGATTCCAGCTTACAAGGTGGCACCGTATATGCTTCAGCAACTTGATGCTTATAAAAGTTAACCATGGGTACCAAGATGGAACTGATTATTTGGTTTCAGCATGTTTCCACCCTGTAGATCTGTTCTTTGCGAGATTCTATTTCATGGCCAAGTTAGATTGGGTAGCAGTACTTCAGTGACATAATGATATGCATGTTTATTACCAGTTGAAAGCTCACAAAACGTATCACAAAAGTGTGGAAGAATACCACACAGTAACATTGTAATACTGGCACTCTCTCACAATAAAGTAACTTAGCTTATCTGGTGATTTTGAGGGAGAGAAATTACCAGCTGTTGTAGTTAGAGCTTGAAGTAGGTGATTATGTGTTTTAGTAGCATTTGATGTGGGTAAGTCTTCAGGTTAATTTAAGTGGGAATTGTATGACGTTAGCAACTGTTGCAAACGGTGCAGTAGCTGCATTTTATTGTTCCACAAGATGGCTTCGCAATCTCTGCTGTAGGAATTCTTTTCTTAGGATAATAAAGGTAAGGTCAGTGACTTCCAAGGTTCATATATGCTATAATGGATAGCAAATGCTTTGAAGGGTAATACATTGTAATAAGTATTAACATGCTGCATGTGTTTATGACAATATACTTATGATATAAGATATGATTTCTCTGATGTCTTGTCTGAGAATGTGTATTTCTTTTAAAGGCATAAAAAAGGCATGGTGGTGACCCTTATGACAAATTTGAACTATGTGAACATGTCGACAGTCAAATATAACACTAAGGTTACTCATCACGGATGTCGAAACACAAAAATCTCCTTTATTCACCAGCTCAATGTATGGGCTATCAGGGTTCAAATCTCGACAATCTTCACAATCCTTTAGACCCTGAATTTCAGCTAATTTCCAGTTTCCTGAAAGCCCTTTGTTGTTTTATCATATCATTATGCAGCATCAGCTATTGTAGCATTATCATTGGGAAACAGATACTTATACTACATGAATAATATAATTATTGAATTATTTTTTAGTGTTTAAAAGCAGTCATTTGTAGCAAAATTAGACTTTGTTTGCAAACTAGCTCTTTGTATTAGCTTAGATATGATGTTGTTTCAGTCAAGAAAAGGGTTTCCTATTTTTAATAGACTTGATAATCTTGGACAAGCCATCCTTTAGGTTACCAAAGAGGACAAGGTGACAGATTGCCATCATACCTAATGAAATCAAGCTGGACAGAGTGTAGTGTAGGGGATTTGATTATGGTAAAGCAGAAGGGATGTTTGATATATTTGATAACTGAAGTCATTGCTTCACGATGAGACATCAATTCATTTTGCTGTGTAATTAAATGCTTGAGTAAAGTTTATGGTCTGTCAAGTTTGATGAATGCCCTATGCCACACATCTTCATGACCTGATGGCATTTACAATTTCAGGTCGTGTTTCTTTCGCACTTTTGAATTTACGCATTTGTTAATGTGATGGCTTTAGTTCGTGTCAAGGAGCGCGCCTGTTGAAACCAAAGCCTTTTCATCATTTAGTAGTTGATGTAATGGTAGTGTGATGATAAAAGAATAATGTTGTGAGTAAAATCACTTGCTGAAAGATCTTTTTATCTTTCTTAGACATTCAACAGAAGAAGAAAGTGAACCAGCTTCAACTCCTGTGATAAGACGTACTGACCCATCTCAGCCACCCAGAAAAAGATATCAACGTGTGGGACTCTTCTCTGACTTCTACAAAGATGATGAGTAAGTTACTCGCGTTCAGAACAAATTGCAAAACCTTGTACTGCTGGAGCAACTTTAATAGGAAAAGGCAATAAATAGTCCCAGGCAGAGCTACAAGCTTGGGAAGTCTTTTGTTGAGCAGTTGGTTTCAGAGATGTGCTTATTGTTCACAACCTGTCATGTGTGTTTTATTTGTGTCCTGTGGGGCATGACAATCTCTCGGGGGAAGGCCATTGTCAGAGCTCCACAGGGGACATGATATGTGTGGGGATAATATTCAACCACTTAGTGTGCTGTAAACCACGCTGTATTATCACAAGTTAAGTGCCTTTTATACACACAGTACATTAAATGGATTCGTCAGTAAATTCTTGTGGAAGTATTCAATTATCGGACATGTCATGTATTGTATTATGTGGTGGAAAAGATTATATGAGGGATATTCAAACATTGTAATTTGATAGTCACATGAAATAATAAATAGGAGCTTGTGTGTTTGTCAATGGTCTTATATATACTGTGCCTGATAGTTACCTTACATATTGTTATGTTGTGATTTGAAAATACATAAAAGAGCACAAAGAACAGGTGGGGGTAATGTGTAACTGAGGATAACAAATATAAAACAAATTCACTGACAAAAGAAATAAAATGGAAGTAGGTTGAAAGAAAGCCTGGATCCCAACTTCTCAGAAGGTCTTCTTTTTGTTTTGTTAGTCGTATTTGAATTCAGTGATAAATCAGTTGATTTGAAAAGAGGCTGTGACAGTACTTGTATTTGGTTTAGCCACTGTTGCTGTAAGACTGCTTTGTGCCAATGGCTATTGAGACGCTTAATTGACTAGAGACCCCTGTCATGTCTTTCACCAGCAAACAGTAGCATTGTGCTAGATTCCCCACTGGTGAGATGGGCTGTACAGCTCCTTATTGAGCCTTGTGAACTGCAGATTGTTGGTGCTTTTTCTCAGTAATTGACAAGGGCGTTCGGTTGAGCGTATGGCAATCGTGTTCGCATAATTACATTGCTTCAGCGTGTCTTTTGAAAGGATCAATCTTGATCTCTGGCTTGTAGCTCCTTCATTGTCAATGAAATTAGACAATTACACTAATGATACTTGGCATGTTATTGTAGTGTGGAAATTTATTTCAACAGCGCCTGTGACATAGAAATGTACAGATGTTAACTTTGTTAAGCTGAAAATATTGATCCTGCTGTGAACTCTGTGAGAGTAATTTTAGTAAATAAACTTGAATTAATCATTATAGCGGAAAGGTTACTCTCTATTGTAATTTGAAGTTCTTTGAATTCGATTGTTTTGTTTTTAGAAAATCAACATAGCAAGTAAAGATTGCATTCAGCAATGCAAGTGTAGCTGAAAGGAACATATAGCCTCATACCTGACAGTTATTGTTGCAGGTGCTAAAATGTTAAGCACTATTTGGTTGTAAATAAACAGCGAAAATGCATTCTAATTTTGTCATTTAATTTTGGATATTAAATTTTGTTTAAGTGTCAAATATTCATAAACCTTCCTGGAAGTTAAGTTCTAGAGGTTTTCTGCCATAGTATTTTTACTCTAACAACATTCGAAGACTATTATTTGATTCTCTGGTTATTTTGAACAGTTACATTTACACATAATTACGCAAATGTAGGCATACATCATTCTGAGGCAACCACCAAGCATTTTCATGTAAACTATTATTTTCCCAAAACAAATGAAAGCATGATAAAATCTCCAAATAGCTAAACTGGCTAATTGAACTGTTAAGTCTTCCGTTGGTATTGGAATGTTATTTTTCTAAAGATCTTGTGTGACTGGGCCATGGTCAATTGCAATGCATGAATAATTCAACAATTTGTTGGGCCCCCAGTTATTCTCGATATTCAATTGATGTTTAGGATCTTTATAAAATTAAGCATTTCCATTGAAGAAAAACTTAAATCAGTCCCCATACTGGAAAATAGACCAGTTTGAAGCCCTATAGCAGGTACTTTCATGTCTTATTTCTTAAAGTTACACAAGATATTATTTATCGATTGTGATTGATTGTGAAGAACAAGCCAATCATAACTTCTTTAAGAGGCATTTAGAAGTTTAGAAGTTGGTGTACCATCATCTCATCAAAGTGCCAAATCAGTTATAATCGTTTTGTTTATATTACTGGCTTCACCCTTTTGTTTATATGACTGACTTCACCAGTCAATATGTTTACTACCCTTATTGTGTACATAACAGGCTTCTCCTCTCCAGTGTAACTACGTCTGATATCTACTGTACTGTATAAACACTGCCTCCTACTTGTACATGTACTTGTCAACCATACGCTGCACATCTCTTGCTTGATAACGGTGTTAGAACCTCCACCAAAACGTTGCTCCTAATTGTAATAAAGAAGTTGTTCATCCATAAATCTTATCCTTACTTAACTCTTATAACAACGTAGGCCAGAACACCAACCAAGCCGTAGTCACGTCAAAATAGTATGTAATTTTATTAACCTACCCACAAGTCATATCATTCATTTATTACATCTGTTACATTTCACAATGTATTCCGTTTCAATTTATCATTTTTTATCGATAGATTAAAAAATTATTCACTATTTCCCTCAATGTCATTGAAAATAAAATTCTCAGACACACACTTCGACAACGGTTCCACATTGAACATGTCAAAGAGCAAAATAAAGACTTACGTCTAAGTTATCATTTCCATCTTTTCGTGCATTCGCGTGTAATGTAAGTCAAATGGTATCTCGGCTCGGACACGATGTTTAATGCCAAAATATATGCATGAAAAATCTTTGTCACAGCTCGTAACCTAGCACGATACGTCTACGAACTTCCATAATTTTTTACAGGTGGTGATTCCCTGCTAAAAATGTTCAGAATAACACGACTTAACAAAAATCTCTCGTCAAAGTGTGAAATTCGTCATATACGAGGACGGTACCATAGCTGTAATTTGATTGGCTTCCTTAGCTCACATGCTCAAATTTGACCAATCACGAAACTTGTAGCAGATTTCGTCAAGAAAGCGTCATTAGAAACCAATTTTTATCCAATAAAATCACACGATATAGCTACACCAAGACACCAGGCAATGTTACGACTGTGTAGATAAAAAAAACCAACTTTCTAGCGATGTGTGATATGGCAGTCTTCGGCGAACGTGTTGTTCACAGAAAGCCTCGAAAACCGAGGTATTTCTGCATGTTACTGAGCGGACAGCCGCTGTTATCGAGAAATGGGTGATGACAGATACTGTTTATAATTCTTTTCAAAATAATTTCCAATTACGTAAACAATAAAAAATTAAAAATAAATAGGTAACTGGATTTTATGAAATTCTTATATTTGCCGAAAATCGTCAAATTTTAGCTTCCTTGGTCCTTAAACTGGACGTTATGAATGCGTTAGCTTACTTTTTTTATTTACAACAAACTTAATTAAGTTATAAATGCATTATTTAAATAATGTGATAAACATAACTTTCATATTTATGAACAATAGGATTGGACCTTTCAAATGGTGTTTAATGGTTATAAATGTATAACGTGTAGTAGCAAAGATGTTTTACAGTCAGATATTTTCTTTGATAAATGTTGGCTTCATCTATCACACAAGAGTCTCTGGGACCTCAGTGTCACAGCAGTAAACGCTTCTGGTTGACTGGTGTTGAAAGAGTTAAGCCAATTATAAGCAATGATCAGTGGTCAAATTTTAACCTATTCCGAACACAACTTGTAAGGCAATATTGACATTAGTTACTGATTAGAATCAGTTTGTATGAGCAAAGGTTTATTACCAATGATCAGTGATGAAATATTGACCGATTTAATGCACTGCATGAAAGTTAACATATAATAACCCTTTTTGAAATACTCATTTGCTATGTCAAAAGGATCACTAAGACATTTAACAACTTGAACAAAGCCTTCTCAAATCTTAGATGGAACAAGCTGTCTATGATTCACATCCAGTCTTTTGGCCATGAGTCATATGTTGATGTCAGGTTTTTTACTGTTTGAAATTTGACGAATCATCATTTTGCACTCATTTGAGTTCATAAAAAATGTGCACTGAATCATTGAAGTAATCAAATTGTGAGCAGAAAAGATGCCGTCTTTTAACAATTGCAAAATTTGTTACCCTGTATTCTGAATTGTTAAATTAATGACTCACTTAATCTCACCAATATGTTAATTACTGGCATGATTGTCTGATGTGCCACTAAAATGATCACCAGTTTATCATTTAACAGCTGGGACTTTCATTCAAACAGTCAAAGCATCTTTATGCGAAGTCAAACCAAGTTTGTACTTGCAGGGATACGAGGGACGTTCAATAAGTTTTGCAACTTCAATATAAGACCAAGTCGCAGAATATCTTTTGCACTTATATTTGTCAATATAATCTCCATTCACCTCAATATACTTTTTCCATTTGTCCTTCAAGCTTTTAATGCCACTTTTATAGAAATCTGCAGATTGGCCCTCTAACCACACCTCTGTGGCAGCCTTTATGTCCTTGTCATCCTGGAAGCGTCTTCCACGTATGGCAGATTTCATTTGCCGGAACAGGAAATAGTCACTGGGGGCTAAGTCTGGGCTGTAGGGTGGGTGATTTAACTGTTCGAACCCAGACTTAGCCCCCAGTGACTATTTCCTGTTCCGGCAAATGAAATCTGCCCTATGTGGAAGACGTTTCCAGGATGACAAGGACATAAAGGCTGCCACAGAGGCGTGGTTAGAGGGCCAATCTGCAGATTTCTATAAAAGTGGCATTAAAAGCTTGAAGGACAAATGGAATAAGTGTATTGAGGTGAATGGAGATTATATTGAAAAATAAAAGTGCAAAAGATATTCTGCGACTTGGTCTTATATTGAAGTTGCAAAACTTATTGAATGCCCCTCGTACTTTAGACATGAGTTAGATCCTTATTGCTGAGATTGGCATTAATTGCTGTTTATGATGTTTGTTTTGCAGACCAAAGAAAAGATCTGACAATATGCTGAAGTCCAAAGATAAACTAGTTTATGTTCGAGAAGAGCATAGCCATGGTTTACTGCCTCCCCCTCTTCACGTAGGGAAATATCTCCGAGAAAGGCAAACTGATTTTACGCTTCCCTATGATGTATGGTGGATGTATCTTCATAATATGGTAAGTAGTTTGGTCTTGTGAAATTAAAGACTAACTTATGAAAGCTGAAGGGAAAAGCATTACATTGAATGATGCATCCTGACTTTGACATAGCTCGATCTAACCATGATTGAACTATACTTTGAATGTTTGCCTGTGCTATAATTCAACCTGTATTTCTGAAATATCCTTTTCCTGAAAGAGGCAGTAAGAATTTCAAGTAGATAGCATCTGTGTGTATCAGACATCTAAACGATGTGCCACCATAAGCTAAATCAGAATTTGGGGAGTATGCAATTCATTATTATTGTGGAAAACTATTGTCACTTGTTTGCCTTTATTACAATTTCAGTTGCCAAAGAGAGAAGAGCCAACGCCAAAGTATAAGAAGATACGGAACAGTAAGTATTGTAACATTGTCAGTGTAGTTTACAGGTGTATCCTGGAAGTGGAATATTCAAGACTAATTTCGTTAGGGAAAGAAAGAAAGTGTAAAGGAGAAGCAATGTTGCCATTCTATTGAGGACATATTGTCAACAGTTTTAAAATATGATTTAACTATGAAAGGGATGATTAGTTTAATAGTTTGCAAACATGAGCATCTTCATCTCTGTTTCAGATGTGTATGTTGATCTCAAACCAAATGCAGGAAAGAAACCAGAGCCACATTATTGCCAGTGCAAGAAACCAGCTGACCCAAACGAAAAGGGATGTGGAGAAGATTGCTTGAATAGGTACATTTCAGACCATACCATGAACTATGTGGTAACATTACCAATGTTGACAACAGAGAAAGGAATGTGTTCCTTGAGCTGTTGATGGCCAAATAATTGTTTGCAAGGTAAAATGGCCAAATCTAGGGGCTTCTTTATGTCATTTCTTACAGTTTAATCAATGCTAATAAACATGACTTCAACTTTATGACAGTGTTGGGATCATTTCTGTATTGCCCTATGATTGGTCTAATGAGTTGGTGTTACCTGTTTGACAGAATGGTGTTTACGGAGTGTAGTCCAAACAGCTGCCCTGGTGGGGAGAACTGTTCAAACCAGAGGCTCCAGAGACATGAGTGGGCACCAGGCTTGGAGAAGTTTGTTACTGAGGAGAGGGGATATGGTGTCTGCACAACACAACAAATACCAGCAGGTGGGTTCGGATGACGAAAAGAGAGAACCATTTGGGCTCAGGAACTTGAAAACTTGATACAAGCAGAGCCCTTTTTCCCTGTGTGAAATGTGTGTTAACTGCATATCAATGTTGTATCACCTTTTGGTTAAGAACAGAAGTATATTGTCTTAAGATAGAAATTATATGTGTTTATTGGGCTGTTTTGATGATTGGAAGAAGGCAAGAACCAAAATCAGTGCTTATGTAGAAGAGACTGTTTGGATGGATAAGAATGTAATGATGAATGATTGTGGATGAAAGTATGAAGATTAGATCGTCAGGACAACATGTTAAAATACAGAAAATAAGTTGTCTTGTCAAACCTCAAGGGATATTATTTTATAATGACAGTTTCAGTGTTCTATTAACCTGATTGAGCTGGACTTAACATTTGCGTGGACAAGAAACAAGAAAGGATGTGAATTTTTCATGTTTGCCCTTCAGGAAGCTTCATTTTGGAATATCTGGGAGAGGTGGTCAGTGAGCAGGAGTTCCGTCGCCGGATGATGACAGAGTACTCTCAGGAGCGGCATCACTACTGTCTCAACCTTGATAGTGGTGCAGTCATTGATGGCTACAGGATGGGCAACGTTGGAAGATATGTCAACCATAGTTGTGAACCCAACTGTGAAATGCAGAAGTGGTAGGTTTTGATTTGTTAAGATAGTTTGTCAAGTTAATGTTTTAGAAATATTAGATAGATAGACATACCAAACTGAACATGCAGATGTATTTTCTTAACAAAGTGTATATGGTGATGTTGAAAAACTAAAGTAGACGACAGTTAACAATACCTTTCTCCATGTGGCAGGAATGTGAATGGCCTGTACAGAATGGCTTTGTTTGCTCTTCGTGATATTGAGGATGGAGAGGAACTGGGCTATGACTACAACTTCCACTCCTTCAATGCTGAAACTCAGGTAGGTGATGAATAGACACGGGTTTTATAGCATGCATTTTGTTGAAACATCCATCTGTTATATGTACTGCTGAATCTGTGCAGCATTATTTTTCCAAACACAATGCAATGTTTCCTTCTCTGTAACAATATCAACACGAGTTTAGCTTCATGTCAGATGAACTTCATAACCACTTAGATGTGCACGGTAGGATCTGCTGATCTTGAGTTTCAATCCAACTCTCCTTGATCATTTTGTGATTTCCTCTCCCATTATTTGGACATGCTGTGATAGAACTGTAGTACTCTTCCAAGTGGCATTGAACGAAACATTCACTCTAATTCAATCATTAACTTGGGAAAACTTGTATCTGATTGGCTGATAGTCAGGTCATTGGGTATGAAGAAAGTATTGATAAAGAAATGGATCATGATGACCTTTATGATAATAATTAATCTGAAACTTGTTGTACATGATCTTTTCGTGTATGGTGTCCGGTCAGTTTGATTTGAGCTCACTTCTGTCTTTGGTCAAGTCATCCTTCATTAGAGTGATTATTGCTGATTATTTCCATATCAGCAATCGTGCAGCCTTTGGCATTGTTTCTGCAAGATTGTTGGACCTGATGATTAGATCTACTATGGCCTGCATTTATTTAAACATTATATCTAATTTTAAATATGTATTATATATTAAACTTTTCAGCAAACTTGCAAATGTGGTGCAAAAACTTGTCGGGGTGTCATTGGAGGAAAAACTCAACGAAATGGGCAGTGCAAGGACAAACCCACCCCGTCCAGGCCAGTTGGTAGACCACCAAAAGACAAGAGAAAATCGAAAAATAGGCTAAAGAAGTTAAAAGATAAGGTATGTACTTTATTATACCCAGACATAAAAGGGCTAGTTGTACCAAGGAATTCCTTCCATTCTGTTTGAAGTTTCATTTCAATATTGGGATTTTCTCATGGGGAAGTGTTTTTGTTCGTTTTTTTAGAAAATATTTTTTTTTACTGTAGGAGTTTTATACTTAAAAATTTGTGCAACTGGAACTTGACAACTACTGCATGGATTCTTTTCTAATTTGGAGTACCGTTTCCATACTAATAGAAGAGTTGCAGAGAAACTTTGATTTTTCTGAGAAAATATTGCTTTTTTCATGTATGTTTTTAACTTAGAAATATTTTTATACCCCCGACCTGAAAGGGCAAAGCTTGCCGATGTCTGTCCGTGTGTCATATTTCACATGCAGAGTATAACTCAGAACCGTTTAATATTTTGTGATGAACCTTTTGATGTTTTGGTATTTCCAAACAAATTTTTTGTGTGTTTTTCCCTGTTTTACTTAGTGTATAGTGGCAGCAATGGGGACATGTTTTTCCAGAAACTACTTACATGAAATAAACTTGTCAAGACTGACTTAAATCCTGATGCCGTTATTTCGTTTGATTCTTTTGGTGTTATCCTCCCTTTCTCCATGTATACTCACTACTATATGAACAAACCAAATTCTAATGTGCCCCATGATAAAGCTGTTTTCTTGTTTATTTTAGAGCTTACTTTTAATTTGATCTAGAATGTCTTGCTCCTGCAAATACTGGTAAAAATGTTACAATAACAATAATGTGATTACTCGTACTTCATTCATTCATCAAACCATTTAAAGGAGGTAGTGTGACCATGCCATGTTTTCTCTTGTAGCTGAAGCAGCATCCGGATCCAAGTAGTGCTAATAGAATCATAAGCCAGACTGTGATAAAACCAATGTCCAACCGAGAAAGGTGCTTTGCTCGAAAGAAAAGTATATTCTTGGTGAGGAACATTGACAAAGTTCGACAAATCAAACAGAAAATGCAGCAGCCAGAGAGAGAGAAAGATTCAGAGAGGGAAGGAACAAGGGACTCAGGAGTCATGAATGCAGGTTAGGACCACATAAATATTTGTTTCCTAGAAGATTCACTATTTAACAGTACTCATAATTACTGTTCCTAGAGGATAAACATGAAATATTTGTAATGTCTGACTTCTTGCATCTTTAATAATAATGTTCCTAATAATTCTGGTCTGGTAAAAAGGTTTTTTGATTCCTGAGAATAGCCTTATCGTTGAAGTTATTCCTCCAAAATAAAGTTCATGTTATATTTTCTTTTTTTTTACAGATCTCTTCCTTACCCAGCTTAATGACAGGTCGGTCAAAACCAGGTGAGTTTCTTTATTTATGTCTGAGGATGTACAGACTCAATGCTTTGCTTCATTGGACATAAAAATATATATTTCATGTTAAATACTTTATGTTCTAACTTTCAAGGAAAGTAAGTTCTGAGACTGATGTTCTTATAGTTCTGACACTAAGCTTTAATAATATTACAATTGTATGTTCTTGTTTTTCAGACTAGTGGCAATGGCGGAGGAGAATCCTGAGCTGCAGAAGAGATACAAACTAGTCAAAGTCTTCACAAGGATTTTTGATGTCATTGCATCATTTAAAGGTATTTAATTTTGGTGTACTCCTTTGGGATTTCAGGTTAGAATTGGACCCCTGCAACTTATGCTGGTGATAAACAACAAACAAAATCATTTTCATTTTTAGTATCCCAGCATTTCAGCTGTATATATAAGTTGTGGATGTATGGATGTTGCTTACTTGACTAGGGGATAAATCTATTGTATGGCTTTATGTTCTTCTTACCTGTTAATCAAAACATGTATTTATGGTTTATTTCTGTATTGCAGATGAAGATGGTAACCTGATTGCAACCCCTCTAATGACCTTGCCTTCTCGGAAGAAAAGCCCCGACTACTACAAACTTATAGATGACCCTATAGACCTGCAGTTGATTGGGAAGAACATCAGCAAGGGGCACTACTCTGACATGGAATTATTAGACAATGACATGAACAAGCTTTTCAAGAATGTTGAGGTAAGAAAGAATGACTGTGTAATATGTGTACCATGTCTAATGAATTTTGTTTAAAGCATATGAAAACCGTAAACATGTTACCATATGTTTCTAAGAGAGTGGTGTAGCTCTAGATAGTAACCTGTGAGCACCTGTCAGTTAAGAAATTTGATGCAATATGTCTTTGTGACCAACTCACATTTGATATGTCACATCTAAATATACCATATTGTAGTATAGCCAGTATGTTGTAAAGGTTGAGATATCGATTCATTGTGGATTAATATGTTCGAGACTACGTGAACTGACTACAGTGACAACTTTTAGAAGATATAGATGATTGCAATGTTGGTCAGAACAAGACATTTAAGTTTAGACTTATCTATCTCACACTATGCATTTCTCATACTTCTTTAGATCCTAAGTAAAAACATGCTTAAACAAAGGTTTCCAGCTTCTAAAAAAACCCAATCCACCCAGACACACCTAGCATCACCATGGTCATGCACCTCCCAACAATCAGAGTTATGCGTGCACACTTTTCATACTGGTTGACACACACGTGCTGCACACATAATTTCCTCAGCCAATTCATTCTCTTTCTTATTATTTTGATTCCCGACATGGGTACAATGTGTGATGCCCATTTCTGTTGTCCCCTGCTGTGATATTGCGGGAATATTGCTAAAAGCGGCGTAAAACCTTCCTCACTCACTCACTCTTATCGCCACTGTGTGGTGAAATGCTCTCGCAAGATAATCCATTTGGCTTTATCCTTTCTAATTTTCCCATTTTGAAGACTTCAAGACTTCTTTGGTTGGACGAACTGGCCGCGAGTGGATGGGTTTTTCTCCTTTCGACCCACATAATGTCTGCTAAGATTGCTGCTGTCACTGCAGCTCACCTGTGCGCTGTTCTCTGTGTGTTGACTTGCCCAACAAATCTTTCAGCATTATCTTCACAAGACTGGCTTTCTAAGTCTGCTGCAGAATCAACAAGAACTCTTCTGCAAAGCAGGATTGCGAAATTGGCATAACTACCTACCGTATATCGCTGTGTATAAGGCGACCCCACGTATAAGACGACCCCCCTGTACACGCCTTCAAAATCCTATACTCTGTGTTAATACAACTGTAAAAACAGCGGGAATTGATTTCAGCTTCACCGGTTATCACATGTTAGGTCACATGTGCAATATGCAAATGCTTACCGGTACTTCCGGCTCTCTACTCACGGATGTTGATTGTTTTACCATGTCAGGTGGTTTGACAATCTGTTTCGAGGCGACGGTCATTTCAACTTTATTTGCAGAAATTATTAAACTTTATTCAAGGTAAAGAGATACAAATCATGTTTATGTATGGAAATAGTTATTGGAACAGTTATTTAGGACGAAATGCGAAGTTTTATTGTCAAATGCTGGGCTGGCTATCGGACGCTGGTTGACATCGCCAGTGGAAAAAATTGTGAGATCTTCGACTCCGTGTATAGGACGACCCCCCTACTTAACCCCCTCTTTTTAGGTACGAAAAACTCGCCTTATACACAGCGATATACGGTACATCTTTGATGATTAGGGAATCGTCTATCCCCTCACTTCCTATTTTGTCTATCGATAACGATGGAGTATCTGTTGTTCCTGTCTTGACTGCTCAGCCCCTTTAAGAGAATCTACTGTCGACGTCCATGGTGACTCAACCTACGGAAAGTTCTGTCAGTGGTATTTTCTTCAACCTCACTCCCAGCTGCTCCATTCGTCGCCCAAAACCCTCAATCTGTTCGTTTGGCACATTTACAGAAATCCCTTGTTGCAAATGGTCACAGAAAGGTAACCAAGACCATTTCTGATGCTCATAGATTGACAACCAAGTCCCTGAACTGCCATAAGTGGCAGGCTTTTGAGGCCTTCTGTCGCCCACATGATATTTCTGAGCCATAGGTCTCTTGGTTGCAGAACTGCAGTCCTTAATTCGGCCTTACAAGTTCTGTATCACTGTTCTGCTCCAGCTTTCTCGTGTATATCCTACGGTTGTTGCCTTTATAGGCTATTACTTTGCGCCCTACCATCCAACTGGGAGATAAATGCATAGTGTGAGATAGGATAAGTTTTAAAATTTGTTAATTTTAAAATAAATTGCATATTTATATACTGATTCTATCGCACACATTATGTCCCCACACATCTATCCCGGCATCACAATTCCTTCAACCTATTTAGCTCTAGAAAGGGAATGAGTTTGCTGGGGAAATGTTTTCAGCACATGTTGGTCAACTGGCATGAAAAGTTTGCATGACCCAGATTGTTGGATGGTGACCATGGTGATGCTAAGTGTGTTCTGGTGAATTGTTATCCCCCGCCGCGCGAAAGCGCGAAGTGGGGGATATAGTATTCACGACCGTCCGTCCGTCCGTACGTCCCACCTGTTTGTTGCCGCGATATCTCAAGAACTAAACACCGGATTGTCTTCATATTTGGAACTATGGTGTATATACAGACTCCGCAGACACCAGTCGGTTTTGGTGACCTTGATCCCATTTTCAAGGTCACAGCAGACAAATCTGCTTTTAGAGTTGGAAAACGGTGTTGCCGCGATATCTCAAGAACTAAACACTGGATTGTCTTCATATTTGGAACTATGGTGTATATACAGACTCCGCAGACACCAGTCGGTTTTGGTGACCTTGATCCCATTTTAAAGGTCACAGCAGGCAAATCTGCTTTTGGAGTTGGAAAACGGTGTAGCCGCGATATCTCAAGAACTAAACACTGGATTGTCTTCATATTTGGAACTATGGTGTATATACAGACTCCGCAGACACCAGTCGGTTTTGGTGACCTTGACCCCATTGTCAAGGTCACAGCAGGCAAATCTGCTTTTGGAGTTAGAAAACGGTGTTGCCCCGATATCTCAAGAACTAATCGCTGGATTGTCTTCATATTTGGAACTATAGTGTATATACAGACACCGCATACACCTGTCAGATTTGGTGACCTTGACCCCATTTTCAAGGTCACAGCAGGCAAATCTGTTTTTGGAGTTGGAAAACGGTGTTGCCACAATATCTCAAGAACTAATCGCTGGATTGTCTTCATATTTGGTACTATGGTGTACAGGCGGGGGATATTTCGTCACTCTGTGACAAATACTTGTTTTAATTAGAAGCTGGAAACCTTTGTTTCCACTTAGTATCAAAAGAAGAATTAGAAATGCATAGATTGGATAAGTATATGAATACACAATTTATTGTAAAATTTACAAATTTGTTACCAGCTAGACCAAGTGAGGGTTTGAGATGTACTGATATGGTTTAGTGCTCTATTCATGATGTCTGATGGTGTATTGTAGAATCAAGAATACTAAACAGAACTTTTACACCTTATTCAACAGAACTACTGTGGTCGCAAGTCAGAAATGGGTAAAATTGTTGTGAAGCTAAGGAAAGTATTTTCACAAGCTAAGGCTGAGGAAACTTCCCAATTGGAGATCATCTTAGGTGAAGGCAGTGTCACACCACCAGTGCTTGAGGCTGAAGTTGTGGAAACACTCGGTGACAAGACCACTGCTACACCTGCAACAACAGCAAGTAAGTGTGCCTGTGTAGTGATTGGCTGAGAATATAATTTCAGGTTATTCAATGTTTTATGTGAGTAGACCATGTTAAGGCTTGATAATCAGACAAATGAACCAATATCAACCATGTCAATGTCCAAAAAGTGTAGCAGTTCAGTCATATTTAACTTATTGACAGGTTCTATGTATGGACCTTTCAAGACAAGTAACTACATCATTCAATACATTAGGCATGAGTCAATGAGTCACGATTATCATCAAGATGTCGGGGGACAGATAACATCTACAAGAGTGGCCGTATGTGACCTAGGTTCAATTAGTAGTGACTTCAGATATACTTCACAGATAATTTATAACCAGATGATTCTGTAAAAAGACATGAAGTCACGTGAAGCTTAAATTACTTTGAAGTATTCATTGATAACAGATTGTGACAATTTCGATTTGAAGAGAGGTATATCATTATTCAGGCGTTTCATATGGTTATACCTACAACTCAATTCAAAGTATTTCTGATTGTGGTGACACTTTCAATGTCTCTGTTATAGAACCACCAGAGGATGAAGAAGAGGAAGAGGTGATCAGATGTATCTGTGGCATCTTCAGAGACGAAGGCCTCATGATCATGTGCGAAACATGTAACGTAAGTGTTATCAGTGCATCGCAATATTCTGCTTCAGTGAATTTTCTATAATATGAAGCGTTGTCTATTTTCTGACTCATAGTATATCCTGGACTCTCCATGAACAGAAGACATGTATATATCTTCCATGATAACATCACATGATGTTTTCCTAAATAAGATAGTTGAAAGCATGTTGTTGAAGGGAGGTAACTCTTGACATTGCAGATATGGCAGCACTGTGACTGTGTGGGAATATCAGGAGATGTGGAGCGCTACACCTGTGAGATTTGTGATCCCAGGCCATATGATAAGGTATGATTATGAGAAGTTAATGTGTTCAAATATTATTGTTTTCTCATCTGTCCTAAAAGGTTGTCTGCCCTGTGGGGATTAGGGTCCCCAGCATCAAACAAGTTGAATAAGTTGGTTATTATTTCAGTTTGGTTCAATGGTCAGCTTTTTTTCCACATCATATGATGGAAGTTGGAATTTAGATAGAATACAGGGCTTGAACATCGATAGAAATCTGAAACGTTGGGGGTATCTAGTTCTCGTAAGGAATTCCATCCGTCCTTCCGAGGACATTTTTTTATGTGCGACCTATTACTTGAAAACTACTGCATGGATTCTTTTCAAACTTGGTGAACACTTTCTATGCCAATAGGAGAGGTGCTGGGCGAAGTTTGATTATTTTAGCTAAGAATGTTTTTCAATGAAAGTGAAACGTGTGCAACCTGTATCTGGAAAACTACTGTTATGGATTCTTTTCAAATTTAGGGAACAGTTTCTAAACTGATAGGGGAGGTGCAGTGCAAAGTTTGATTTTGATATGTGGATTTTCTGAGAAAATATTAATTTTTACATTTTGAAATCAGAATGTTTTTGTTTTTCTTCAACATTTGTGGGACCTATGACTTGAAAACTACTTCATGGATTCTTTTCCATTTGGGTTTATACCAACAGGAGAGGTGCAGTGCAAAGGCTATTTGTTGAAGGTTTGCTTGTTATAATCTTACTGCTAGATGATGTGTCATAGTATTGAAGTTGATGGTTACAATTTCTAGAGACCACACAGGACTAATAGTCAATTTGCATTGTGATAAAAAGTGTTGACATTTGAATGCCCTCATGTTGTAGGAGATCAAGCTTGTGCCTCAGCCCCCAGATGCCACCCCTGGCTGCATGTACTACATGACCCTGATGAAGGATGACATGCAGATCGCTATTGGGGAGTGTGTGTACCTCAACAGGGACTACAAGCGAGGAGAGGGAGCACCAGTCAGATCATCCTCAAGACTACTGTCAAACATAAGTCCTGACAAGCTGGAGATCTTCAGAATAGAACAATTATGGATTGATGAAAAGTAAGACTTAAGAATTTGCAGCTCTCATCACAATCATTTTGTTTTTGTTTAGCATTCTTATATGAATGACCTCAAGTATTAAGATGTATTGTTGCAAGATGATTCTCACTTGGTATTTTCTGTATTTACCTTAAGTCTTATCCAGCATGTAGTAGTAAGTGATTAGTAGGAGTTTCTCTGATGACAGATAATGTTATTTACCTGTTTTCATTGTAGTGAAGAGAGATACATCCTTGGCCATGCTTATCTGAGACCTAATGAGACCTATCACGAACCAACAAGGAAATTCTTCCACAATGAGGTGGGTACCAAAGTTAATTCTATTGGTAAATATGTGTACAATACCAACACAGTAATGAATAGGTGGAATGTGAGACTTACCATCAAATGTCAGTAGTTTAATGTTCTTGTGTGTTTTGCAGGTGTTCAAGTACCCCACCCTTGAAATAGTGCCTTTGGAGGCTATAGCAGGACTGTGCTGTGTGATGGACCTGAATACCTACTGTAAAGGTCGCCCCAAGGGATACCGCTCACAGGACATCTATGTTTGTGAATACAGAGTAGACAAGACAGCTCATCTCTTCCACAAGCTGTCTAAACCAAGGTATAACAGTCTAGTCATGCTTTGATGGGTCTTTAGACATATCACTCTATAAAGAATCATGAAATGTAGCACATATTGATCGTGTTTAGTCAATGTATCCAATGAAACCTTGTTGACTATTTTCTAAATGCCTGTGTGGTCTAGTGGATAGAGTGTCTGCCCAGAGAGCGAAAGGTCATGGGTTTGATTCACGGATGTAGTAAAAGATGGTACTTGGTTTTGCCGTGTCTGTCACTCAGCATTGAGGGATTAAACAAAAACTCTCAGCTCGGAGACAGTATACTCTGTCTGAGTGGGGTATCCATGTTAAACTGCAGCAGGGTATCCAAGTAGGCTAGCACTATAAAACCAGCATAAGCCTGGACTAGTACAAGCAGACACACATTCTGGACCACTATACACATATTGAGTCATCTGTAGTTGAGACATGCAGGGTACTATGATTAGACTCTAGTGCAAATAACTTCAGTGAAACTAAGTTTACATGTCTGTCAGGTGTATGATTATTTCTGAAAGAAGTGCAAGTTGTTTACCTCGTGCTGATAGAAAAAAATGTTTGTTTTCAGGTTTGGTATCAACACCAAATCCTACTGCTTTGACAGATACCCGCAGAAGTTGGTGCCAAAGAGAACCTATTCAGTAAGTTGGATATGATTTCATTGTGTGTCTCTGAAATATATTGTATGGGATCTACACATAACTATAAGAGTATGCCCCAACAATGACACATTCATTTCTCCTGGAGATTCTATCTATCTATCTTTTTTTGCCTCTTTTTGAATTTTGACCTTTAAAATCTTCGACCATGCTGTCAAATTGACCCTTCCCTTTGGAATATAAGTTAGCTGGGTGAAATTTGTTCAAATTTGTTGTCTTTCGAGGAAATAATTTATGGTTGACAATATCACTACATACAACTGTCCCTGAATGTAGATTTAGCAATTTAGGAGAGCTAGTTTTCATCTTTATTGATGATAACCCAGAAGAATTCACCAGTACTAACAGGATATTACATGAGATTCTATTTATATCAAGTTTGTGTGCTGAGTGAAATTATTTTCAATTTTCCCAAGGTTTACCGAGTCACTACAGATGTCTGATATACAGTGTTCCCTCACTATAAAGCCCTTCATTATAGCGCTATCTCTGTTATAACGAACGGTAACGTTTGGTTCCAAAAATTTATGAACATTTTTATTAAGCTCAAGTTTTACACTGACCTTTTTGCCCTTTTTGCAAAAAACATTACCAGCAGATCACTGTGAGCACACAACACCAGAAATACCAATCAACAAATCCTATTATTACACTATCTGGTTATAAAAACATGTTCATTGTATATCTGGACTTAGGTTTCTAACATATTTTATCATATATATTTTCAAAATTTCATTCAATATTGTGTGTGAAGGGATCATTATATACAGCTATTGATGCCTTGAATGGAACTTGAGTTGACAGAATGGATACATACATCATAAATGCCATACTGTGACTCGTTAGAAGTCATATTTGTTGTAGTTTTACTGTCATATGCCAACAAAGCTACTCGCGACTGAGAGTGCGTGAGCCTCGAAGGTGACTGGTCAAATTGTTCCATACGCAAATATGTCTGGCAATAGCGATCAGCTGTACCAAAGTGCTACACTTATGGATATTATTATCTTTAATATATTGTAGAGATGCAAATAAAATAAAACACTATTAGAATCTATTACTCCTGATAAAATAATAGCTTAGTTTACAACACAATACACACCGTAGTCTTCATCTCTGCATATAAAACAATGCCTATCAGAGCAAGAAATACAATTTATGGTAAATCATCAAGCCTACAGATGCCTATCTCAATTTTGTTAAAATTTTATTGACCAGGTTTGTTGTACTTGTTCGTTCGCCTGAATTCCCTGAAGGGATACTGTTTGTTATTCTGAGCATAACATGATAAATCTTTTTTTACACTATGAAACATTAACAGCTACTATATTCTAATCTTTTTTCAAACTCTGAAACATGCATCGTAGACCATGTCAGATAGGCAGAGCAAGCATACACTGTTGTGTTGGTCATCTACCCCATACGACTCCTGCCTTGACTGTACCGCTGATCGTCTATAACACTCATAAATTATTTGGACCCCCTAAGGTAGTGTTGTAGCGAGGGATCACTCTATATACCAGTATGTCATATAATCCTGATCGTACCCATATATACAAAACATAACCATGTTATTACAGCCGCATGAAGTACCAGAACAGTATAAGCGCCGTGGGCCTGGTGAGAGGCAACATGGGAGTGGGACAAGCTCCGTCAAGTCAGACTCAGGATCAGGGCAAGGGCGGAAAGGCGAAGGAGAGAGGGGACGTCCCAGCAAGAATGATGGCGTTGACAAGGGAGACAATCAGGAGAAGAAGCACAAGCAAAAGGATCGCGATTCTGATGCTGAATCCGAGGAAGACCTACCTCTGGCAAGGGTCAAGGAATTAAAGGTAGATGCTTGATACTTTTGCATATTACAAAAGACTGTAAAAGTTCAGCTGTAAGCAATATTCATACCTGCCCGCTGTCCTAAACATTTCGTAATTGTTGTGAATTTGCAAGTAAAATACAACAATAGTGTTTTTTAATTCCCTTAATTTCCTTAATAAACTAAAATTACAAGGTCTAAATTTTGCGAGACGCCAATAAAAAGAGGTTGTTATTTAGCATTAAACCTTCTGCTATGTGTCTTGTTTAACGACTGGTATGAAGTGCATATATTTTGTTGCTTCTTTCCAGTTGAGACGCTCCACTCACATTATCAGAAGTTGCTGTAGTCAAATAGAACTTACATGATAATATTATCAGCTGATTTTTTAAATCACATGGCTGGATTGTCCCCACCACGATTACTGTTTGTAATTTGGGAAAGTTAACAGCTAATAATATTTAATGCCCAACATGTATAACTTTGTTTTCATGTTTTGTCATTATTCCCCATTCGTATTCCCTCACTCTTTAAACTACAATATATGTGGTAATTTATTTTCTATAAAGTACACACAATTTATGGATAACAACTTCTTTATTTACTGTATAGGTGACATTTCAGTATAGATGCTTATACCGTTGTCAAGCATTGCTTGTCACCTGTCAGCTTCTAAGATATGCCTATCAGACAATTTAATTCATAGCTTGTTGTAATGATACAGAATATGTCTGCTGTCTTTGAGATAACATGTTCATTTGTTTTCAGAAAAAGGAGAAAAAGGAACGCCTGAACAAAATCTTGATGAAAATGCTGGGCAACATTCCTGGTAAACAAAAGATTGACGTGACATACCTGTTGGAGGAAGGATCTGGGAAGAGACCAAGGAAAAAAACACAGACACACTTCTGATAAGAGATTGAAGGAGTGGCATATGCCAGGTTTGAAGTGTACCTATATGAAAAAATGACTTCTTGTGTTTTTCATACTCTTACATTTGAAATCGAGGCTTCTAGAGACTTTGTAACTGATTTCTACAATTTCAGTATGTGTTCTTATTTATTGACAGTGATAGTTTCAGTGTTCATGCAACTTGTGCATCAAATGCAACAAGAGTTCACTGTGTTCAGAATGTTTGTGAAGACAAATCCTTGTCAATAGGGCTAGCGTGTATACCAAACAGACGCAAGTGTTTGCCATTTGCAACTTTTACCAAAGTCTTTGTAATCAGACAAGCAGGATATGGAGATCCTTTTCAAGTGTGAACATGCTTGTAAGGCCAGACACCCACCTAGAAGTAGAGGTTTGATCATGTTTGTTGAGATTGAACATCACTAACAATATTTCAAGTTAAAATGTGGCAGCTATGAAGTTAGACAAAACCTGGTTGAAGAAATTCACCCACACACAACCATTTTCATTCAGTTTTTAGTTTCATTGCATGGCGTGCTGTTATAGAGAAAGTGAATTTTTTATCTGTCCAGGGAAGTACACGGCTCATTGCTTTGATGTGGTTCGGAAAGCTGGTTTGTTCATAAAATACATTTCAAAGCAACAAGAACTATTTTCAATGGAAGGTCCTCAAGGAATGCATAATAAACTTATTTTAAGAACAAAACAATTGGTTTTGTGTATGTTTCTTTGGATATGAAAGGGTAGCTTTTGAATGATACGATTACATCATGAAATAGCATTAAAGTTCTAGAAATTGCTTTCATGTTTGCGCCCCCACTCGTTCATTCAGACTCTCTGCGCATTCTCAGTCCCACTCATCAAACTTGATTCAGGAACAGGTGTCTGGCTATGGTTAGTGTGATCACACGTGGTAGTTATTGTGCCTCATTTGATTTGAAACTGAATGTGGGCATTTCAGTTCTGGTGAGGATGTAGCTATTTATTTGTTGATGAACAAATTGAGATTTGTTACGTGTTATATTCTGTGGACATGAAGCCCTACTTAAGTGCCATGATTTTAACTTGATGAGCCCTCAGGCTCTAGCTAGTTGTGAACAAGTTGTTAATGTTTAGAGGAATTGTTGTAGAGGACGTTCAATGAAATTGCTATGAAATCTTCAGAAATATGAAACAAATACAAGTTGACTTTGTTTATTTTTGTTCAAGGAACTATCAAGGTGGAACAGTTGTTATGTTTAAGATGCAACTTTTGATGCAGTCATGTTTGTTTTGTGAGGATAAAATCTGATACTGTTACTTTTGCCTTACCTAACTGATAGATGTACTTTAATGGAGCAAAAAAACTGACTATATTGCATATTCGTTTGATATTATGTATCAGTCCTTTGTTATTCTGTGAATGTAAGGTATTCTGTGTTAAGATAATTCTCACAGGCATTTTGGTGCCAATTTTGCCGACTTCACAACAGCCTTTTAAAACATTAATATATGTAACAAAGATAAATTGTGATGGCTTTTCTTATTAGTTAGTAAATTGAACAATTCCCACCTTTATTTATTGTTACCGTGGAAAGTGGCTAATGTGTTCAATCTGTTCAGATGCACTTATACTTAACATTACTGTAGTGTGATAACATGGAAATCCAGAAACAAACTTCCCTAAAGTAATCAAATAGGTTGGTGCTTCCAGTTATGAACTACCCATCTACAGTATTTAGAAGGAAGTCTAGGCTGAGAGAAGGGACAATGTAGGAATATGATTCTCTTAATGATATGGTGCTGGCAATCTTGGGCTATTCATGGGCTCCTTTCAGACATAATATGGTGGCTGTTTCACATATGAAATAGCCACTCTTGCAATATGGCTGCATAAAAGCTAGTCAAGCAAGTTTTCTCGTCAAAAATGAAACAAATAGGGCAGCAAGAATATTTTGCATGTGACATTTTTATTAGTTAGACATTGATAACAGAAACAGATGAAATCTGCAGTTATCTGATGTACCGATCATGCCCCTTCCTGCTAGGCATTCATTCTCAATTCACGCTGCAATCACATATATTTTCATGTTGGAACTGTCAAAACCTAATTGAGCATTTTGTATATTTCCTGTCACAGCACCTGTGTATTAAGTTTGAGAGACAGCAGTAGTGTTCACATGCAAGGGAGGGGCAGCATCTTGTTTCTGTGTAGAAGAGATCTGTGCTGCCTATGAAGTCCATTTCTCTGTAGTAGATGTCTGTCATGTATTTACTGCATGCACTGCTGGGACGCCCGGGAAGGCACATCCCCAGCCGACAATTGGCCCAAACAATCATGTCCTGCAGTATTTAAAGACCATGAAATCAAATGAGTTAAGAGCTAATGTCCTTTTGAAAAGCATACCATTTTAATGTGTAAATGATACCAGATTTTGCCTTTAGCTTTTCTTGGATTCCTTATGAATTATGGTCACATTCTGTAATTTATGATAGATTTTTAATGGCATCAATTTCAATTGGTTACATGGTCTTAAACTTGTTTGTTGTGTTCAGTGTGATAATGTGACAAAGTTATTGTACAGAAGAGTGAGTGAGTACAAGTGTAATGGTTGTATGCGAGAGTGAGAGCAATAATCTTATTCTATGCAATGGGAAGTGTTCGAAAACATGCATCCCTCTTTGTTGTATATATATGGATTTATTCTAATATAGTTGTGACTTCACTTGCTGAAGAAAGCAGTTGTGCTGAGAACATACTGATGACGCTTGTGCAAGCTTTGTACATATGCCGCCGCAGGAAAATATGCTGCAGCTTATTTAAGTTCTTGGAGGGTAAAGAATCAAATTCAAAATGGATAAAATCATTTGTGTCATGATAGAGTATCAAATACTCAGCTGTATATGTGTAGCTATATTTTGTGTATATATAAAACTATCCCTGCAGTATTTTCCTGACAAGGAGGGGACCTGACTTATCGGATGGTGGGTCAGCCAGTTTGACTTTCTACTTGACCTGTACTTACATAACCTATTCATCCCTGGAGGATGTGTGTATATTTCACATTCACATCCTGTCATACCATTGGTTGTTTTGTAGATAAATATGTATTGTACATTACATTTTGTAGATATATATGTATTGTACATTATATACATACAATTATCATTTTAAACTTTTACCAAATTGTGTTCAGAAGCAGCTAAACCATTTATTTTTGCCAAATGCTTTCAGTTTTGTTCTAGCAAAGGCACATACAATTATCCATGAAATCTTATTTTTAGAATGAAAAGCGCATGAAGCAAATGAACAAAGCGCATCACATGTGATACTCTTGTAAAGATGACATTATTTGTGTCTTTAGTTGATCCTCTATGATCGTCCGTGATTTCAGTCTTCTGTGCACACCTGTTGTCATTTATCAAGGTCATATCAAACCATTTGCATTTACTTTCTCCTCTTTTCATACTAGAGTCCTATATAGAACCATCATGATTCAAAGTGGAGTGCAACTACACCAGATGTTAATAAAACCATAGGTAAAATAGACAGTGTTTTGTTGTCAGTCTCAAGTACATGTTGGTGGCAGCTGATGAAGAGCGAATGGATGCTGATTTATGCTTTGTTTTAGTCTCCAGCCTTGTCATATAGTCCAGTCTTGGGCGGCACACTCATGGTCAATAGCCTGAACAATGCTGCAGTTTGGACAAATTGTACACGTTATTTCCACTCATTTTACTTGACTCCTGCGCCAAGATCAGTGATTTTCCACCTACAGCATATGAAGAAAGTCTCACAATGTACAGATAACCTGCTTTATTTTTTGCGAAAAATGCAGAAGTGATTTGAATGAGGTATGAAATATTCAAAGGAAACAAGTATGTACACATATTTTGCATAGTCATAGTGAACGGTCTGTTTCATTGGTACCTTTAAGGGTCCCTTATTCTAATGTACAAGAAATTATTCAGTGAGTAGCATATATTTTGTCAACCTTGCTTCTAAAGTTTTCAGGCAAAGTAAACAAAAACTGCAAGTTCTTTTTACATGACTAATTGTACGACTAATGGTGAAGTATTTATGTTTGAAGGTATTTGTGTGGTAATGCGTGTTAAGGGACTAAACTAAGGAAAAAGACTATTAGAGATATGCCTTTGACTTCGATTCCATATAAAAACAATGTATCTGCATTGCTATGACAGTGGTGATAATTAGAATCTCATGATATCTTTCTTTGATGTCTTTCAATGACGGACATGCAATAGAGAATGTCAGTGCTACTGGAATGAATTTGTTTTCCAAATGTGAAATCCATGTGATGTCTTGAACAATAGTGATTTCATGAGTTGACTTGCAATGTTAATGGCTATGTACAACTGAGCTGAGCTCCCAAATCAAACATTCTGACTCCAGAAAAGTCAACCCCGGCTCCAAGCCAACATATACAAAGTTTACATGGGTGAGCTATCTTATAGCTTATATCTTAATGGCTGATCATGTGTAAGAATAAGTACTCTCTATGGAGATATGATAATGCAATACATACAGTTAAATAATTAAACAAGGTTGTTTTTTCACACAACAATGAGCTGTGAAGTCTAGTCCTGACTGACCAGTGGTTGCATGAGGAATGATGAGACATAATCAGCTACTGCCCACATTATACACTTTTGTTGTCTCTTCTGACAAGCATTGGGTACTGGGGACCTTCTCTATCGAAGTATCCCCACAGCAAGTTTTTGTTGTCTCTTCTGACAAGCATTGGGTACTGGGGACCTTCTCTATCGAAGTATCCCCACAGCAAGTTTTTGTTGTCTCTTCTGACAAGCATTGGGTACTGGGGACCTGCTCTATCGAAGTATCCCCACAGCAAGTTTTTGTTGTCTCTTCTGACAAGCATTGGGTACTGGGGACCTGCTCTATCGAAGTATCCCCACAGCAAGCATATGTCGGAGAGATGGTTTTCTCTGATGGTCCCCCATGCCAGGTTGACTGACCAATTCACAGTTGAAACACCATCAACATGTAGTTTGGGTCCTGTAACTACAGAATCTAGACATGAAGGGACTTGGTAGCCTCAGTGCAGTGACAAATGCAATGTTAATGTACAGTATAAATGATGGCTACATCCATAACTATAGCAACAAGGAAACATCACCATATAATGCATGTTGAAGTGAGATACAATCTCTTCAGTGACGCAAAGTAACATGACAATACATAAAAAAGGATAACATGACACCTTTCATCATTAAACCAGGTAACATGGAACATCATTAAAACAGGTAACATTAAACCAGGTAACATGGTACATCGTTAAGTCAGGTAACATGGTACAACATTAAAACATGGAACATTAAACCAGGTAACATGAATCATCATTGAACAGGGTAACATTAAACGAGGTTACATTATTAAACTAGGTAACATTATTTTGTTTGTTATAACGCCACACTCATTTAACCAGGTAACATGGAACATCATTAAACCAGGTAACACGGTACATGATTAAACCAGGTAACATAAGACAATACATTAATAAACTGGTTAGCATGACCTAACAGTAAATCAGGAAGTATCACAATTACACCAGTGTTCTTGTGGTAAAGTGTCTGCCTGGAGAGTGGAAAGTCAGGGGTCCGATCCCCTGCCTAGTCATACCAAAAGATGTAAAAAAGATTTTCTCCTTGTTACCCTGTGTGGCATTAGGGGGCTAAAACCATGAGTCAGTATTCTGTGTCTCAGTGGGGTGTTCATGTCAGACTAAGGCATGGTATCTCAGAGGGCCAGCACTATAAAATCGGCATTAGTCCAGACTAGTACAAGCATCCGTAGCCACACACACAGCCACACACACAGCCACACACACACGTCACTGTTGGTGCTATAATCTTGGACACGACATTAAACCCCTCGTTCACATCACCTCACAATGACACCAGGTTACAAGTTAACTTTTCACCAATTTAAGGAATTTCAAAGTAAATATTTGGAGACATAATTCAACATGAATGTGGCCTGAAATGACTTATCTCCCCTTATGTGCAAGAAACGTGTACTACAGGGAATATTTCTACAGTCTGGAAAAATAACACTTCTGACATTTCAAAAATATATGTACCAAATAACAATATACATGATGTGCAAACATTTAATATTGAGGCCTTTCTTGACAATTTGGTTTACAGATTCAAAAACAACATAGAGCCGTCAAAATAAGAATGAAGAAAAAGCAAATTGGAAAAGGATGTTTTGTGCCGACTATGTTTTGATCAAGTTAACAGTCAGTGACCAACCATGAGCTGAGGGACCTTATTGGTAAAAAATCACATTTTGACTTCTTAACATATTTAAAAACTACAGCATCTTAGGCCCATAAAAATACAATTCATAAGCTTTAATTAATATTTATTACAGAGATACATGGCATCAAATATTTTATCCCATTTTCAGACTTATCATACTTATAACTGTTTATGCAATAACTGCAAGTTTATTTATGATTAATTGAATGTAGACATGTATGCTGACATTGTTTTGAAATAATGTTTTTTATTACGTTACAAACTAATGAGAGAAAAATAAGATGCTTTTGTAAGTCTGCACACATAGCAATTCTTTACGAAATTAAGTTGAAGTCAAACGTCCCTCTTTATGACATCGGGGGGTCGGGTAACCTAGTGGTTAAAGCATTCTCTCGTCACGCCGAAGACCCTGGTTCGATTCCTGACATGGGTACAATGTGTGAAGCCCATTTCTGGTGTCCCCCATCGTGATATTGCTGGAATATTGCTAAAAGCGGCGTAAAAACCATACTCACTCACTCTCTATGACATCACAGCACAATTGTATCCTAGCACCCATAAGGTCCCTTTTCTCAGCAGGAAAGTTGTTATATTTTTTCAAAATGTTCATTTTATTATTTTTCTTCAGCACGTCTGTAAACTATGTATTTAAGAAAATCAATGCCTTGTGACAAGATATGTTCCTTGTTCATACAAACCGGGACATGTTTTAAGCACAACATGAAGCTCTGTTAATGCTAATTTGTGAATAAGTACAAAATGCATAATAACAACATTTATAAATGGGTGTCTGCAATATCTATTCTTTTTGTTTCATACCGCTCAAGTCTGTCTGATTGAATAGACAAATTGTCTGCACCATGTGACACCTCACTAGGGGCAAAACTCCCCCCTGCTTTCAAAGCATATAACAACTCGTCAAAGTCGCGATCTTCCATGTCGCTGTGAGATGGGCCGCTGATGATGGACACAGGAGGGTTGATGTAAACTTGAGATGGAAGAGCTCTCTTCACAGTCATCTGACTTCGTGGACCAATGGAATCACGCTCCCATGCCTGAAATAGTGTTTGGTACATGATGGAATATGTATAAAGTGAGCTTAGTTCAGCTAAATCATTTTGAGTTTTACAAGTACATGTAGTCTCCATCATTCAATCACATGCTGTCTTATGTTTATACTGTTTGGAAAACAGAGAACCAAGACGGCATGGGGTGATACTTGTTGTTTCCCTGCCTGGCGCTCAGCATTAGGGGGACAAAACAAGAACTGGTCAGCTCGGAGTCAGTGTACTCTGTCTGAGTGGCCTATCCATGTTAAACTGGCATTGGTGTTGTTAAAATAGACAGAGACAGATTCTTGATACACACTTGTATTTACCAGCAAACCCATAATAAACATCATGCACTTGTACATGTCGTTACTAACTGCCAGTCTGAAGGGATCCAAAATGGCTGCTGTAAAGTCATTCCCAAAACATGTTTTGTATCTGAGGGGAGTTTCTTATTCAGAGGAAGTTTGTATCCACATGTTATTAGGTATCCCAGAAAATGATTTAGCAGGAGGAAGAGTATTCACTGTCACTTGTTTGTAAACATAATGGTCAGTTGGTTGCAAATTCAAGCATGGTTGTGGCCTCCAATCACAGTGAGGAGTTTTGGCTGGTGGCAGCGATAGTATAGAGGGCCCCATGAATGGGCTATCACTGTGAGGAGCTTGCTTACCTCATGTAGAAGGGAGGTGACCCTACTCCCACCTACCTCACACAATTATCGAAATTATCGCTGCCACCAGTCAAAACTCCCTTACAGTGATAGATGACCACAGCCATGCTTGGAGTTGAACTTGCAACCAAATGACCATTATGTTTACAAACAAGTGACAACTGTAGTAATGTTTATGTTTTTGTTTATGTGAATGCAATCATAGTGAATTTTGAAAAGGTGTACGACTGCCCATATTTCCCAGATGAATTTACCGTTTTGTTTGTTTGATCAAATTGGTTCGAGATTGTAGACGAACGGAAAATCAACCAACTTCCCCCTTACATTCTTACTATATCAATTACATTATAGTTGTAATAAAACAGAAATTCAAAGTGACAAAGAAAGAAAATAATTAAGCAGGGGTAAGAGTACATGTATTAAGAGTCATGGCAGTCATCACTTAACATAATAGTCAGTCAGCTGCGAGTTCAACTCCAAGCATTGCTGTAGCCACCTATCACATTGTGGAGCTTTGATAGTGGCAGCGATAGTACAGAGAGCACCGCGAACAGGATATCACTGTGGGGAGTTTGCCTACCTCATGTAGAAGGGAGATAACCCTACCACCACCTACCTCACAAGCTCCTCACAGCGATAGCCCGTTCGCGGAGCCTTCTATACTATCGCTGCCACCAGTCAAAACTCCCCACTGTGAATAGGTGGCCACAACCATGCTTGGAGTTGAACTTGCAACCGAATGACCGTTATGTTTACAAACAAGTGACGACTGTCGTGACACCTAATACACTTACCGCTGATAAATTACTTTCTTTGTTTGTGAATTTGAATTTCTATTTCATTAAAACTATCATCTTTAATTGATATAGTAAGAATGTAAGGGAGAAATTGGTTGATTTTCTGTTAGTCTGCAATCTCGAACCAATCTGATTAAAACAACAAAGTAAATTCATCTGGAAAACATGGTCAGTCTTAAACCTTTTCAAAATGAAATATGATGGCATTCTCAAAGACATAAACAAAAGTATAAACGTTACTAAAATGGGGTTAGAGGGCAAATTTCAAGATTCTTGTAATGGCCGCGCCCACACTGGTGGCAGCGATGTTACCGAGAGTGTAACGAAGGTGTCACGCGCTGGGAAGGAGCTTGCCTACCACATTTAAAAGGGAGATAACCCGACTGCCACCTACCTCCTGTAGAAGAGAGATAACCCTACCACAACCTACCTCATGTAACCCTACTACAACCTACCTCATGTAGAAGGGAGATAACCCTACCACAACCTACCTCATGTAGAAGGGAGATAACCCTACCACAACCTACCTCATGTAGAAGGGAGATAACCCTACCACAACCTACCTCATGTAGAAGGGAGATAACCCTACCACAACCTACCTCATGTAGAAGGGAGATAACCCTACCACAACCTACCTCACAAGCTCCTCACAGCGATAGTACGTTCCCGGAGCTCTCTATACTATCGTTGCCACCAGTCAAAACTCCCCACTGTGAATAGGTGGCCACAACCATGCTTGGAGTTGAACTCGCAACCGAATGACCGTTTTGTTTACAAACAAGTGACGACTGTCGTGACGCCGAATACACTTATAGCTGCTAAATTACTTTCTTCGTTTGTTAATTTGAATTTCTGTTTCATTAAAACTATCGTGTTATTGATATAGTAAGAATGTAAGGGAGAAGTTGGTTGGTTTTCCGTTAGTCTGCAATCTCGAACCAATCTGATTATTTAAACAACAAAGTAAATTCATCTGGAAAACATGGTCAGTCGTAAACCTTTTCAAATTGAAATATGATGGCATTCCCAAAGACATAAGCAAAAGTATAAACGTTACTACATTTGGGGTTAGAGGGCAAATTTCAAGATTCTTGTAATGGCCGCGCCCACACTGGTGGCAGCGATGTTACCGAGAGTGAAATGAATGGGTCACGCGCTGGGAAGGAGCTTGCCTACCTCATGTAGAAGGGAGATAACCCTACCACAACCTACCTCATGTAGAAGGGAGATAACCCAAACACAACCTACCTCATGTAGAAGGGAGGCCCTTGAGCCCTTGAAGCTGGCTGGCCCTGGTGAAGGCTGATAGTGGTAGTGTGGTACAGCTGATGGATGGATGGAGTCGAAGTCATTGATGCTGACGGCATAGCTGGCCTTGTGTGTGCTGTAGTAGGGCATGCAGGGGTTGCGGAGGATTCCATAGACGATGAAGGCGAACAAACCCTAGAGGCAGATGAATCATAGTGAGTAAGTGAGTGAGTGAGTGAGTTGGGTTTAACGCTGCATGAACAGTATTCCAGTTGTATTCAAGTCAATTTAATGTAGAAAGAAAGTGATGTAGGTCTCAGAGTTTACCACTTCGGCGAAAACCATGAGCACAGGTTTGGTGCTGAGAGACCTAGAAACATAATTGCGGTGAACCTAGAGTCGAACACAATCATAGGTTTCCAGCATCCCCAAGGGATGCATTGCAGCGCCTTAGATGACTTGGCCACATGGGTCCCCGAATCACAGACTGTAGTCATAGCACAACAAGGTAATATTCTAGTAAATAATGAAAGTTGACCCATTTAAATGTTTCTTGAAAATCCAGAAATTAGTTTCAGTTTAACGTAAATATTAGTTCATATTTACTTCCTTTAACATACATCCAGTTTATTTGATCTTGAAATAAGCCAGATATTTTAGACTCTTTTGCTATTTCTACAAGAACCATGTGTCATACAAGTGCCATGTTTTTAAAGCACATCTCGTTGATTACGTTACATGCACATTAGGTTTGTATTTGGCTGGATAAAGCAATTGCTTTTCAGTTTTATTTTTTTTAAATGAAATTTAAAAAATATTGCCTCACCAATATGACAATAAACACACAGAACAGGACAATGAGCCACAGCTGGCCGTACACCATGTGTAGCCCAGCCCACAACCAGGCAAACGCCAGCAAGCCCCACACCAGCAGCATCAGCTTGATCTCTGCAAGCAAACACAGGAATGTTAGTCACACACACTAGTGCATGTATGTAATCCCATCTTGGGCCCACCCAACTGTACCCCCTTCTAAAGAATCACTTTCTGTAATCTCCTCCAACACCCAGCCTGATGTAACGCCCTATAGGACCCAGTCTGTTGTAACACCCTCTAGGACCCAGTCTGTTGTAACGCCCTCCAGGACTCACCTATCTGTACCCCTCTAGGACCCAGTCTGTTGTAACGCCCTCTAGGACCCTGCCTGTTGTAACGCCCTCTAGGACTCACCTATCTGTACCCCTCTAGGACCCAGCCTGTTGTAACGCCTTCCAGGACTCACCCATCTGTACCCTTCTAGGACCCAGTCTGTTGTAACGCCCTCTAGGACCCGGTCTGTTGTAACGCCCTCTAGGACTCACCTATCTGTACCCCTCTTGGACCCAGCCTGTTGTAACACCCTCCAGGACCCAGCCTGTTGTAACACCCTCTAGGACCCAGCCTGTTGTAACGCCTTCCAGGACTCACCCATCCCTACCCCTCTAGGACCCAGCCTGTTGTAACGCCCTCTAGGACCCAGTCTGTTGTAACGCCCTCTAGGACTCACTTATCTGTACCCCTCTAGGACCCAGCCTGTTGTAACACCCTCTAGGACCCAGCCTGTTGTAACGCCCTCCAGGACCCAGCCTGTTGTAACGCCCTCAAGGACTCACCCATCCTGTTGTATCTGCCCCTGTAGATGTCATCATAGGACTCCCACTGCCCAGACATCTGGTAGGCCTTGATGAAGACCACGCACACCACGAGAAGGATGATCAGTACTGGCACAATGACTCCACCCAGCGCAGCATACGGATTGGTGATGAAGCACCTGTAAAATCACCAATACAGTTGAGTCATTCCATCCGATTATGCCTATATTGCCCTTTACTGTGAAAACACATGACTATACAACACTTTACTTCAGAAAGAGCTACACTATTTAGTTAATATACACTTCAACATAGCCTCACTATTAAATAACGGAACCATAAAGTATTACACAAACTGTTACTCACATTTCACTGTTATTGTTAACATCTCCGTATATGAAGTCCACAGGCAATGTGTACACATACTTATACAGGTTGAACACCACTGCATAGAAAATTCCTACTACCAACAAGGGCAGCCCTGAAACAAAAACAGCCTGAATCAACGCTGTGTTCAAGTATCAATAATAACAATCTGGATTAATGACACCTCCAAGTCATCAATAACTCAGATTGACTTCAAATTTTGAGTTTATGCACAAACTGTTCTTAAAAATGAGTCACAAAGGTTCAATATGTCCACCATCACATCATCAGCATATGTTAATTATGTCTTGTAACATATCCCAGTATGACCAGTTTGTTGTTTGTTGTTTGACACCACACTTAGCAATATTCTAGCTATATGGCAGCGGTCTGTAAATAATCGAATCTGGACCACATAATCCAGTGATTGATATCATGAGCATCACTCTACACAATTAGATTACATGAATCAACCAAGTCAGCAAGCCTGACCACCCAATCCTGTTAGTCGCTTCTTACAACAAGCATAGTGGCCAGTTATGAAAAGCATGGGTTACTGAAGACCTATTCTCTACCTGGATCTTCACAGGTCAGAATGACTCAGTACTGATAATAAATGACTGGCTTCCTTTACAAGAGTATGATTGAATGAGTTCATGTTTGCTTTTGCTGCCATTGGCAATATTCCAACCATTTCATATTATCCTGTTAATATCCAAGTCTAGGGAAGTGGTTGATAACAGGGGCAAGGATCCACTCCGTCAATGACTCGCTATAGAGGGGTAAGGATCCGCCCCGTTGATGACTCACTATAGAGGGGCAAGGATCCACCCCGTTGATGACTCACTATAGAGGGGCAAGGATCCACTCCGTTGATGACTCACTATAGAGGGGCAAGGATCCACCCCATTGATGACTCACTACAGAGGGGCAAGGATCCACCCTGTTGATGGCTCACTATAGAGGGGCAAGGATCCACCCTGTTGATGGCTCACTATAGAGGGGCAAGGATCCACCCCGTTGATGACTCACTTTAGAGGGGCAAGGATCCACCCCGTTGATGACTCACTTTAGAGGGGCAAGGATCCACCCCGTTGATGACTCACTATAGAGGGGCAAGGATCCACCCTGTTGATGACTCACTACAGAGGGGCAAGGATCCATCCCATTGATGACTCACTATAGAGGGGCAAGGATCCACCCCGTTGATGACTCACTATAGAGGGGCAAGGATCCACCCCCGTTGATGACTCACTATAGAGGGGCAAGGATCCACCCCATTGATGGCTCACTACAGAGGGGCAAGGATCCATCCCATTGATGACTCACTATAGAGGGGCAAGGATCCACCCTGTTGATGAATCACTATAGAGGGGCAAGGATCCACCCCGTTGATGAATCACTATAGAGGGGCAAGGATCCACCCTGTTGATGAATCACTATAGAGGGGCAAGGATCCACCCCGTTGATGGCTCACTATAGAGGGGCAAGGATCCACCCCGTTGATGAATCACTATAGAGGGGCAAGGATCCATCCCCGTGAAGGCTCACTACAGAGGGGCAAGGATCCATCCCGTTGATGACTCACTATAGAGGGGCAAGGATCCACCCCGTTGATGGCTCACTATAGAGGGGCAAGGATCCATCCCGTTGATGACTCACTACAGAGGGGCAAGGATCCACACCATTGATGACTCACTAGAGGGGCAAGGATCCACCCTGTTGATGACTCACTATAGAGGGGCAAGGATCCACACCATTGATGACTCACTATAGAGGGGCAAGGATCCATCCCGTTGATGACTCACTATAGAGGGGCAAGGATCCACCCCGTTGATGGCTCACTATAGAGGGGCAAGGATCCATCCCGTTGATGACTCACTACAGAGGGGCAAGGATCCACCCCATTGATGAATCACTATAGAGGGGCAAGGATCCACCCTGTTGATGACTCACTATAGAGGGGCAAGGATCCACACCATTGATGACTCACTATAGAGGGGCAAGGATCCATCCCGTTGATGACTCATTACAGAGGGGCAAGGATCCACCCCATTGATGACTCACTATAGAGGGGCAAGGATCCATCCTGTTGATGACTCACTATAGAGGGGCAAGGATCCACCCCGTTGATGACTCACTATAGAGGGGCAAGGATCCATCCCGTTGATGACTCACTATAGAGGGGCAAGGATCCACCCTGTTGATGACTCACTATAGAGGGGCAAGGATCCACCCTGTTGATGACTCACTATAGAGGGGCAAGGATCCATCCCATTGATGACTCACTATAGAGGGGCAAGGATCCACCCTGTTGATGAATCACTATAGAGGGGCAAGGATCCACTCCACTGATGACTCACTATAGAGGGGTAAGGATCCACCCCATTGATGGCTCACTACAGAGGGGTAAGGATCCACCCCGTTGATGGCTCACTATAGAGGGGCAAGGATCCACCCTGTTGATGAATCACTATAGAGGGGCAAGGATCCACCCCCGTGAAGGCTCACTATAGAGGGGCAAGGATCCATCCCGTTGATGACTCACTAGAGGGGCAAGGATCCACCCCAATGATGGCTCACTAGAGGGGCAAGGATCCACCCCATTGATGGCTCACTATAGAGGGGCAAGGATCCACCCCGTTGATGAATCACTATAGAGGGGCAAGGATCCACCCCCGTGAAGGCTCACTATAGAGGGGCAAGGATCCATCCCGTTGATGACTCACTACAGAGGGGCAAGGATCCACCCCATTGATGACTCACTATAGAGGGGCAAGGATCCACCCCATTGATGACTCACTATAGAGGGGCAAGGATCCACCCCCGTGAAGGCTCACTATAGAGGGGCAAGGATCCATCCCGTTGATGACTCACTAGAGGGGCAAGGATCCACCCCGTTGATGACTCACTAGAGGGGCAAGGATCCACCCCATTGATGGCTCACTATAGAGGGGCAAGGATCCACCCCGTTGATGAATCACTATAGAGGGGCAAGGATCCACTCCGTTGATGACTCACTATAGAGGGGCAAGGATCCACCCCGTTGATGAATCACTATAGAGGGGCAAGGATCCATCCCGTTGATGACTCACTACAGAGGGGCAAGGATCCACCCCATTGATGACTCACTATAGAGGGGCAAGGATCCACCCTGTTGATGACTCACTATAGAGGGGCAAGGATCCACACCATTGATGACTCACTATAGAGGGGCAAGGATCCACCCCGTTGATGACTCACTATAGAGGGGCAAGGATCCACCCCGTTGATGAATCACTATAGAGGGGCAAGGATCCACCCCGTTGATGAATCACTAGAGGGGCAAGGATCCACCCCGTTGATGACTCACTTTAGAGGGGCAAGGATCCTGTTGATAACTCACTATCAGCCAGTCTCACACTGTCACCACTTAATACCAACTATTTGTTGGATCTTAAGACAATCATGGGTCCTGGAGCAGATTAACTTCAGGGTGACAAACTGTCATGATGCTCACTTTCTGAGAGTTTAAACTGTTTCAGCTCTTGTTTATTGATAGTGCAGCCACTGATGGAGTCTACAACTTACCCCATCCGAGGAAGAAGAAGAGCACATACTTCCTCTCTGTATGCTCGTCATTCATTACAAGAAGTTTCCACAGGTTCACAGCCTGAAATAAAATCAGTTGGCAAATGATGTTTACTACAAAAACAAATACACTCACTATAGTGTATTCTGACATTGCAGTTAATCAGATCATGATACACCTGTAGCTAACGAGATTCTTACCAGTGTCATGATCTGGGGAACTGAGAAAGTATGCAAGAACACCCCACCTGTAGCTATTGAGAATCTTACCAGTGTCATGAGCCAGGGGAACTGAGAAAGTATGCAAGAACACCCCACCTGTAGCTATTGAGATTCTTACCAGTGTCATGATCCGGGTGAACTGAGAAAGTATGCAAGAACACCCCACCTGTAGCTAACGAGATTCTTACCAGCAACATGATCCAGGTGAACTGAGAAAGTATGCAAGAACACCCCACCTGTAGCTAACGAGATTCTTACCAGCGTCATGATCCAGGGGAACTGAGAAAGTATGCAAGAACACCCCACCTGTAGCTAACGAGATTCTTACCAGCATCATGATCCAGGGGAACTGAGAAAGTATGCAAGAACACCCCACCTGTAGCTAACGAGATTCTTACCAGTGTCATGATCCAGGGGAACTGAGAAAGTATGCAAGAACACCCCACCTGTAGCTAACAAGATTCTTACCAGCGACATGATCCGGGTGAACTGAGAAAGTATGCAAGAACACCCCACCTGTAGCTAACAAGATTCTTACCAGTGTCATGATCCAGGGGAACTGAGAAAGTATGCAAGAACACCCCACCTGTGGCTAACGAGATTCTTACCAGTGTCATGATCCAGGGGAACTGAGAAAGTATGCAAGAACACCCCACCTGTAGCTAACGAGATTCTTACCAGCGTCATGATCCAGGTGAACTGTGCCACAAAGAAGTAATGCAAGAACAGCCCCATGATGATACACCTGTAGTTGTTGTCCGTGGTCGAGGTCACAAGGATGAGCTGACTTTTACTCAGGTAGGCCGACAGCACCATGCACAGCTGTGGAGGAAACAGGACATGCTAAAGTACACACAGGACTTTACAACAAATAGGATCACAAGCTGGGCATGGAATAGACTCACATACACAGCAGGGTGCCGTTGTACAAAACAACCTTAAGGCTACCATGATCGTAAGGCCAGTTAAAGTAGGGGAGTTGCGATCACCTTAGCGCTAAGATCCCTTTGTACAATGGCACCATGGTCTCCAATCTGTGGTGGGTTCTCTAATTTGTGACAGAAATTTACAATTCTATAGTCCCATGACATCTTGTCTGATATACTGTATTCGACGTAATAAGCGCCCAAGGCGATATTTGCTAATATATTGGCTAGTGAACAATCCCAGTCACCACTCCTTCCGATTGATCAATGTACACAAGACTTATTTATTCGTGTATAATACGCACTCGTGTGTTATATCACCCTTAATTATGGGCAATTAAATTCTTGAAAAATATATTTGTTGTATGTAAACATTTCAGGCTGTTAGCATAAACCACGAAATTTACGATCTTTCAACTCAAAATAATATTCTAATAAGCTCCCCCTATTTCTAATTTTGAGAGCACCCTGGGCGCTTATTACGTTGAATACGATAAGTACCATACTCATGATGTCATTCCTGCCATGACATCTTGTCTGATATAAGTACCATACTCATGATGTCATTCCTGCCATGACATCTTGTCTGATATAAGTACCATACTCATGATGTCATTCCTGCCATGACATCTTGTCTGATATAAGTACCATACTCATGATGTCATTCCTGCCATGACATCTTGTCTGATATAAGTACCATACTCATGATGTCATTCCTGCCATGACATCTTGTCTGATATAAGTACCATACTCATGATGTCATTCCTGCCATGACATCTTGTCTGATATAAGTACCATACTCATGATGTCATTCCTGCCATGACATCTTGTCTGATATAAGTACCATACTCATGATGTCATTCCTGTCTTGACATCTTGTCAATGTGATGACCTCTAGGGAGGCTGATCAGTTTTGGTGTTCATTTTTCGGGGTCCCACATTCCCCAAACACAGGATGCAAGTATTGTATCCTCAGTTATACCTGTGTAACCTTACACCTAGCACAATTTGAAAATGCCAGGTATATCAATTTGTGATTGTTTTACTATTATTTATTTTACTATACAGTTTACTATTAGTTCAACAATTATCCCTAAAATCTTGCCAAATAGAAAATGATACAATGAGTTGGTTCAATGCTGTTTTGAACAGCACTTCAGTTACATTGCAGGTTAGCCCAATGCAACACTAATCATGGACGTTACCACCCTGGTGAAACCCACAAGCACAGGTCTTGAATGATCATGATCAGGGCAAACGGGGATATGAACCCATAGTCAGCATATCCTGACATGGCCAAGGGATGCAACTCTGCACAGTGAACTGTGATGCCATAGACTACTGAGTCCTGGGGCCATGATGTGTTACAGACAAATCTTAACAAGTAAGTTGAGCTTTGTGCCACTCACAGGAATATGGTTTCCAATTTCAAGGATTTGACAACAGGGAAAGGTATTTTGTGCGGAATCCAACCCAGGACTGGAACATCATCATGAATGTTCTATCTGATGGAATACTGTCTTCCATCCTTACCTGAGTTGCAAAGGCAGCAAACAGAAGATGCATGAAGAGACTGGCGGATATCATGGGTTGTGTGAAGCAGACGTGATGGAGGATGATCACAATCAGAAGACAAGCCTGCAACATGAAGGAAGACGTCAGGTGAAGTGAGGTTAACGTTCTGTCCAAGATTATTGCACTTATTTAGCGATAAGCATGCACGAGTGTGTGTGGCTGCTTGTACTAGTCCGGACTGATGCCGATTTTATAGTTCTAGCCCACTGAGATACCATGCCAGAGTTTAACATTAATACACCACTCAGACACAGTATACTGACTCCGAACAGACCAGTCCTAGTTTTAGCCCCTTAATGCCGAGCGCCAGACAGGGTAACAACAAGTACCATCTTTTAACATCTTTTGGTATGACGTGGCAGGGGATCGAACCCCAGACCTTCCACTCTCTGGGTGGATGCTCTACCACTAGACTATGGAGGCGGTCACATAAAGGAAGACATTGACAGATAGACAGAGACATTCAGTCACATACACAGAAATCGAGAGTCACCTTACTGAGAGGCCAGACAGGCCTATATGACTGTCTTACACAGTACACTGTATCTCAGCCAGTCCAGGGTTCACTTGCACAAAGTGATCTTAACGCTAAGATGATTGTAACAGCCAATTCAAGACTTTAAACACATAATAACTAATGGATGTCCCTTGATTTGTTTTCAGTGTGTTACAGGATTATTTCTGTACCTAACGGCCGCCTGAAGGAGGTGTACCTACCATACAGACTGCACAGCAGATGTAGAACCACAGCTCATAGTACACCAGTCCAGGGTCCATCGTCTTGGCGATCACAGAGTAGCTGGTCATGTGATTACACGAACACCCCACAAAGTCTTCGTCTCCCAGAGTGACAGCATTGGTCACCTTGCATACATCTGTGGGATTTGTCCACTTGGTTGCACTCTCATCAAAATACACACACCTGCAGTAAGTCAATGTGACGGTTATATGTTACTCCCAGATCATTCTGCAGCAATAGTGCAACTCTACCAGATCAGTCTGCTGCAATAGTGCAACTCTAACAGATCATTCTGCAGCAATAACCCAACTCTACCAGATAATTCTGCAACAATAGTGCAACTCTACCAGATAATTCTGCAGCAATAGTGCAACTCTACCAGATAATTCTGCAGCAATAGTGCAACTCTACCAGATAATTCTGCACCAATAGTGCAACTCTACCAGATCATTCTGCAGCAATAGTGCAACTCTACCAGATCATTCTGCAGCAATAGTGCAACAAAAGAGTCCAACAAAAGAGTACGTGGACTGATCTGTGACTGACTTACTCTGCTGTGGACGTGGACACTCGCCGGTCGGGACTGTGGATCTTGAATGTGACCGGATCTTCTGAATATCCTGATGACTGACCCTTGATGCCAATTGATATGATCTGTGAAGAATGAGCAAATTAATTTTATGAGCCAGATTGTGGATCTGCCTCAAGTTGAGTGCCTGATAGTTGATATCTAGTCCCAGGTCTTGTTTTAAGGGAGTGGTCATTTATTATAGGGGAGGGGCAAGCCCTGTGAGATTCGGGGGGGGGGGAAGGGAGGATAACAGCCCTTTTTGAACCCACTGGAAATGTATAATTTTACAGTTTGGAAAACTCTGCAATAGTGGCATAAAGTTGGTCAGACGTGTTCTAATGACATCTAGCCAGTATCCTTCCTACACTTGCAAGTTTTGTACTTCTGGCATGTTCAAGTACCCAAGAATGGGGAAAAGGTGCAAAAGGGGAGAGAAAATCAAAGAATGAGCAAGTCCAATATCCAAGATGATTGCTTCGCCATGTTTGTACTGTTCTTATCTACATAATCAGCCCCATAACTAAATCAGCTTGTATCAAAGACTTTCTCATGTTCAAATATACAAGAAATGCTTTCTGAAAACCTCTAAAATCAACCTTTTGATCATATTTTAGCCTTACAAGTATATTTGTTATTTGTCCCAAACATGCATGTGTTGAACTGAACTAGGTCTTGTCGACTCATGTGAACATGTCTGTTCCAACAACTTCCCAAGTTTTGTAATTTCTTAAATGGTGCAGACCCTGTGGCCCAAAATGATTACTGCAGTATACTGCAATGCCCGGATGAATCCTTCTCTTTTCCATAAAGTTAGGGATCTCAACTGTATGACAAATTGTGACAGCTTACGTTGCTGTTCAGTGGTTGATGGTGGAGGGTTTTCTGGAGATCTCAACTGTATGACAAATTATGACAATTATGACAATTATGACAAATTATGTCAGCTTACCTTGCCGTTCAGTAATGCTTGAGGGTTTTCTGTTTGGTACCAAAGGTCGCTGTTATATTCTATGAAGTGAACATCCTTACACTGGAAATAGACACATACAGGTAATGCCTTGGGTTTGTTAGTTTTTTCATTGTTATATTTTTATGCAAAGAAGTGATTTTCTTCTGCCATGTTCATTAATATTACTGAGTTAATAAACAAACAAACATATATGAAACCAGCCAGAAGTTAAACATCAATATGTATTCAACATAATAATATAGTAGTGAGTGAGTGAGTGAGTGAGTGAGTGAGTGAGTGAGTGAGTAAGTATGGTTTAACGCCGCTTTTAGCAATATTCCAGCAATATCACGGCGGGGGACACCGGAAATGGGCTTCACACATTGTACCCATGTCGGGAATCGAACCCGGATCTTCGGTGTGACAAGCAAACGCTTTAACCGCTTGGCTCCCCGACTGCCCCTAATAATATAGAATGCAGGCCCCCCCAATGAAAACCAGCAGATAGCAACAACATTAAGGGACAATAGCCACACAAATTACACACAAGACAATATGCCCATTAGTTGGCATCCTACTGATAAGAACACTGCACAGTTCCAATGCACAAATCAACAAACTGAGTACATGCGCACCGACTTAGTTGCAGTCAGCGTGACAAACTGTGTTTTGTTCCATTGGAAATGTGGTTGGAAGTTTTTAGTTTATATTTTGCTTCCTCATCCCCAGACATTGGAAACAATAGATGCTTCTAAGATGTACCTCTGTTCCTGTGGTTGGGACACTTGGTATCTTGTTTGGAAACTTAAATTCATCTCTGCGCCTAAAAAAATAAATACAATGTCATAATTATGATAACAAAAGCTGAGGCCATCTGTTACTGAAGAAGTATGAAATCATATGCACAATGTATTTTGTGAAAAGGTTAATTTAGAGGTATCAAATGGAATTGATACCTGATTTTAATCCTTTTTTGACCAATCAGAATGAAGCATTCTTCCATGTCATGACAGAATGATATTTATGCATGTCCAATACAAGATAAGTCATCAGCATCTGTTAATGAATTTTAGACCAAATAAATGGCGAGGCAAAGTTCACCATATCTGTAAATGTAAATCTTAATTTCAAAATTTCTTTGTACCATGCACCATATAACATACATTATGAAACATGGTACAGTTACTTGAGAATCGGTATTTCTCATTGGTTTATGCATGGACAATACTACACTACTTACTGCCCTGTAAAGCTGAATCCTTTCAGCGTCTCTATTGGGATTCTCCCGGCCGATATTTTGACGTTGTTGCACTCATGAGACACTCTGTAACAAACAGACCAGGAAATGTCAGAGCACAATTGTATCCTAGCACCCGTAACGTCCCTTTTCTCCTGGTGATCACATTTGTTTTTAAGGATATTATTATTAAATGACATAACCAAGTTCCATATACATGATATTTTCAACTATGTGCTGGAAAAACAGGACATACTCACACAACAGTGAACTTGATGTACATTAAGCCTAAACAGCACCATTTCATACACAATACTTAGTGGTTCACAACCGCTGTGGGTCACAACCGCTGTGGGTCACAACTGCTGTGGGTCACAACCACTGCGGGTCACAACCACTGCGGGTCACAACCGCTGTGCAATGCCAAATGTATGCTGTCCCCCGAACAGATCTGTACCCTTCTACATATAAGCAGCCAGACACAAACACACTGATTATGGTACCTCAAAAGTACAAGAGAGAAGAGACCAGCCAACACATTCATCAATCACCGCAACCTGCTGCCGCACTTGGCCTTGAGATCCTGTCACATGCTTTGTCAATACTTCATAAAATCATTGATGTTTAAATGGAGTTCTCACTTCATCATTATTCTGCATGACTTTAGTTTTTATCTAGGATCCTAAACAAAGTGCCCCTGGCATGCAATTTGGGAAAATATCAATTTGTTCAATATTTGGATTTTTCAAATACCGTAAACAGCTTTATTTCTGCGCTGTTAAAATATTGCGAATACCACACGAAAGACAATACTGAGACGAGATATTTTTTTGAGTTGCCGTTGAGATGACCCCTAGATTACCAAACAATAGACAGCTTCTCTCCAAACCGGAGGGGATTGCGACCAATTATCAAATACGACAATTGACTCAACTCAGTTTCATGACTGTGAGTTTGAATGCAAACTATATAAGAAGACACTAATTGGTCTGTTTACACTGTCATTTGTGATGTATTGTGTGACCATTCTGCATTCATTTGTGTTTTTAACTTATTGAGTAACTTGTGGTTCTGGTTGATGATTTCAACATTTGATGATGTGTTGCAATGAATAAAGTGTGTATGTATAATTTATTCTTATCTTTGCGTTTTTAATTTTTGCGATTGAGTCTCGTTCGCAAAACTCGCAATAATAAAACGGTTGCAAAAAATTCCCTGTTTACAGTAGTTCTTTTTTTAAATACAAGTTACCTTTCTACAAAGCCACAGAATTAGTAATTATAAGATTTGGCAAAAATATAAGTCCAATTTGGGAATTTTAAATGACATTTGCTGCAGACACGGGCTTATATATCGGCCTCTAAGCAGGTCTAGATGAACAAGACAGGAAGTGAGCAGGGCTCACTAATACTCCCAACTTAGACTCTAACATATTTCAAAACATGAAAAAGGCAATATATTCTCAGAAAATCCACTTATCGAAATCAAACTTTGCAGCGCTCCTCCCTTAATGGTAAAGAAACCCTACCCCCAATTGGAAAAGAATCCATGAAGTAGTTTCTAAGTTATTGGTCGCACAAATGTTGAAGAAAAAAAAGTTCAATAAATGATAAAAATTGTTTTCAGAAATACTTTTCACCTCTTCTATAAGTATGGAAACTGTTCCCTAAATTTTAAAAGACTCCATGAAGTAGTTTTTAAGTTATAGGTCACGAAAATCCAAATATTGAAATCAAACTTTGCAGTGTACCTCTCCAATAGGTATTAAAAGTGATCACCAAGTTTGAAAAGAATCTATGTAGTAATTATCAAGTCATGGGTCACACAAAAAAATGTCCTCGGAAAACGGACAGATGGATGAAGGAACAGATGGACAGAATTCCTTGGTACTACTAATTACTGGACTCTTATACCAAGTCAGTTCCGAGTCTGTTACATATTCATATAACTAACCACTTTTTTAACGCCAACCAAACATTAATAGAAGATATCTCATGAATGAGTGAGTGTAGCACTGTACTTTCATCGGTGCACCTGTGAATTGTGAGTTTTCATGAGACGATACGATACACAATACGTTTTTTTATGTATCGATACAAGAAAACACACTTTCCAAAATATATTACTTACAACTTCTTTAATGAACCCCCAGTGTTTTTGCCATTCAAATATTTCAAAATGTATTTTAATTAGCTTTTCCTATGGAACCTGCTCTGAAATATTTATCGTCAAGATGTTTCATGCGATTTGACATAATATGCATATCGCGATACGCATCATGTCGTGACCTATGTATCGCGACTTTGCTGTATCGTTTCACCCCTACCAGTCCATGCCAAAATATTCCCTCCTGAAAACCTTAAAGGTACACGAAGCAATGACAGAGCTCCAGACAGTGTTTGATGATGTGACTCACAGTTTTCCAGCATCGGGATGAGATGCTTCAAGGCAAGGTGCATCCTTCAGGAGAGTGTACGCAAACGCCTCCAGGGACTTGGCCATGGAGTATTTCCCCTTCCTGGCATCAGTGGCTCCTGGCTCCATCAGCTTACAGTACAGATTCAGCGTGCTTGTGACCACCTCCGGGGAGAGCCTGGACAGCAGTGAGTGAGTGAGTGAGTTGGGTTTAACACTGCTTTAATGAGTGATTGAGTTGGGTTTAACGCCGCTTTTAACAGTATTCCAGTTATATCGCGGTGTGTCAGCTTAATGTGGGAGGAAAGCCCGAAGTGATGCAGGTCTCAGACGTTTACCACTTCGGTGAAACCCACAAGCATGGGTATGGTGCTGACAAACCCAAAATCATAACTGGGGCGAACCGGGATTCGAACCCACAATAATAGGTTTCTGGCATGCCCAAGGGACGCAACTCTGCACAGCGAATCGCGGCGCCTTAGACGACTGGGCCACCCGTGCCCCCAACTTGTGCACTTTGTGCCGGAACTACTTTCAGTCTCCCTCTATGACACTATGGTTTTCAGAGTAATATCATGAAGACGATGTAAGAAAATACAAAATAAACTGAACAGTTTTTTTCATAAAAATATCAAATACTGTCCGGTCATACGATGAGATAAATATGTTCTCAACAGGAAAACCAAATAGCCTCTATGTATTGTTCAACCACGTTATTGCAACACATTTGTCAAATATGATAACGTGTATCAATATAATCTTCAGAACTGTTTTATGATAATTTTCATTATCAAAATTGAAAAGATATTAGCAAAGTACAGACATGGAAGGTGACTGTCCAAGAAGTGACACCTCTATGCCGTACACAGGCTATTGCCATTGTCATAAGCTGACCCATCAAAACGTGACAATGCATCTATTTAGAGTGAATGAGTGAGGAAGTCGTATCAGGACAGGAAATACAAGCATTTTCACACATCTTGTCAGGAGTAGCTCTCATGACCACCATTTTACAGATTTTTGTTTGTGTAACTCCTGAGGCTAAATACTTTTTAAAAAAGTATTCCAGAATGTCACATAATGGTTCCCAACTAACCCTGTCCCCTGAGGTCTACGACATGCATGGTCCCCAACTAACCCAGTCCCCCAAGGTCTACGACATGCATGGTCCCCATCTAACCCAGTCCCCCAAGGTCTACGACATGCACAGCCCTCAACTAACCCAGTCCCCCGAGGTCTACGACAATCATGGTCCCCAACTAACCCAGTTCCCCAAGGTCTACGACAATCATGGTCCCCAACTAACCCAGTCCCCCAAGGTCTACGACATGCACAGCCCTCAACTAACCCAGTCCCCCGAGGTCTACGACAATCATGGTCCCCAACTAACCCAGTCCCCCAAGGTCTACGACAATCATGGTCCCCAACTAACCCAGTCCCCCAAGGTCTACGACATGCACAGCCCTCAACTAACCCAGTTCCCCGAGGTCTACGACATGCATGGTCCCCAACTAACCCAGTCCCCCGAGGTCTACGACAATCATGGTCCCCAACTAACCCAGTTCCCCAAGGTCTACGACATGCACAGCCCTCAACTAACCCAGTCCCCCGAGGTCTACGACAATCATGGTCCCCAACTAACCCAGTTCCCCGAGGTCTACGACAATCATGGTCCCCAACTAACCCAGTTCCCCAAGGTCTACGACATGCACAGCCCTCAACTAACCCAGTCCCCCGAGGTCTACGACAATCATGGTCCCCAACTAACCCAGTTCCCCGAGGTCTACGACATGCACAGCCCTCAACTAACCCAGTCCCCCGAGGTCTACGACAATCATGGTCCCCAACTAACCCAGTTCCCCAAGGTCTACGACATGCACAGCCCTCAACTAACCCAGTCCCCCGAGGTCTACGACAATCATGGTCCCCAACTAACCCAGTTCCCCGAGGTCTACGACAATCATGGTCCCCAACTAACCCAGTCCCCCGAGGTCTACGACAATCATGGTCCCCAACTAACCCAGTTCCCCGAGGTCTACGACATGCACAGCCCTCAACTAACCCAGTTCCCCGAGGTCTACGGTATGCATGATCTCCAAGTAATCCAGTTCCCCGAGGTCTACGGTATGCATGGTCCCCAACTAACCCAGTTCCCCGAGGTCTATGACATGCATGATCTCCAAGTAACCAAGTTCCCCGACGTCTATGACATGCATAATTTCCAAGTAACCCAGTTCCCCGAGGTCTACGGTATGCATGGTCCCCAACTAACCCAGTTCCCCGAGGTCTACAGTATGCATGGTCCCTGCCTATAGACCATAATCACTCCCTCAATACATTGTGACTCACTTCCTCTTTTCCCCTTCCTTTGTGATGCTGACCAGGGTGTCTTCCAACAGCTTCATGTTATTATCATCCAGGTCATCTCTCACTATAGTGTCCAGTTGAGCCAGAATCCTGTCATCACGAATAAACGCAATCATGAACAAACAGGTCATAATGTTCAACATTAATAATAAACGTGTAACAATGAACATAATGCCATAATGAAGGAACATGTAATGATGAACAAACATCATCATGAACAAACAGGTAGTGATGAACAAAAATGTGATGATGAACAAACATCATCATGAACAAAAAGGAAGTGATGAACAAAAATGTAATGATGAACAAACATCATGAACAGACAGGTGGTGAGGAACAAAAATGTAATGATGAACAAACATCATGAACAGACAGGTAGCGAGGAACAAAATTGTAATGATGAACAAACATCATGAACAGACAGGTAGTGAGGAACAAAAATGTAATGATGAACAAACATCATTAAAAAACATGTCATCATGCATAAGAATGTCATAATGTTCAAACATAAATAATAAACAGGTATATAACAATGAACAAACAAATCAAAATAAACAAACATGAAAAATGTTCAAACATGTAACAATGAATAGACATGTCAAAAAGTTCAAACATGTCATCAAATTCAACCATGTAATGATGAACAAACATGTCGAATTTCAAAAAATAATTATGTACAACCATTGTGGATTAGTACTTACTTCTGTATGTTTGGATCTGTAAGGGGTGTGTTAAGTCTTTCAGCAATTGTCATCCAGATGCCGACATCTTTCTGTTTCACGATGCGAACTGTGGCTTCTGCATTGCTGGCATGAAGGCTGTAGAAATGTAAAACAACGGCATTAACAGCCTTCAGGACCCATGAAGATCCGGGGTCGAATAGGTCTTCAGCAACCCATGCTTGCCGTAAAAGGTGACTATGCTTGTCGTATAAGGCGACTAACGGGATTGGGTGGTCAGGCTCGCTGACTTGGTTGATGCATGTCATCGATCTCAATTGCGTGGATCGATGCTCATGATGTCAATCACTGGATTGTGTGGTCCAGGCTTGATTATTTACAGACCGCCGTCATAGCTGGAATATTGCTGAGTGCGTCGTTAAACAACAAACCAACCAACAGCTTTTAGTAGTTCCAGGATTATCATCATGCAGGGAAATTATAGAATGGTCTTCTGGGACCCCAAGACTTACCCTCGTCCAATTGTTTGTGTATAAAAAACAAACATTATTTCATGTTTTTAACTCTGTGTAGACTCACTCACTAAGAGTTACTAACGTTAGCTGATTCCTTAGATAGACAACTGCATGCCCTACCTAGCTTCGTTTGTTGGGAGTTTGAGTCTGAGACGGAACTGTTTGGGTAGAGGGTTGTTGGAGCTTGTGATTGGTGAGAGTTCGACATCAATAGTCTTCAGGGAGTTCTGGAATGAATAAGGAAACATTTGCAAGACTTGGTAAGGCCCGACATTAGTTTTTGTTTGTGAACCGATTTTTTGTGTGAAAAAGGAGTAATTGATAGGTGTGACAAAACTAAAAGGAAAGATATTTCATATTATTGTTCTTCAAAACGCTTTCTGATTTTTAATGTGCTTGTGCAGACTTGGTCAAGCTTGTCTTGCAGTTTGACCTACTGTCTTCCAGCTTATCCTATTGTCTTTCACTTACCCTTTTGTGATGCACTTAACCTATTGTCTTTAAGTTTCACCAATTGTCATTGTCTTTCAGTTTCACCCATTGTCTTTTAGTTTCACCCATTGTCTTTTAGTTTCACCCATTGTCATTGTCTTTCAGTTTCACTCATTGTCTTTTAGTTTCACCCATTGTCTTTCAGTTTCACCCATTGTCTTTCAGTTTCAACCATTGTCTTTCAGTTTCACCCATTGTCTTTCAGTTTCACCCATTGTCTTTCAGTTTCACCCATTGTCTTTCAGTTTCACCCATTGTCTTTCAGTTTCACCCATTGTCATTGTCTTTCAGTTTCACCCATCGTCTTTTAGTTTCACCCATTGTCTTTTAGTTTCACCCATTGTCATTGTCTTTCAGTTTCACTCATAGTCTTTTAGTTTCACCCATTGTCTTTCAGTTTCACCCAGTGTCTTTCAGTTTCACCCACTGTCTTTCAGTTTCACCCATTGTCAGTGTCTTTCAGTTTCACCCATTGTCTTTCAGTTTCACCCATTGTCTTTCAGTTTCACCCATTGTCTTTCAGTTTCACCCATTGTCTTTCAGTTTCACCCAGTGTCAGTGTCTTTCAGTTTCACCCATTGTCTTTCAGTTTCACCCATTGTCATTGTCTTTCAGTTTCACTCATAGTCTTTTAGTTTCACCCAGTGTCTTTCAGTTTCACCCATTGTCTTTCAGTTTCAACCATTGTCTTTCAGTTTCACCCATTGTCTTTCAGTTTCAACCAGTGTCTTTCAGTTTCACCCATTGTCTTTCAGTTTCACCCATGTCTTTCAGTTTCACCCAGTGTTTTTCAGTTTCACCCAGTGGCTTGTTTAACCTGTTTTGTAGACTCTTTCCACTTTTTTTAGAGGTGGCAGAATCTGAATACTTACGTATAGTTGGTTGGCAACAATTATATACAGTCCTAAGACCAATCTCCTGTGCCCTTCCATTCCGTCCCCCATAATAAAATGACAAGTCCCTTATAACATTTGATGAGTTCACTTTTTCATAGTGATATGTGAAAGTAACCAGTTTTAAGTATACCTGAGAAGTATGTAATATATCAGAAATATATCCCAACTTGAGTAGATATGAGCAGTTAGTTTGTGAATAACAAACCTGTGACCCAGCTGCAAACGTCAGAGTTCCAGACTGGGACTTGAAGTCTTGAGACGCAACTGCAGGATAGATGTCAACCCCTGACTCTTCAATCTTCAGAGTCTCAAATGTCTCATAGGAAACTTCCACGTCGTAGGTCTGTCCCATGGTGCGTGCAACTGTCAAACGCACGGTCTTGTCCTCATCGCCAACAATCGCCAACCTACACAATGAGTGAGTGGAGTTTTACTTCTGATGTACTCGCTGTGCAGAGTTGCGTCCCTTGGGCATGTGGGTTCGAATCCCGGTTCGCCCCAATCATGTTTCTAGGTTTGTCAGCACCATACCCATACTCGTGGGTTTCACCGAAGTGGTAAATGTCTGAGGCCTGAATCACTTCGGGTTAAGCTGACACCCCATGATATAACTGGAATACTGTGAAAAGCGGCATTAAACCCAACTCATTCACACAGATGGCTTATCATATCAAAGATGAGCTTCTGAAAAACTTTTAAATAGCTAAAAGATGAACTGCAGAAAACCATGAATGATCCCATGCTGTGACCTAGAGTCAGAATATCTCTTTAAAGCATTACAGTGGCGAGAAAATATAACTGCAACAACATTGCATGCAGTCTTTTAAAACATGACAACCAGCGAGTACTCACAGTGAAGCCTGGTTGAAACCGATCAGTCCTCTTACAAAGTCACTTGTGGCGATGACCACGGTAGCAAACAGACTTCCCTCCTCCAGCTCAGCATCCTCCACTGCTGCCAGGAGCTGGACCACGAACTGGAACTCCTCCTCAGGGTCCTGTCAGAACGTTGGATACATATAGAGAATCTCACCCTCCTGTCTTTTGATATCAAATATATCAACACGAGTTGATAAAAGTGGGAAAACTCTGAGGCTCACCGAGGATTTTTTCCACTTTTATCAACGAGTGTTGATATATTTGATATCAAAAGACACTTGGGTGAGATTTTATTTATCATTCAACATCATTCTTCCAACTTTTTTGGTTTGTAGACAGTAATTAGCAGTGTCTTAAGTGTAAAAAGTACTGCAAACAGCTTCAGTAGCAGAGCCATTAGTGATGTCATTTGATTGTGACGTCATGGTAACCAATGATGTCACAATGGTCTGCAAAGCATTGTGATGCAATTTCATTGCACCGATATCTACAGTGTAGATATTGTTTGATCTCACCCAAGCGATATCTCCTGTGGGACTACACACGCTGGGGAACACATTGGAGTCTGCAGCACTTTAGATCATTGGCCCCTCTCTGAATTAATTTAGAAGGGAAGAAGTACTGGGCCTGTATCTATGCACAGATATGGTAACTTCTAGTGCTTACCTTATCATCAATAAGGCCCACAACCAGAGAGCATGTCTGTTGCCCTGCTGGACAAACAGTGACCCCTGAGACAGCTGTCAGCTGGGAGGACAAAGCAGCATCCTCTGTGTCCGAGGAACTCTGGGATTTCTTGGCTTTCCACGACACCTACACAAATACAGAGATGTGATCCAATGTACGGCCTTTTAGGGCCATTTGTTTTTTTAATTTATTTTTGATATTATCTTGAGATTTCAAGATCCTAAGTTGAAATTTCAAGAAACTAAATTGAAATTTCAAGATACTATCTTGAAATTTCAAGATACTATCTTGAAATTTCAAGATATTAAGTTGAAATTTCAAGTACTAAGTTGAAATTTCAAGATACAGAAGTTGAAATTTCAAGATATTAACTTGAAATTTCAAGATACTAAGTTGAAATTTCAAGATAGTTTAGAAACAAATAGAGAGATATAATCCAATGTAATGCCTTTTAGGGCCATTTGTTTTTAAAAAATTTTTTTGAAATTATCTTGAAATTTCAAGATCCTAAGTTGAAATGTCAAGAAACTAAATTGAAATTTCAAGATATTAAGTTGAAATTTCAAGATATTAAGTTGAAATTTCAAGATATTAAGTTGAAATTTCAAGAAACTAAGTTGAAATTTCAAGATAATAAGTTGAAATTTCAAGTACTAAGTTGAAATTTCAAGATACAGAAGTTGAAATTTCAAGATATTAAGTTGAAATTTCAAGATACTAAGTTTAAATTTCAAGATATTAAGTTGAAATTTCAAGTACTTAGTTGAAATTTCAAGATACAGAAGTTGAAATTTCAAGATATTAAGTTGAAATTTCAAGATACTAAGTTGAAATTTCAAGATAATAATTTGAAATTTCAAGATAGTATAGAAACAAATACAGAGATATAATCCAATGTACGGCCTTTTAGGGCCATTTGTTTTTTTAATTTCTTTTGGATATTATCTTGAAATTTCAAGATCCTAAGTTGAAATGTCAAGAAACTAAATTGAAATTTCAAGATATTAAGTTGAAATTTCAAGATATTAAGTTGAAATTTCAAGAAACTAAGTTGAAATTTCAAGATAATAAGTTGAAATTTCAAGTACTAAGTTGAAATTTCAAGATACAGAAGTTGAAATTTCAAGATATTAAGTTGAAATTTCAAGATACTAAGTTTAAATTTCAAGATATTAAGTTGAAATTTCAAGTACTTAGTTGAAATTTCAAGATACAGAAGTTGAAATTTCAAGATATTAAGTTGAAATTAAGTGTGTTTAATCCTATCCTATACTATACTCTTGAGTAAAACTTTCCCCAGGATAATATTTAGGTAGGATGTAATCCTTGATTACACTTTAACCACTAGGCTAACCGACCGCCCTGACATGCATCAACAGCTGCTGGGTCGTTATTCATCGTACCAGTACAGTGATTTATTTTAACGTGACATCAGTTTTATATGTTGTTTAGGACAATTTACACTTATGGTCCATTCAATTTTATCAACACAGCATGATTTCAGATTTCCAGGCTTTTGAGATAGCAAGGTTTCATGTAGAAGTTTATTGTTTGTGAGATAATAATCTAGCATACTTGAAAACAATTGTTTCCTTATCAAGATATTTGTCTAAAGGTTAGATGCATTTACTTCATTAACAACCAAAACATTGTCCTTGAACTTATCAGACACTAATGCATCTGTAAGTATGTGATTTGTATGTGAAGTATGTAACATTTGTGAGCTGTTGCCATAATTAAGTAGTTAAACATTGTAACAAGTCCTATATGAAATTGCAACCCAAACATTTATGGGCTATTTTTACGAAAAAAGCAATCAACAAGTGTTGATGTGCAGATAACATTTCAGTTGTTCCCAGATATCATTACAAGACAAGTAGTTTGAACATTAGATTTAATCTCACCCTGACTTCCCCGAAGAACGCCAGCTGCCGAATCAGAGTGAGGGTTGCGTTGGGATTGGCTGTGTCTTCGTTCACTCTCACATTCTTGGATGCTTGTGCAAACCCAATCCGTCCATTGGATGTGTCACTGGCCTGGATTGTTATCATTGCAAAGCCCTGCAGAAGTAAGTTATGTATTTACTAGATACAGTAAGTTCATTTCTCATAGTTTATATATACTGTACTCGACGTAATAAGTGCCCCGCTCTAATAAGCGCCCACGGCGATATTTGCTAATATATTGGCTAGAGAACAATCCCAATTAGCACCCCTTCCGATTGATCAATGTACACAAGACTTATTTATTCATGTATAATACGCACTCGTGCATTATATGCACCCTTAATTATGGGCAATTAAATTCTGGAAAATATATCTGTTGTGCATAATACGCACAGACTTTTGTTTTGTATCATTTCAGGCAGTTAGCATAAACAACGAAATTTACGATCTGTTTTTTTCTCACCAAAATTATATTCTAATAAGAGCCCCCTATTTCTAATTTTGAGAGCGCCCTGGGCGCTTATTGCGCCGAATACGGTATATCAAAATATTGAGTTACCAGCTGGTTGCATTGGTCCTACCAGATAAACCAGGAGAGACATGAGTTCTTTTATAATCAGGACTTGCACCATCAAGAGCAGTACGTATTATCAATGGCATGCAATAACGGCACTTCAACTGCAAAAAGTCATATCTAGTGTTTCAGTAGTAAACAATCAAAACATTTCAACAGAAAGAAATCATAGGACTTAAAACACCTGACCAAATACACATTAATAGGGCTATATGATACATTTCTATTGGCAACAATGCAGCTTTCATGTCTGAACAAGTATGTGAGACTTTTTGACCAGCAGCATCTTACCCTCTTCCCGCCATCGGGATCTCCGCGGCCTACCCTGGCGCCACCTACAGGATCCGTCAGGTATACAAGCACCACCTCTTTCGGCTCCGCGGTGTCGTCATCAAGGATCGTCACGTTAACTTGCTTGCTGACCTCCCCTGCCTGGTGGAGCAATGCGTGTTACCGTCAGTGCATGACACAACTCAAACATATCTCTAGGCCGAGCACAAGCTCTTCAACAAAGGCTACTAGCCAAGAAACATACAAATGGCAGTAAGGAAAAATCATGTATTACCGACAGACAGGAATGAAGATTTGAATCATATTAGAAGCCAATAAAGGTCACATGAATGCTTGTTACCATGGAATTGCTTATTAAAGTTGACCAATGTGTCATGAGGTGGTGTACTTTGATCAAAGGTAGTCAAAATCAATCATGCTTTGTTAATACAGAAGGGTGACCAGTTGAGCTAACAAAAAAGTAGTGCTACAGTACTGTAGCTCACCTGGATATGTTGGCAACAGTTTCACATGTCAACAAAGACAGACACTACAAAACAGTTGCTGTCAGCATTTCTATTCAAACATTTTCTGCATAGAGACCAAAAGTAACTAACTATCGAAATCGAGAACAAAAGTAACTATCCAGGATGTTTCGAAATCTGCATTAATTAATGTACAGTTGTAGAGAAGTGTTGCAACACAATACAGTTAAAGTTACTTTACACATAGTTTCATCTCTGAGCCTCACCAACCTATACATTCATCACCACTCTCCCCTTTCTGTAACCTGCAAGCAGACTTGTCCCCCTATCGATGAATGTTGTGTGTGAAAATACGACAAACCAATCAGAATGTGTGTATGACTTCAAGTACCTCTGTCAAAGAATCCCTCGGGAAAATTTTTTGATTTTACACATGTCTAAAAAATAGACTAAACATATACCCTAGATACAGTTAAATGTATTCAATAATGCTGTATAAAAACCCGATGTGTTTTAAATAGCATCTGGAATATATATGAAATGGGGGAAATATACGTGAATCATTATGCAACAAGTTGACAATTCTCTTAACTATGCCCATTTGCGCTTAGACAGAACCCAATTGCAAAAATGGCCACGAGAGGGGTACAAGTCGCTATTCAGCTTGTCCTGGAATAACACAAGAGGGGCACGAATGGAGTCGCTGTTCAGTTTGTCACGGAATAACACAAGAGGGGCACGAATGGAGTCGCTGTTCAGCTTGTCCCGGAACAACACAAGAGGGGCACGAATGGAGTCGCTGTTCAGCTTGTCCTGGAACAACACAAGAGGGGCACGAATGGAGTCGCTGTTCAGCTTGTCCCGGAACAACACAAGAGGGGCACAAATGGAGTCGCTGTTCAGCTTGTCCCGGAACAACACAAGAAGGGCACGAATGGAGTCGCTGTTCAGCTTGTCCCGGAACAACACAAGAGGGGCGCAAATGGAGTCACTATTCGGCTTGTCCCGGAACAACACAAGAGGGGCACGAATGAAACCTTTAATAAAATCATTCTTTCTAATGTCATAATGTTTTTCCACTTGTTACACAAAAAAACATAGTGAAAAGGTAATGATGATGATGATGATGATGATGATGATGATGATGATGATGATGACAACGGACAACTTGCTGCCACATGGGCTGTCAGGCAAGGTGAGCTAACAACGAATGTAGTGGGATTCCCCACCATGCTTCATGATGATCATCAACCAACCTGTAGGACCACTGTAGTGTCCAGCACTGAATAGTCTGTGCCTCCAATGGCTTTGGAGGCGGGGTCCCTGCTTTGGAGTACCTCGCTGATGGTGTTGTTGCCAGTGCTGCCAGTGTTGGTGGAAATTTCCGATGTCCACGATTCATCTCCTCCAACTGTCCTAACCCTCACAGATACTTGTCCAAACACTCCACCTTGGTAAACAGATTGTTGTTTATTTACTACAGTGTGACACTACTAAAAGCTTTTGAAGGTTCAGTATTGTAGGACTGGGAGTGGTGGGGTAGTCTGGAGCTTAAAGCATTCAGTCGTCATACTGAAGACATGGGTTCATTTCCCCACATGGGTACCATGTTTCAAGCCCCTTCTGCCAATATGTTACTGGAATACTGTTAAGAATAATGAATAACAAGACAATGTCCTCTCTCTCAAGACCTACCTCTGGCAAGGGGCGAGAAATTGAAGGTCGATGCTTGATACTTTTGCACATTACAAATGACTGTAAAAGGTTAGCTGTAAGCACTATTCAAACCTGCCCACAGTCCTAAATATTTCGTAATTGTTGTGAATTTGCAAGTTAAATACAAAAATATGATTTTTTTTCCCCCTTCATTTTCTCAATAAACCTAAACATTGTAAACTTATTACAATGTGTAAATGTTCCGAAACACCAATAAAGATAGGTTATTATTTAGCATTATAAACCTATTCATTGGGATTGCTATTAAGTAAGAGGCTTCTTTCTATAGGCATTAAAACCTATTGTGAGGTTTTACTTTCCAGTCGGGTTAAATCTCATAAACAGGGACGTTGTAATGTCCCTGGGATTTTATATAATATTCCTTGGATTTTATAGGATATTCAAGTCATATTTGCTATAATATCCCAGGGATTTTATTAATGTAACTTCCGTTCAGATTGTAACATGTAATGAAATGTAAAATCAAATGACAAATGTTTTCTTTTTATTCCCGAGGATCGAACTCGCAACCTTCATATCTGTAGCCCAGTGAGTGTACCACAAGGCTACAAAGGTGTTGATAAGCCACACTTGTTTTTAGAATGTCCATTAAAAGATCCGTACGCCAGCAACAGATATTTTATGCGCGTTTCCTAAGGTTCATGGAAAATATGTTCGAAACATAAAATTGTTGATAAATGTTGTTTTAAGTTTCTTTTTTCGGTTTATAAGTATGGAAAAAACATTTTCTCTCGGTTTTGGTAGACAGAGCATTCGCTGGGGGCTGGGAAAAACTGTGGGGGCTTCGCCCCCTTGGTTTTTCCCTCTCCCCAGGGCATGCTCAGTCTACCAAAACCTGTGAGCGTGTTTTCTCCAATACTTAAACCGTCACGCCAAAGACATGGGTTCGATTCCCCACATGGGTACAATGTGTGAAGCTGATTTCTGGTGCCCCCATCCGTGTTATTGCCAGAATATTGCTAAAAGCGGCATAAAAAAACAATACTCACTCACTCAATTCTCGCTACCTTTCTTGGGCACACCAGAAACCTGGGATCATGGGTTCGCCCTGATTATGTTTCTAGGTCGGTTAGCACCGTACCCATGCTCGTGGGTTTCACCGAAGTGGTAAATGTCTGAGACCTGCATCACTTCAGACTTTCAGACAACATTAAGCTGACATGCCGTGATAGAACTGAAATACTGTTCAAAGCTGCATTAGCTGCATCCAACTCACTCACTCACTTCTCCAACATGACCTACCTGTCCTCATGACTGTGAGGACGATGGCCGTGAACTTCTGCTGACATGCCGTGATAGAACTGAAATACTGTTCAAAGCTGCATAAACTGCACCCAACTCACTCACTGACTTCTCCAACATGACCTACCTGTCCGCACGACTGTGAGGACGATGGCCGTGAATTTCTCCTGTGTGGTGAAGGTCCAGGGCTCCAGACACAGGACCCCGTAGGGGTCGTTGCTCTCCGTGATGGAGACAGTGGCCGTGGAGTACAGCTCACTCAGCCTTGGAGAGGGCACTGCGGCAGAGAAGCAGGTATCTCAACATTTACAGGGAGAAAAAAAACAGTTTGGCGTCTACTAGCCCAAACTTCTGATACTATTTTCAGCAGATATTGGTGTAACCATATGGACTAATATTAGCTATGATTAGAAGACCATAATTGATTTTACTAGACAGACTTCAGATATTATCAAAATATTATGTCAATTTAACAACTGTTAAATCTGCCAGTCATCTACATGTTTAATGAAAATATATTGGTGACTCTTACTTCCAAGAAAACTTGTCAAGATATAAGATTTATGTTGTGGTATTGTAATCTGCATGTCAACAGGGATGTTTCACCAGGGTTCTTAGGGTAGGGAAACATGACTACTCACCAGGGTTCTGAGGGGTGGGGCACATGACTACTCACCAGGGTACTGAGGGGTGGGGCACATGACTACTCACCAGGGTTCTGAGGGGTGGAAAAAGGACTACTCACCAGGGTTCTGAGGGGTGGGAAACATGACGACATCAGTTAGGTTCACATGGAATGTTTCTGTTTCCTCTGGAAGAGTGTCTGTATAAATCTGGCAACACAAGAGTATCATAAAAAATAAAATTCTCAATTAATGTTCAGATCGTCTGTTTATCACAGTAGGCAAATAAGACTTAAGTCATGAGTTCTTTGAGTGGCATTTAGAAGTTGGAGTGGTGAAGTAAGACGAGTTCTATGGACTCAAGAACTAAAGAAGTTGTTCATCCATAGAACTCGTCTTACTTAAGTCATGAGGTTATTCACGAAACAAACCAGCAGAAGAGATTGGTGAGTAGTGCCATGGCACTGTAGCTCACCTGGATAGGTAGACAACCGTTTCAAACGTCAACAAAGACATACACTTAAAAACAGTTGCTGTCAGCATTACTGTTAAACTATAATTATATAAACACTGACTGCAGACGACAGTCGGAAATATAAAACCAACTATTCACAATGTTAATAAATCTGCAAGAATTAATGTACTCTTGCTGCTTCATTCAACAGTTAATATCACTTCAAAGTTCAACTCTATTAACCTCATAAACCTTCCATGAAAATCCAGAACTGTTCTATTTCCATACAATACAAAATCCCAATGATTTGAACAACATATGGCGTCATCATAAGTTTTGTTTTGTTTGTTTGTTGTTTAACACCGCACAAAGCAATATTCAAGCTATATGACAGCAGTTTGTAAATAATCGAGTCTGGACAAGACAATCCAGTGATTGACATCATGAGCATCCTTGACATGCATCAACCAAGTCAGCGTGCCAGACCACCCGATCCCATTAGTCGCCTCTTATGACAAGCATAGTCGCCTCTTATGACAAGCATAGTCGCCTCTTATGACAAGCATAGTCGCCTTTTATGGCAAGCATGGGTTGCTGAAGACCGATTGTACCCCGGATCTTCACGAGTCCATAAGGACCAGGTGAGCTAAAAATGATGGAAGATAAACCTGTATAAATATATGAAGTGTCACTTACTGTAAATTATTCATTTAGGACAAAGAGTGCAAGACAACATCTAACTCAAACATACAGATTCAACAACATGGCAAGACTGGATTGGTTCTTCTGTGGCCTATGAAAGAATTTCAAAGTTTCACTCACTTCAATGTTGAAGGTTGCAGATACTACGCCTTCATTCATCTCTGCGACACCACCCCGTATCGAACGGTAGTCAATGTTGCCTTGTGCTGATGCACTCTGGGTAGAGTACCTGACCTCCACTCGGCCGACAGAGCCGTACAAGCGATTAACAGTCAAGGTCACCTGTATAGCATAGAAAACCATTGGACAACGAAATACATTCACATTTTCTCATATTTCCTTTCTCTCCATGGGCATAAATCTAAACAACAAAGAATAGATGACCATTTTAGTAAGTTTATCAATTTCATTGGAAAGAAATCAAGGAGGATATATATTAAAGAATAGGGATATTCATGATCTTATTAGGATATTTATATTTTTCGGAGATTAACACACCTGTCGCATACTCTCGGTAACCTGAGGTGAACGCGAGTTGACATCAAACTGAATGAGTCCATATGGTTCTATCCTGGCCACTGATTGGTCCAGCACAATTCTAGCTCCACCGTCCACAGTTGTCTTGGGTGGGCCCGGAAGACGGACTGCAAATAATTCAGCTTGGTTTTGACGGAGATTCACCTGGAGAAAAAGGATGTGATGACATGTATTCTGTAATGACAATTCAGAGGCCACCATGATTGGTGTGATATGACCTCAGTCAAGTCAAGTATGTTCATAAATGTATATACCAAGATCCAACAGAGTACACAGAGTGGAAGGGGATATAGGAATTGGTGCATAGATAGGTCTAGTGGTGAACTGGTGCCTTTTGATAGTTTGGAATTTTTGTAACAATTTTTTTTAAGTTTCCATGGCAATGACTTTGACTGTAAATGGTGGTAGTGCTACTTTCCAGAGCGGATCTTCAAAACCGTACAATATGTCTTCACCAAACTTGGCACATAGATAGGTCTAGTGGTAAACTGGTGCCTTTTGATAGTTTTGAATTTTTGAAAAAAATTGGAGTTTTCAGAAAAATGAATTTTTGAGCTTCCATAGCAACGACTTCTACTTAGACTCAAAAAGCTTGTTTCATTTCACGATAAAACACTGTCCTAACATGACATCATTTCTGGAGATTCGAATATTCGCTTGCAACTTGATGACATCATATATTAGACATCATTATGTTTGAGAGGGAGGTGTCTAGTAAGTTGTTGCCCACAGATGTTGCTGGATTACGCAGATACAGGCAGTGGCCAAACCATTGCATCCAAAGTGGGGGAGATATGACAATCAGTATTAGGAGAAAAGGAACAGATGATCGACATGAGGATTATGAGAATATGCGGAAAATGTCGTAAAATGGACATGTTTGACATTTCCGAGGTCGTATTCTATGTAGGGAGTCATCATTATTAATATTTGCGAAAATATTTTTAAAGCTTGTACATTGTATCAACATCCTAAAGAGGCTGTACATAATGTTGATATATCATAAGAAATAAACAACTCGTGGTCGTTGTTTGTCATGAAATAAAATACTGCAGGGAGAACATACCATTAGGGGCACAGCACTCTCCATGCAGTACATTGGGCAAAGTAAATGAGTCAGACTTATTACAGTTAACACCTTTTTGAAGTAAATCAGCAATGTTGTATCAGTGACAGATAATTTACTTCAGTCATTTCATCACTAGAAAAAATACTCATGTCATGAAATGACACAGTCACTGATTTCACAGTCTAACTGTATCATATATATCGGGGGATCATACGTTTTCTGACGTCATACGTTTTGGACGGACATATTTATCGCAATTGCTCACTCCATAACAGGTCTGGAGCATCACACAGGCATTGTAAATACGCAGATGATGACTTGTTTTTAAGAGAAAGTTGTCTTTTATGAGCGAATGAGATGTTTTACAGTTGTACATGTGATTAGAAAGAAAACTATGATCGTTTCTTAAGCGTCTGAAAACCCCAAACACGGGGGGGGGGGGTTACTTTAAATCTGGTGACACCAACCTGCACAGTGAAGTTGGCTGCCTCCATGCCATGTGTCATTGGGACAGTTCCAGCAGCACTTGTCACCTCCCCACTGAGGGTATTGGCCGGCAGCTGGTCGGTGGGTAGGCCAGACACCCAATCCACATTGATGACACCATATGTTCCATCACGCTTGACTGTCAACAGAACTGTCTTGGTGTCTGGAATGGACAAACACAAATGTAGACAGATATAGGCCAAATTTCAAAACATCCATACAGATTTCCCACTTCATACATTGTCCTAATGGTTTCACCGCCTCCGTGGTCTAGTGGTAGAGTGTCCGCCCAGAGAGCGAAAGGTCCGGGGTGCGATTCCCGGCTGTGTCATACCAAAAGACTTTAAAAGATGGTACTTGTTGTTACCCTGTCTAGCGCTCGGCATGAAGGGGCTAAAACAAGGACTGGTGGGCTCGGAGTCAGTATCCTGTGTCTGAGTGGGGTATTCATGTTAAACTGCGGCATGGTATCTCAGTGAGCTAGCACTATAAATCGGCATCAGTCCGGACTAGTACAAGCAGCCACACACACACACATGTGCATGCACATCACTATATATATAAGTGCAATAATCTTGGACGCGACGTTAAACAGCATTTTAACCTCACCTCCTAATGGTTTCAGTGATCTCAAAATAGGCATCATGTCGGTAAACATACAAAAAATCTAAAACAAGACAACAAAAGAGATTTCAAAGTTTACTAAAAACAGATGGACAAATTACCAGAGAGGCAACAGACAATGCAGAACATTGATCTAAAAGGAGAGCTAAAAGTTATATCACTTCATGTGATTATGAGGGAATTTAAACTGGTACAAATGGTTTGATATATGAAAGATTGCCATCCTGTTTACCTCAAACCAAGGACCCATGAAGATCCGGGGTAGTATAGGTCTTCAGCAAACCCATGCTGGCTATAAAAGGCGACTATGCTTATCGTAAGAGGCGACCAACGGGATCGGGTGGTCAGACTCGCTGACTTATTTGATGCATGTCATCTTATCCCATTTGGGTGGATCGATGCTCATGATGTCAATCACTGGATTGTCTGGTCCAGACTCGATTATTTACAGACTGCCATCATATAGCTGGAATATTGCTGTGTGCGGCGTTAAACAACAAACAAACAAACAAACAAACAAACAAACAAACAAACAAACAAACCTCAAACCAAGACAGCTACGTACCCTCATTCACATTGACGATAGTCTCCTTGAAGCTCACTTTACTGTTGGCAGCTGGGGCCGGGACTGGAATCTTAGCCTCCGTCTGACCTCCCTTCAGTCGCGGTGCGTCAGTCACTAAATGTCATGAACAATGAATTGTCCATCTACACTCATGACTGTCATTGTCATTAGCAAAAACTGGTCTGATCTATCCCCTCTATTTAACTAAAATTTAAAAAAGTAGTCCCAAGACAAACAAAGCAAGGTATCTGATAACATACATTCATATAAAGTTCCCCACATTTTGTAACGCAGTTTCAGATATTCACATTTCTGGAACATCATCAACATTGGCCAGTGATTGTAGATAGTGCTGCATCAAAGCAGCTTAGAATTACTGTCCTCTACACAAGTTTCAGCTGAACATGTTTTATTGAAGAAAAAATATAAATAAAATCCCAATGTAATACCAAGTATAATTGTACCTCAACCTCTCAATGTCTAAGTCATGTTTTCATTCAATGAGGTAACTGTAGAAACAGTGCAAGAATACAATGTTCGATGAACCACCCTACTTATTGTACAGTGCTAAACACTTCTCCGCCATGTTTCTCTACAGATACATCCACAAATTGGGAAGACCCTATCTAAACTCCTGGGAATATTAGTGTTTTGAACAAGCAGACATTGCATTGATGTATGGAGCTTAAAAGTAGTTCCTGCTAGGCGCCCTCATTTGCATATTTATTGGTTCGTGATATAAGGCTTGGATTGGCTTATCGTATCGATGGCACTATCCATAATATGATAAAAAACATCAGCTGTTCTGTCTGCAATCCAAATAGTAGAACCTCAATGAGGGAGCTAGATCTTGTTAGAGCGAAATTGCAGATGAGGAAAATGTCATACAATTATAAACACACAATGCCATTTAGAAAGTGGTCAAACGTAAGAAATGCTACATTCAGAATAACATTTTCTAAGTAAAGTAAAGATTCTGGAACTTTTTTTGGTTGAGACCCGTCCAATCTACACTTGTCAAAGGGGAACACAAAGTATGTGATCTAGACTACCCGTTGTCAGACTTTCATTATTGTGGAAGCCTCGGCGGACTAGTGGGTCAGATCGCTGAATTTGTGATCTGGTATAAGGTGCCTCACTAATGGGACTCAACTCCAAAAAGTACTAGAATCTGTACTTACTGAGAAAGTGTTATCCCAAATATAACGTTTGTTATATAGTCTGTAGGCAATTCCTAATTGGTGTGACAACCACATCTAAAAAAGAATTAATTCAACCATTTTAAACACAATTTCAATTGGGATATGTGCACATGTGACTGACCTCCAGGTCCCAGAAACTGGACACTGTCCAGTGTAATAGTGAAGGTGGTACCAATCTCCAGGAAACCGTTGCCGCCAATGTCCAACACTTTGGTTGCTGATGACTGGCCTTCTTCAAATGTCACAGAATCAGTGCTGGCGCTGACCGTGATGCCAATCTGAGGCTGGAATAAAAAAAACACTGTCACTAGACATTGTCAAACATGTACAGTTTTCAGAGCTCAGCATTCGTTTTCACACCTGATTTATTTCCTTGATTTCATCTCAACCATCAGCATAATGACAAAGACAATTTGATTCTTAAATGATACCTGTGATCAGAAATGTGCTAATTTTGTAACCGAGTAAATATCTGATTGTTAGATTTCAAACATACAAAACAATAATGCTGTGAATAGTGATTCAGTATATAGTGATAACAGTGATATTTATGATGCACCTTATTTTCAGAGGTCATTTAGAGTAATTTTTGTTGCCTGAAATACTTGTGGATGACATCACAGAACAGATCACTGCCAGTAGAATTCCAAACTGGAAAGTGTTTCTATGTGTTTGAGCTAGTTTCAGCTTTATTCAACTTTCAATTACTTTAGGGCTTTGAATAGCAAGGACATACATGTCCCTGGGGCATCAAGGGGTTAAGGCCATTGCGAAGTGTTGAGGCCATTGTAAAGTCAAAGGATATTGTGAAGAAAAGTGATGAGGCAATTAAGTCATAACATTAAGGTCATTGTGAAGTCAAGCACTAAGGTCAATGTGAAATCAAGTGTTAAGGTCAATGTGAAGTTAAAGGTCACTGTGAAGTTAAAGGTCGTTGTGAAGTTGTGAAAAGTCATAGTGAAGTAGATCATTGTGAAGTGAAAGATTATTGTGAAGTCAAGCATTAAGGTCATTGTGTATTCAAACATTTAGGTCGATGTGAAGTTAAGGGTCATTGTGAAGTAAAAGGTCATTGTGAAGTCAAGCATTAAGGTCATTGTGAATTCAAGCATTTAGGTCGATGTGAAGTTAAAGGTCATTGTGAAGTAAAAAGTCTTTGTGAAGTAAATGGCCATTGAGAATCCAAAGGTGATAGTGAAGTCCAAGATCATTGTGGTTGCTTTTCCTGACCTCATCATAGGTAGCTCTATATTCCAGAGAGGTGCGTCCGAAGCTGCCATCATGGCGAGTGAAGTTGAGGTGTAGTCTTCTCTTCAGGTCAGATGGATCCACAGAGATTCTCTGATTTCCAGGTAGAATTCCATACTGTCCATGAGGATTGTCATTATATCTGAAATAGAAGATTGGACATATGACTGCAAACTGCATTATTTCTATTCAATATTCCATGCTTAAAGGAATTCTAGAATGCTAAGTCAGTGGAACCGTATGTACTTTATTTTGAAGGTGGACTGTCCGTAGCTTGTGTCAATGTCTGCGCCTCCTTCTATCCTCTTCAACACAAGCTTGAAGGTCTCTGTCATTTCTGGTTCCTCATCCGGCAAAACACGAATGCTGATCACACTCGCCCGTTCTTCTGCAGCCAGATATATGCTGCCGTTGACGGGCTGTATGTCTGTCACCATTCCTGGAGGGCCTTCGACTTCCCAGAATATCTGGAAGGAAAGCTGCATTAGGAGACCTGATACATGGTCAGAGGGCATTGTAAGACTGAAATATGCTACTGATAAAACACCTGTGGATAGCACGTGGATTAAATATCAGTGTTGTTACTCAATGTTGAAATTTACAGAAATAGACTTGTTATTGTGAATGATGTCAACTACCGAAGATGGAGAGCAATTGTTTTGATATATCTCACATGTCCATAAAGTAGTCCATGCATGAATGTGTCACCACTCACAAGTGATGTGAAGTATGTTGATTTCTTTCGAACTTTTTTGTATATATGCTCAAAGTTACTTCTCCAATATTTATCGATAACTGATCAATATCTTGTTAACAATTGTCGATCTCTATGATCTATATCAATAGCCAGCCCTAAGAACTACACGATTTGCGATCAGCCTGTAGAGTTATGACAATAACTTTGGTCTACCTGTTCAGTACGAACAATACCCATGGCCTACCTGTAGAGTTCCCACAACACCTGACCTGCGATCAACCTGTAGCGTTGTGACAATAACTGTGGTCTTCCTGTTCAGTACTAACAATACCCATGGCATACCTGTAGAGTTCCCACAACGCCTGTGTCAGCTCTGCGGCTCAGCGGGAAGTTGAGGGTGAGAGTTCCGCTTCCGGTAGGCTCGTCAACTTCTCGCTCTGACCGAGCAGCACCATCGAAACCAATGACACCATTTGGGCTGCCAAACTTCTGAACCTGATAAAATAAAGTAAAACAAAACATCTGTTTATTTATTAACAGAAAACAGGTACTTATAACGTCGAAGGCTGTCCATACATCATTACAAATTATCTAGCATGTCAGCATGATGTCAGAAAAATGCCTAAAGTGACCAAGGGATTAAATATGTTCCACTTCGTAACCTCAGAGCATGGGTATAGGGCTGTCAGACTAAGAGTCATGAGAAATCTGGGACTTGAACCCTATGACCAGCAGATCCTGGCACAGCCAAGGGACCTAACTCAGCACTGTGAATTGCAGTGCCTTACACCTCTTGGCAACACTTGTCTCCATAACTATGTGGACAACATAAAACTCCATTGAGGAAATGAGTCAACTTCACACAATAAAAGTGTTGTCTCAACAAGCAAAGTAAATGAAGTTATTTTGTGGATCCCTTATTGCATGTTGCATAACATGGCCATCTTCCAGTAATCTTGATCTGTCCAGCAGTTGAACTGCCCCCTGAAGACCCATAAAAGTGTTGTCTCAACAAGCAAAGTAAAAGAAGTTATTTTGTGGATCCTTTATTGCATGTTGCACAACATGGAAAACTTACAGTAATCTTGATCTGTCCAGCAGTTGAGCTGCCCCCTGAAGACCCATAAAAGTGTTGTCTCAACAAGCAAAGTAAAAGAAGTTATTTTGTGGATCCCTTATTGCATGTTGCACGACATGGCCAACTTACAGTAATCTTGATCTGTCCAGCAGTTGAACTGCCCCCTGAAGACCCATAAAAGTGTTGTCTCAACAAGCAAAGTAAAAGAAGTTATTTTGTGGATCCTTTATTGCATGTTGCACAACATGGAAAACTTACAGTAATCTTGATCTGTCCAGCAGTTGAGCTGCCCCCTGAAGACCCATAAAAGTGTTGTCTCAACAAGCAAAGTAAAAGAAGTTATTTTGTGGATCCCTTATTGCATGTTGCACGACATGGCCAACTTACAGTAATCTTGATCTGTCCAGCAGTTGAACTGCCCCCTGAAGACCCATAAAAGTGTTGTCTCAACAAGCAAAGTAAAAGAAGTTATTTTGTGGATCCCTTATTGCATGTTGCACGACATGGCCAACTTACAGTAATCTTGATCTGTCCAGCAGTTGAACTGCCCCCTGAAGACCCATAAAAGTGTTGTCTCAACAAGCAAAGTAAAAGAAGTTATTTTGTGGATCCCTTATTGCATGTTGCACGACATGGCCAACTTACAGTAATCTTGATCTGTCCAGCAGTTGAACTGCCCCCTGAAGACCCATAAAAGTGTTGTCTCAACAAGCAAAGTAAAAGAAGTTATTTTGTGGATCCCTTATTGCATGTTGCACGACATGGCCAACTTACAGTAATCTTGATCTGTCCAGCAGTTGAACTGCCCCCTGAAGACCCATAAAAGTGTTGTCTCAACAAGCAAAGTAAAAGAAGTTATTTTGTGGATCCCTTATTGCATGTTGCACGACATGGCCAACTTACAGTAATCTTGATCTGTCCAGCAGTTGAACTGCCCCCTGAAGACCCATAAAAGTGTTGTCTCAACAAGCAAAGTAAAAGAAGTTATTTTGTGGATCCTTTATTGCATGTTGCACAACATGGAAAACTTACAGTAATCTTGATCTGTCCAGCAGTTGAGCTGCCCCCTGAAGACCCATAAAAGTGTTGTCTCAACAAGCAAAGTAAAAGAAGTTATTTTGTGGATCCCTTATTGCATGTTGCACGACATGGCCAACTTACAGTAATCTTGATCTGTCCAGCAGTTGAACTGCCCCCTGAAGACCCATAAAAGTGTTGTCTCAACAAGCAAAGTAAAAGAAGTTATTTTGTGGATCCCTTATTGCATGTTGCACGACATGGCCAACTTACAGTAATCTTGATCTGTCCAGCAGTTGAACTGCCCCCTGAAGACCCATAAAAGTGTTGTCTCAACAAGCAAAGTAAAAGAAGTTATTTTGTGGATCCCTTATTGCATGTTGCACGACATGGCCAACTTACAGTAATCTTGATCTGTCCAGCAGTTGAACTGCCCCCTGAAGACCCATAAAAGTGTTGTCTCAACAAGCAAAGTAAAAGAAGTTATTTTGTGGATCCCTTATTGCATGTTGCACGACATGGCCAACTTACAGTAATCTTGATCTGTCCAGCAGTTGGGCTGGGTTCTCCATTTCCATTTCCAGAAGACCCAACGATGCTGAATATCTTGACAATGAAGACTTCCTCCACCTCCCAGCTGGAGTAGGGCTTGACCTTGAGTGTGAAGCCCTTGGGTCCTACCTCTGCATCGGCCCACACTAGCGTTCCTGAAGTCACCTCTTGTCCGTTGTTGGTGTAACTGATGTCACTGGTGTCATCAAGGACGGTGTCAGGGTTATTTGGTCCCATGATTCTCCATGATACCTGTGACGATGACATGTAGAAAGTGAGTGAGTGAGTTGGGTTTAACACCGCTTGTAACAGTATTCCAGTTACATCATGCCGTGTCAGGTTGATGTGGGAGGAAAGCCCGAAGTGATGCAGGTCATAGACGGTAACCACAGTGAAACCCATGAGCACCGGTATGGTGCTGATTAACCATAAACATAATCGAGGCAAACCAAGATTCAAACCCACGATCATAGTTTTCTGGCATACCTGTGAGCGCAACTAAATTACACTGCAGTGAGCAGTATTCCAGCTGTAAAATGATCGTCCATAAATTGGCAGTGCACATGCTTTGCAAATCCTGCAACCGAAAGAAATCTGCACAACGGTTTACTTAACGGATTTTGATTTCACTGTGCAATTTTGATTGGACTATGCATTCGTTAGTCCAGCCCAAATGTAAATCCATAATTCCTGCCTAATTCAGCAAGGGTGGAAACTGGACTTTTATAGTCAGTTAACTCCCTTGCCTCAGGAAGATGTACTACCCGGACCCATGGTTAGTCACGTGATTTAATGACAAAAGTTATTTAAAACTCTGTGGTTACACTACATGTCACTTATGTTCACATTTCGTTTTGACTGTGCATCCATTCTTTCTGACATTTATATGTTTGAATAAAGATAAAACTTCAGGAAACTTCATTGCATGCAAGACCAGAACGTTTTACATTTGTATGTAAATACATTCTGCCAAACTTCTCCCAATCGAACAGTTTGTACCTGTCTCTTACAGCGGGTACCTGGGTAGGGTCGGGTGTTAGGGACTGGGTACCCGGGTAGTAAATTTGTAATTTCCGAGCCCTAGTCAGTAGACAAACAACTATGAATTCAGATTCAATTAAACTCAAACTGAAATCACTTACAGTCTTTAGCCAGTCTGTTTAAACTTATAAGTTTTCATCACAGAAATTTAATTTCCGATCTAATATGGTCTGTGTTAAAGCTATAGTAATGATTGGAGATTCAAGACATTTACTTACAGTCTGCCCGCCAAGCATTCCGCCCGTCCTTTCAATCTCAACTGGTATAGTTGCCTCCGTGGAAGGGTTTTGCATCGTAATGTCTAGCTGTCCGTTGAAGCGGAACTCTCCATTTGGGAAGTCTGACTTCGCAATAGTTACAGTAGATGTGGTACGTGAACCCAGTTGAGCACCACCTGGACGAGGAAACAAAAAAAAATGTTCAGACGTCCAAACAAATCATTCCACAAAGCAATCCCTGTGAGGTGATTTACACAAGCTAGTTGATACAACACTAATGGCAGTGTTAGAAATTGTCACTAGTCCTGTGGTCCTTGCGAAACTGCCCAATAGTTAAGGTATCATGAGGACTAATAGAAATTTGCTATTTTGAAGGGTGTTGCTATATGTTATTATTATAAGGACTAGTGGACTAAAACTGTTAGTTTCTACCGCTGTAATGGTACATTGTGTTACACTTAGAATGAAAGTTTAGATGGTTGAGACAATACAGAGATCCAGAAACCCCATCTTAGGGAGGATTACTGCTGTATAACTTAGGTCTATGCAAAGTGACATGTACTTCATAACCATGATTTGTCAATCCAAAAATTTGTTAATCTGGACAATTCAAGCGGGAACACCACCAATATTGCTGCACTCAGCAATATTCCAGTATATGATGGCGGTCTGTAAATAATCGGGTCTGGACAAGACAATTCTGTGATTAACATCATGAGCATCGATCCACACATTTAGGATACGGTGACATGCATCTACCAAGTCAGCAAGCCCGACCACCCGATTCCGTTATTTGCCTCTTACGACAAGCAAAGTCACTTCTTACGACAAACATGGGTTGCTGAAGACCTATTCTACCCCGGATCTTCATGGGTCTAATGACATTAACCATATATTATTATAATACATTAGACTTTGCACTAAGACTTCACCTGTTGTAATAGTTAACCGCAACGTAAATGTCTCCTCAAACTCCATCTCGGTGTCGTCATTCAAAGTGACATTGACAGTGGCAGCATCAACTCCACTGTTGAACTGCACAACGCCTCCAGTTCCAACGAAGTCCTGACCCTCTATAGCGCTCACAGACTGTATGTCGTACCGAACACTGACGTCGCCATAGCTACCACCGAGTCGGGTCAGTGGTACCCGGGCCACTCCATCTTCTTCCTTTACTGTGAAACGACATAAGTGAGTGAGTGAGTGAGTATGGTTTTACGTCGTTTTTAGCAATATTCCAGCAATATCACTGCGGGGAACACCAGAAATGGGCTTCGACTCAGGGACAACCAGGGTATCAATATGACTGAGATGAAACAGTATCTCAGTCATATCATTGAGTGTCAATGAGGGACACATCAAGGATCATAATCTTTGCAAATACAGATGATTCGAACCAATGACCTTGGGATGTTGACACAGCAAAGGGGTGCAACTCTGTATGGCAAATCACATGACTGAAATGACCAATCCACCTGTACATGAAGCATTAATATGAGAGGATGCAAAGCTGAATCTGTAAGGTTAAACTAGGATTGTAGGGAATCATTGAGTGTGAATAAAGAAAGACTATAAGTGATCTTTAAGTGAGGGTTTTGTGTTATGCCATACTCAGCAATATTCCAGCTATATGACAGCGGTCTGTTAATAATCCAATCTTGACCAGACAATCCAGTGATTGACATCTTGAGCAGCGATCCATTGGGATCGATGACATGCATCAACCAAGTCAGCGAGCCTGACCACCCGATCCCATTAGTCGCCTCTTACAACAAGCATGGCCGTCTGTCATGGCAAGCATGGGTTGCTGAAGACCTATTCTACCCCGTATCTTTAAGTGAAGGAATTTCCTTTTTAGTTTGTTAATATTGTGGAGTCCATAATTCTAGGTAAGCAAAAACGTGCCTTATACAAGAGTGATATACGGTTGTTAATAAAGACAAGCAACTCTTCATTATGTTGATCTCAGAGTGGACGATATATTTTGTCATCCATATGACATGATTTTAAATCAGGAGTACAATGTGAAAAACTAGCTACTGGTACTATGTATGTATATGTCAACTTTAGCCATTAATTATTCACCGATTGATAAATATTTTGTGAAAAACAGCTGAATCCCTTTTCTTTAACCATCATGTCACCCCAGACCCATGAAAAAATTAATCCCGCACAAAATGACCCACAATATACATATAATGCATGCGTATCATAGATCTAGATCTATTCTGATTTACCAGTTAAACTGGCAGCCTCCGGAGTGAACTGGATGGTTCCCTCTGCATTGTCATTTTTCTGTATGAGGATCGTCTTGACGTCAACGCCTCCAATACCAGGACGCATGTCCAGCTGCATGTTCCCTTGTTTGCTGTAGTCATTGTCACTGTAGAGAAAATATTAGTCATCAACCAATCTCAAGGGGTATATAGTACACCGACATTCCTTCAAACAGGGCCGGAATATATGTCCGCAGTTTCGCTGAGTTAGTAAAAGTGGTAGCAGACACAGAGTTACTTCCCTTTACCCAATTCATTTGGATAAGCATTTCAGCAACTCTTGTGAGATAAGCAAATTACCTATGGTGTGACCTCAGTGGTCTACATGAAATTTGTATCCTCCTGTGTGCAGACATGGAAAATAATTGCCTGCTCCATAATCAGAAGCTAGTATAATAAATGTAAGGTAACATAACTTTGCATGTATACTCCACAGGAAGCTGAGAGTGCAATCTGAATATAAGCTTAGATCCTTGTGTCATAGGGCCGCCTCCGTGGTCTTGTGTTAAAGCATCCGCCCGGAGAGAGGAAGGTCCGGGGTTCGATCCCCGGCCGCATCATACCAAAAGATGTTAAAAGATGGTACTTGTTGTTACTCTGTCTGGCGCTTGGCATAAAGGGGCTAAAACAAGTACTGGTCGGCTCGGAGTCAGTATACTGTGTCTGAGTGGAGTATTCATGTTAAACTGCGACATGGTATCTCAGCTAGCACTATAACTTGGCATCAGTCCGGACTAGTACAAGTAGCAACGCAAACAGGTGCATGCACGTCGCTATATAAGTGCAATAATCTTGGACGCGACTTTAAACCCAATTTCACCTCACCTCACCTTGTATCATAGTCTGTGTATAAGCATGAGACAGAAGTTTTTATCCTAAAGCTGCTTAAACAGTCACATTATCTTTTTATATTTGTAACATTCTATTTCCTAAAGATTAGGATGATAAAGGTCACAAAGTGTCAATATGTGTGCTATATAGAGAATCTCACCCGAGTGTCTTTTGATATCAAATATATCAACATGAGTTGAAACTAGTGGAAAAACATATTTGATATCAAAAGACACAAAGGTAAGATTTTATTTTTCATCCAACGTCAATCTTCCAACTTTTTTAGTTTGTAGACAGTAATAAGCAGTGTCCTAAGTGTAAAAAGTACTGCTAACAACTTCAGTAGCAGAGCCATTAGTGATGTCATTTGATTTTGACATCATGGTAACCAATGACATCACAATGGTCTGCAAATTACAGGAACAAACTACTGGACTCTTCGGGAATAGACATTTAAAAATGTCCGACAATATATATACACTTCAGGTGAGCTAAAATCAAAACAGCAGATCACTAAATCATTGTTATCAAGATATGCATCCAAACAGTTTGGGAATTAATTGGTTGTCCAAAACTTGCTAATAGTTGAACTTACGTTGGGCTGAGCAGCTGTGCGGAGGTCAGGTTGAGGTAGAACTGTTCGGGACCCTCGGGGAGGTCGTCAGGCTTGATGGTGACCTGGATGGGCATTGTCTGGACGCCACTCTCAAACCGCAGGGTCCCCGCCACCGGGAAGTAATCCTGGTCACTGACCGCTGTGTCCGGCGTGGATGTGTAGGACACTTGCACCTGGCCAACGTTCCCGTCTTGGCGACGCACCTCTATCTGCACCTGGAGTGAGTGAGTGAGTGAGTGACTGGAGCTATGGTTATGGAGCTCTTAACACTATTCCAACCATATTGCAGCAGGGGACCCCATGGCTGGTCGTTTAACATTCATTATCGTGATGAGTAAATGTTTCACAACATCACTACGCCATCTAAGAGGTTAACAGGTGGATCACCTCAGAACCAAGTGGTGACCTTTAAACATGGTATGCTTCATCAGGTCCTGCTGTGTCAGTCTGTATAAATATTCTTTTTTTAGTCTTCCGCAAATAATCCTGTGCTGTGGCACTGATTTCTAATTCTAAAAAATGTCATAAAAATTTACATTTATAAATTTATTTTCCAAGTAAACTCAATTCTTACAAATTTACATTCATAAAGTACTTTTCTAGTAAACTCAATTCTTACTGTTCCCACGTCTTCTCCCACTGAGACGAGCTGAGGCTGTGAGAACTCGAACCGTCCATGAGGGTAGTCGCTTGCCACAAACACAACCCGCGCCAACTTGCCACTATCATCTGCTGTTACGGTGGCGCCCCCTGTGGCAGCACTGATGACAAATGTGTATGCTTTCCTCAACTCTGGCACTGTATCGTCCTTCGCCTAAAAAGGAAATATTTGTAATATATGTAAGTACCGGGGTAATGATAAACTAGCTGATCAAAAAGGTGTTTCAGTATGTGTATATACTTCTGGAGCAACTGTTAGACACATTATCAGACACCTCAACCTTTAGACACCCTGATAATCACATCTAGTTAGAAAAAGTGTTTCGATGTACACACCTCTAAGAAACCCAGTTGCCCTGATCTACATGTCTATGAGACAACTGTCAGACACATTGATTAGGAAAGTGTTTCGATGTACACACCTCTAAGAAACCCAGTTGCCCTAATCTACATGTCTATGAGACAACTGTCAGACACATTGATTAGGAAAGTGTTTCGATGTACACACCTCTAAGAAACCCAGTTGCCCTGATCTACATGTCTATGAGACAACTGTCAGACACATTGATTAGGAAAGTGTTTCGATGTACACACCTCTAAGAAACCCAGTTTCCCTGATCTACATGTCTATGAGACAACTGTCAGACACATTGATTAGGAAAGTGTTTCGATGTACACACCTCTAAGAAACCTAGTTTCCCTGATCTACATGTCTATGAGACAACTGTCAGACACATTGATTAGGAAAGTGTTTCGATGTACACACCTCTAAGAAACCCAGTTGCCCTGATCTACATGTCTATGAGACAACTGTCAGACACATTGATTAGGAAAGTGTTTCGATGTACACACCTCTAAGAAACCTAGTTTCCTTGATCTACACGTCTATGAGACAACTGTCAGACACATTGATTAGGAAAGTGTTTCGATGTACACACCTCTAAGAAACCTAGTTTCCCTGATCTACATGTCTATGAGACAACTGTCAGACACATTGATTAGGAAAGTGTTTCGATGTACACACCTCTAAGAAACCTAGTTTCCCTGATCTACATGTCTAAGAGACAACTGTCAGACACATTGATTAGGAAAGTGTTTCGATGTACACACCTCTAAGAAACCCAGTTGCCCTGATCTACATGTCTATGAGACAACTGTCAGACACATTGATTAGGAAAGTGTTTCAATGTACACACCTCTAAGAAACCCAGTTTCCCTGATCTACATGTCTATGAGACAACTGTCAGACACATTGATTAGGAAAGTGTTTCAATGTACACACCTCTAAGAAACCCAGTTTCCCTGATCTACATGTCTATGAGACAACTGTCAGACACATTGATTAGGAAAGTGTTTCAATGTACACACCTCTAAGAAACCCAGTTTCCCTGATCTACATGTCTATGAGACAACTGTCAGACACATTGATTAGGAAAGTGTTTCAATGTACACACCTCTAAGAAACCCAGTTGCCCTGATCTACATGTCTATGAGACAACTGTCAGACACATTGATTAGGAAAGTGTTTCAATGTACACACCTCTAAGAAACCCAGTTTCCCTGATCTACATGTCTATGAGACAACTGTCAGACACATTGATTAGGAAAGTGTTTCGATGTACACACCTCTAAGAAACCTAGTTTCCCTGATCTACATGTCTATGAGACAACTGTCAGACACATTGAGTAGGAAAGTGTTTCAGCATACACACCTCTAAGAAACCTAGTTTCCCTGATCTACATGTCTATGAGACAACTGTCAGACACATTGACTAAGTAAGTGTGTCAGCATACACACCTCTAGGACTACTGTTGCCGTCTGCTGCTGGTCGACAAAGTTGATCGTCCCTTCCACTTGTTGGAACTGTTGCGACTCCCGTGGACTCAGTGACCATGTGACACTGATAGCGCCATATATACCATTTCCTCGAGTCAGAACTATCTCTGTCTGCCCATTGTACCCCTGAGCAACATTGGGTTCGCCGATGTACACTGTCCGGGATGTGGCTTCTATCGAAACTGTTCCACTGGAACCTCCATTTGCTGCAATGATGACAGTGGCATCTGCTTGTTTAACAGCAATGTTAGCGTTATTACTTGCCGATGTCAAGGACACCACAAATCTCTCCTCTCCTTCCAAAATGGTGTCCGGTTTGGTCTGAAGGACAATGGACTTCCGAGCTTCACCCTATAACATATCAATGAGTGAGTGGGTTTTATGCTGCTTTAGCAATGTTCCAGCAATAGAGATCAAAGAAACTATCCTGGTTGTGTTCACATCAAAATCACAAAAATATGCAAAATAAGACAAACTGTTTCTCATTAAGGTAATTGAATGCATATATTCCAGCGATAGGAACAAACAGTTTTAGTCCACTAGTTCTTATTGTGATAACATATAGTAAAAGGCTTGAAAATTTCTACTAGTCCTAAGGATACCTTAACTATTGGGCAGTTTGGTAAGGACTACAGGACTAGCGCTGTATGCTAATGCTATATTCTGACCTGATTAAAAGTGAGAGTTCCCTGTAACGGAGGGAGGAAGTCATCTTCTGCATTAGCTGCAAGTCTCCATTCCACAAGCACTAATCCCTGCGCTCCTTGCACTCTCTCAACAACCAATGTGGCTTGACCTTCCGGGTCAACACTAGAACTTGATTCTTTCGTGGACACCTGAAAGTAAAAGATTGATGTGGCTTATCTTCATCATGCTGTGAACATAATGACTGCAAAAATAGAAGAGTAACATAGTCTATACAGTCTTACCTCACTGGTTTGAAATCTGAAGAGTCCAGTTGGAGAATCATTTTTCAAAATGGCAACCCGGACCGTACGGAAAGTTGAAATTCTGGCTCCACCAGTGGCGCTGATAAGCCTGACATCAAACATCTGAAACATACAACAGTATGATTGAAATGTAATAAAAATGACAGATGAGCTTTTTATCCTTTGTTATCGGTTCATCGGCTATTAAAAACAAACATGTTATCATAACAAATCCAACACAGATGAAATACTCATATCCCCCTCTAATATCACATGTCCGGTTGTGTGGAGCACTACTGCCATTTTCAGTCAAAGTCGTTGCCATGGATACTTGATTTTTTTTGTTTTAAACAATCCCAAACTATCAAAAGGCATAAGTTCACAACTGGACCTATCAATGTGTCAAGTTTGGTTAAACCATCTCTCATAGTTTTGAGTTCTGCTCCGGAAACAAAACATGACAGAGGGAAGGACAACATCCATTCCTATATCCCCCTTCCTCTTTGTGGAGGGGGATAATAATAGCATAATAAAAGACTTCTCAAACTAGTGGTTGACAGCACCAGCAGTGATCCATGCCATCAGGAAATGCTTACATAGGATCAACCAACCGTTCATTGTGACCACCCAATCCTCACTTTAGTCTGGTTTTGCAACAAGAATGAGGTGCTGGGCCCCTCTGTACCCTGACAGTGCCATTCCCATGTTCATGTCCCTACCTCCATGGGTTCTTGACTTGTGTCATCAATGATGGAAATCTCAATCTGGGCACTGCTCTGGCCATTCTGAAACCTGACAGTTCCATCCGCTGGAGAAAAGTCATCTGTGTTGGCCTCGATTGGCTGGGCCTGCCATGTGACCAATACTTCCCCAAACAGCCCGCTGACCCGACTGAGAGGCAGGAGGACTTTGTTGGGGCTGCCATATTCTTCATATGTGTCCACTCTTCCTTCAACATTCTGAAAACATAAATGTTTGCAAATAAATCTGACTGTAACACTCAGATATGAGCCACCTTCTCAACCATTAAAGAACTGGAACCACACAGTCTCACGAGCAATGACTCACCAGTGTGACGTTGAACTGCACGATGCCACCAGGGTCGTCATTCTGTGTGATTCTGACTTGCGTGTATCCACCTTGGGTACGGATGCTGGGCTGGGCACTGGATGTGCTTGTGCTGCCAACCAGCTCTACGCTTGTGATGTTCACATAGAAACTCTCATCTGGCTCAGGGAGGTTATCCTAGATGAAGACAATCATGAATAAATGCCAGGATCACTTCAAAATTTTCACAGTGATACAATCAAAATCAACACATGTCCTGATAATGAATTTATTTCTTGAAATAATTCTGTTATATTATTACATATAATCAGCATCAACGGATATAAATTACATTGAAATTTCAGAAGTCTAATAGAATTTATTTTTTCAATGGCATGCACATACATGTATTTCAGAAGCAATTGATATCATATCCTTATTAATTTAAGATGGAAGATTGTTTGAAATGGCAGGCCACCTGTTTTACTGTGATTGCGACCTCAGCTTCTCTGATCCCTCCTGCCATGGTAACAGAGCCCTGTCTCGAAACGTAATCTACACCGGCGACTGCCCGGTTGTCAGGAGCCAGTCCAGTTGCAGTGGACGTCCTGGAATAGAGCAGACGTCCTGGAGATGAACATTCAACATGATCCAGAGCAATAATACAGGCACAACATTAGGGTTAGGATGGGTAACTCTGAGTAGGACCCGGGTACCCGGGTACCCACAGGACTACCTGGTTAGTCACGTGATATATTGTTTCATGACAAAAGTTATCTATAACTCCATGGTTACACTACAAGTCACCAATGTTTGCATTTCTTTCTGACTATGCACACATTCTTTCTGACTTTTATATGTTTGATCAAAGATAAAATGTCTCCTTATTTTCATCAATGTTCAACTCAAGAATGGTAATCATATTTGCAACTGGAACTGGAGTGAGTGAAAATCAGTTATTTTACAATACTGTTCGTAATATTCTAGATATACTTATGGTGGTCTGTAAGATAATAATCAAGTGTCCTGGATTGACGTTATGACCAATGAATCATGCGATCTATGCATGAGTAGCAGGGCGTGGAGTCATCCTACAGATGACATCCTTACCTTGTCAGCTTGCTGACGGGGTTAACCTCTTTGGTCATGTGGACAAGGCGTCCGACCTCGGATCAGAAGGTCCAAGTTCGAATCCCATCACATGACTCGGAAATTTGATGGCCACTACATTGGCACCCAACGTGGGGCTGAGCACGTTCATATTAAATTTGAGCAAAATAAGCCTCAGTACCCTACTATGCGTCCCGGGGCGTGCCTTTTGTTGACGGGGGAGTATGTAGCATGGCGTGGAGTCATCCTACAGATGACATCCTTACCTTGTCAGCTTGCTGACGGGGTTAACCTCTTTGGTCATGTGGACAAGGCGTCCGACCTGATCAGAAGGTCCGTGGTTAGAATCCCATCACGGGACTAGGAAATTTTATGGCCGCTACACATGTTAAAAGCAAGACCAGTTATACTGTGCTACATTTCCACACCAACGGTCATACTCAGAGCACTACATTATTATGACCTCACCGAAGGACTAGTTTGCGTTCAATTTTCATTCCCAGCTCCCTGAGGAGTATACAACCCAAGCTGCCTGTGAGGCGCAAGAAGGTTAACGGTTACATTACCATCTCATCCTACCTGGTACCCATTCACAGCTCGGTGTACTGAAGCTTATTTCAAATAAAGCCCAAGGAGACACATCAAGGTCAATATGTGCTTCAGTATGGGGCAGGACGGAAGGCCTGGAATCTTCAGATGTCAAGCTACCAAACATGGACACTCTCCACAACCGGCGCTGCTTAACTTCAGCTGATTTGTGGCCTGTACGCTGCACAGACGACCATGTCCCTCCATGAGGTGAGGTGAGGTGAAATGGGGTTTAACGTCACATCCAAGATTATTGCACTTATATAGCCACGTGCATGTACGTGTGTGTGTTTGTGAGGCTGCTTGTACTAGTCCGGACTGATGCCGATTTATAGTGCTAGCTCACTGAGATACCATGCCGCAGTTTAACATGAATACCCGACTCAGACACAGTATACTGACTCCGAGCCGACCAGTCCTTGTTTTAGCCCCTTAATGCTGAGCGCCAGACAGGGTAACAACAAGTACCATCTTTTAACATCTTTTGGCATGACGTGGCCGGGGATCGAACCCCGGACCTTCCACTCTCCGGGCGGACGCTCTAACCACTAGAGCGATCCTGTGCCTCCATGATGACACACAATCAGCTGACACATCATAACCCCTTGCTCCTAATTAGTTGCTTCTTACAACTAGCCATGGGAACTTGGCAGGTTTCGTTTGTTGGTTTGTTTGTTTGTTTGTTTTTTAACGCCTCACTCAGCAATATTCAAGCTATATGACGGCAGTCTGTAAATAATCGAGTCTGGACAAGATAATCCAGTGATTGACATCATGAGCATTGATCCACACATCTTCCCAAGGCAAGAGAGTTAACTGTCTTTAAAAGTCCAGTTTCCACACTTGCTGGGCTGGAACTAGGCTGGAATTACTGGGCTCGATCGTAGCGCTATTACCAGCTATGTCCCTTCTAAACCTCTCCTATGGACTAATCAGATTCCACCTCTCGTATCACTTGCATTTGCTTCACACAAAATGGTGGCGCACAGTCAGGACGATCTGATCGATAATCAAGATCTATATTGTGATAAAACGGGTCTTACATCGTGAAATGCATCAAATCACGCGGGCACCTTGATTAAAAACATGAAAAGATTTGGAAAATATTCTGCTGACAACGAGTTGGTGGTGCACATGCTTTGCAAATCCAGCAATCGACTGAAATCTGCACGACAGTTTACGAACCGGATTTCGATTTCGGTGCGCGGTTTTGATTGGACTCGTTAGTCCAACCAAAATGTAACTCCATAATACCAGCCTAGTTCGGCAAGGGTGGAAACTGGACTTTTATAGTCAGTTAACTCTCTTGCCTTGGGAAGATGCGATCCACACAATTAGGATCGATGACATGCATCAACCAAGTCAGTGAGCCTGACCACCCAATCCCGTTAGTAGCCTCTTGCGACTAGCATAGTCGCCTTTTACGGCAAGCATGGGTTGCTGAAGACCTATTCTACCCCGGATCTTCACGGGTGGAACTTGGCAGGAAATGTTACTCACACAAAGAAGACTCTGATGGATCCTTCAGTGCCCTGTTCACGGATGATCTTCAGCTGAAGAGTTGAGTCTGTTCCCTGGGGCTCGATTGTTGTTGTCAATGATGTCTCCCATGATACAACGCCATGCGGGGAGTCGTTGGCCTGAACCGTCACCTTACTTGTAATCTTCTGGCCTGAGAAAACCAGGTAATAACTTTATCTTGAGAACCCGTTGAACACAGGGGAATTAATTTCTTGAAACTATTCCAGACTATGCTTTTTAAAGTATTATGAATAAGTATCCGACATACTCGTTAGTCCAACATAATCATATGCAACCATCGATGTCGGATTAACGGGACTTGACTGTATACTGGACATGGTGAATGATTATGGCAGTAGCTTGTCATGCTGGATATTTAGGACCAGTTCTCCACACTGAAGCAATGGCCATTTTAGTGTTCCTGCACCTGAATAAGGGTGAACCCACTCACTCACCCACCCAACCAACCCCTCCCACCCACTAACTCGCTCATTCAACCCTACCCATTCACTCATTCACTAACTCACTTACTCAAACCTACTCACTCCCCCACAAACTCACTCACTCACTCACTCAGTGTTAGGAAGTGAACGTACCTAATATTGCCCCTTTGTTGGGCAGGGTTGTACCTCTCTCCAGAATCTCCACCAACTGGACATAAGTGTCCTCAGCAAACTCCGCCTCCACGTCGTCCCGCACTGTCATGGTGATTGTTGACAGCACCTGGCCATTGGCAAACTCAACCTGGGAAGAAGAAATCACAAGGCAGACATACAGCCAGGTCCTTGATAGCTATGCCTGTATATAATCTACAGTCATCAAAGGTAAACTTTATATGCCCAGGCTAATCTGTGTTCTAGTAAGTTGGATTCAAGTTTGTAAAAATCCTTTTTTTTTTTTGCTAAGTCAAATTGTATGATGTAGATCAATCTCTCCCTTGTGTCTGATCAGGCCAACCACCATTCTCTTGGCATTATTTCTGTGGTATTGTGAGGGTGGAATAGCCCTTATACTGCCTGTTTACTGAAAGTTGTTTCAGCATGGTTTCAGACTAAGGCGGAATTGTTGCACGGCGCTTCTCCTGGCATGCATTCGTAAGCAAGGGAGCAATCATTGTGTTACAAGAGATGTTCTGACGTGACACACAGTCTATTACCTTTTTCAGATCCAAATGTTGATAAAAGAGCAAAGATATGGGCTAAGTTTACACCAAACAAAAGCTGGGCTTCGGGCATGGGCATCTAGTGGTTAAAGCCGTACACAGGAGCACTGACTTAATCAATGATCCTGGCGATACATTGATATCACTGAGTGTAGTTGGCTCTCACAATAAACATGGAGTACAGTGCCAAAATGGGGTAACAATTCCCAGACCATCAAATAAAAGAGATTGATTATGAGGGACCCACTAATTAATATTCAAGGGACTGGGATCTGTGTTAAAGCCAACATCCCCTGCTTCAAAGATGCAATTTGTCTGTGAAAAAGAGACAAACAATTTGATTCTTTTTCAAAAGACATTTTGTTTTGTAGACATCCAACATGTCCGAAATTATTTATTTTGTCCTGACAATTATATCTTACAAAAAGGTGCCTGGGAAAGTTGATGAAGTTCCATGCCTACCTGCCCGGACAGTGGTGTGATGTCAGACGTCCCAGTGTGGTCCCCCGTTGCCGCCCATCTGATGACCACCCGGCCGAAGTGACCAGCCTTCCTGTTGACATTCAGCTGTATGGTGGTGTCCCTGCCATTCTCCTCCTCCACCAACACAGAGAGGGAGTCCTGCGCAGACATCACAACCACTCTAGCATCACAAGCAACATGGAATACCCGAAGATAATCGGTACAAAAACAGCAGTTACTCAGTAAGAGTAAGTTACAGTTTTCTGGGGTACTGAACCAGCCAGCGAATAATGTCTCCTCTACTGGACTTCGAATACATTACTGGGGTGGTCGGGTAGCCTAGTGGTTAAAGCGTTCACTCGTCACGCCGAAGACCTGGGTTCTATTCCCGACATGAGTACAATGTGTGAAGCCCATTTCTGGTGTCCCCCGCCGTGATATTGCTGGAATATTGCTAAAAGCAGTGTAAAACCATACACTCACTCACACTCACTCGAATACATTACTATGTCATTCTATGAAATCACAGACAGGCTGCAACTATATGTTAAAAGTTAAAAGTTTTTAAGACTAATTGCAAATTGCCTATGTACCAAGATTATATTAAAAATATCATTACATATTGAACTAAACAGAATTAACATTAATTCAATGATGAATAAAACTGAAATTGATAATACTTTTACATGCAATAATCAAAATAAAACAAAATCATATATGTTGAAAACACATACCATTCAAACCCAAATGTCTGAATTGTATTCCTGCTATAATAGAAATAAAATAGAAGCAAAATTAAACCAACGCTACCTCAAATCAAGGATGCAAACGATTCATGAAATCTTGTTAAACCAAACCCTCAACCAGGACATGAGCAAAACAATGTTTTAACTGAAATAACTAAATAATACAATAAATATTTAACTAAATAATACAACGGGATCTCAGCCACACAAAAACAAGTGGGGTTTTGAAGCTAGTCAGGTGTATGTGGGTATTCACAAATTGGGTCTAAAAGCAGGTATACAGTGATCCCTCGCTATTGCGCTCTTCGATAAAGCGCTACCTCGGTTACTACGCGCGGTATCGCATGGCTCCCAAAATTTATGTACACTTTTATTACTGAGAGTTTTACACAGACATAATTGTATTGTTGTTCGTTGTTCATTTGCACATAACGCTTCTCATTGCATAATCAACCGTTGATTGCTGAATGGAGTTCTAATAATCTGTTTGAAAACATCCGCGGCAAGTCCCGGAAATACGATTGTTCAACTAGTTAACTTTTCACACTATACATCCTTTGATCTTAGAAGCGCATGCATGCAATAAAAGAGAACCACAAGCGAAGTTTATATTCTTAATTAGTGGGCAATCAAATTGAGGCGACACTGTCACACATACCAAGCTCGTGTTTGATGAATTTCAGAAGTTGGCGAAAGATTTTTTGTTAAATCGTGTTATTCTGAACGTTTTAAGCAGGAAATCACGATATATATTAAAAATATGGAACTTCGCGAATGTATCGTGCTAGGTTACGAGCTGTGACAAAGATTTTTCATGCATATATTTTTGCATTAAATGTTCTGTCCGAGCCGAGAATTCAAGGCGACGAAAGCAGAGATGTCATTTGACTTACATTACACGCGATTGCACGAAACGATGGAAATAATAACTTAGATGTAAGTTTGATTACTTTTAGATATATTTTTGTTAATTTTATTTATCACTTTGTATAATATATTTGATTTAAAGATTTGTTTAAAACGTCTTTATTTTGCTCTTTGATGTGGACCCGTTGTCGAAATGTGTGTCTGAGAATTTTATTTTCAATAACATCGCGGGAAATAGTGAATAATTTTTTAATTTATCGATAAAAAAGGATAAATTTAAATGGAATACGTATTTCAGACATTGTGAAATGTGACACATTTAATAAATGAATGATATTACAGGTAGATCTAGGTCCATAAAGATATATACTATTTTGATGTGACGTGAGATAAACACATATTGATGATTTGAGATTTGCCGAGCGCGCTCCCCCGCCTCGGCCTCGGTTAAACGGCTCATCGTCTATAACGCCCACCAATAATTTGGACCCCATTGGTAGCTTTGTAGCGAGGGACCACTGTATAATGATTCCATGTGTGACAATTTGATTCAGTGTCTGAGAACCAGGAATATATTTCTTCATCTCAAGAATCTTCATTCATAATATCATTCATAAGTAAGGCCAGACAACTATATCTATTGTCTGTCAGATGTCCATACAAAGACGCGAGAGCAAAAGTAAAGGTTGGTTATAGATTTGTTTCCTTGATAATTCTTGAAACCAAAGTTGTGTTAAAATAAAGAAACAATAGATGTCTTAAAAAATGCAAATTTTCAATAAAATAGAGTAAATTTATCAAATTTGTTTTCACTTTCAGTCTAATTAATCCATATAACAATAAACAAGAATTGTCTGGCCTAGATACTTTATGGAAAGTTAATATACGGTATTAGATGTAATAAGCGTCCTGCAGCAATAAGCGCCCACGGCGATAATTGCTAATATATTGGCTATTGATCAAGCACAAATTAGCACCCCTTCCGATTGATCAATGTTTACAAGACTTATTTATTCACGTATAATACACACTCATGTGTTATATGCACCCTTAATTATGGGCAATTTAATTCTGGAAAAATATATTTGTCGTATATAACATTTCAGGCTGTCAGCATAAACCACGAAATATATCTTTCAACTGTTTTTCCACCAAAATAATATTCTAATAAGAGCCCCCTTTTTCTAATTTTGAGAGTGCTCTGGGTGCTTATTACGTCGTATACGATATATTCAAATATAAAACCGCCCCAAATCCTGCACCAATATCTCCATGAACATCACTCTTATATCTTCATGGATTCAATTAAAGAATACATAAATGTATAGCTAGCTCAATGTTGCCTGACTGATCTTACATCCGAGAATTCAATAATGCCATGTGCATTATCATTGGAGAGAATGCTGACAATGACGGATCCAGGCTGACCAATTTCGGCGCCGGCTGTAGGGTCTATGAGGGAAACCCGGAATGTTTCAGTGTCCTCAGGAATATTGTCTTGTAACACAACAGCAGTTGTGTGGCGAACAGTCTCACCAGGGTAGAAGGTCATTGTAATGAGTCTGGAGTGAAGAATAAATGATTAATACCATATGAAAGTCAAATCGTCAGAATTTTACATCCAACAAAAAGTGCATTAATTATATCAAATACGCTAGGCCAGATAAAACTCTGATGAACTCATCTATACTACTCAAAGAAGTTGAAGAACATTTTTTTTCATATTATGATAGTTAATTTGTCATGATAGTTCCTCAACTTCTTTTGAGTAGTATATACACAGTATACCATGACCACCAGAAGTATAGCTCAACCCGCTGTACTTCCTATGTAAGACCTGTGAAGATCCAGGGTAGAATAGGTCTTCAGCAACCCATTCTTGCTGTAAAAAGCGATTGTGCTTGTCATAAGAGGTGACTAACGGGATCGGCTTGCTGACTTGGTTGCTGCATGTCATCGTATCCTAATTGAGTGGATCGATGCTCATGATGTTAATCACTGCATTGTCTGGTCCAGACTTGATTATTTACAGACCGCCGTCATATACTGGAATATTGCTGAGTGCGGCAATATTGGTGGTGTTCTCACTTGAATTGTCCAGATTAACATATTTTTGGATAACAAATCATTGTTATGAAGTACATGTCCTAAGTGCATAGACCTAAGTTATACAGCAGAAATCATCCATAAAATGGGGTTTCTGGATCTCTGTATTGTGTCAACCATCTAAACTTTCATTGACGTACCTTGGTACAAAATCACTAAGCAGGTTAACTTGAGCAATCTGGAAAATGGTGGCCCCATCTGGCCCATCATCCACAGGGGCTCCAGCCAGTAAGAGCAGAAGGCCATTGGATTGCTGGATGACGACCGGTTCTAGTCGACGTTGTGTGGCACCAATCCAAGCTGACTCAAAGACACTTCTCGACCTGTTCCACTTATACACTATGGAGGAACTCAGAGTATTGGCAAACGCGAGGTAGACTGCAAGATCAAGGGAATAAAGTCAGTGACATATATAGAAAACTAAATGAACGGATCACTGAAAATCAATTAGGATAGTTGTTTGAGAAAAGGGTCCCTACTAAACTCACTAAACCAGAACAGGTTATTTTGCTTATAATATGTCAATACCTCAATTTTGAATTATATAAAATTTAGGGTGTGATTGATTTAAAACACTTTCTTTGGGCATCCTTTGTATAAATTATTGTTACAACTCCAAAGGGGCAGTCGGGTAGCCTAGTGGTTAAAGCATTCGCTCATCACGCTGAAGACCCAGGTTCGATTCCATAATGTTGCTGTAATATTGCTAAAAGTGGCATAAAACTATACTCAGTCACTCACTCACAAAAGTTCTTAAACATATGAACTGCATATGACTACTTACAATTTCACAAGTAACATTAGTAACATAATTACGTCTGGTATGTTCTCTATGGTTATCAACTCACGGTTCTCCCCATCCGTGACCGAGGCGACCGACTCCGTTCTGGTTGTCTCCAGGAACTGATGGTTGAGGAAGCGCTTTGTGGCGCTGTCGTATCTATAGACACCAGACTGCTGAGGACTACGGACCACGTTCTGGCGGTTATTGGCGAATACTAGGAGTTGCATGGTGCTTGTGTTCACATATTCCACATCCATGGCACCTTGCGTGGCCAGAGTCTGGTGCTGAGAAAATCGAAAACTGTCTCCCATCTTGTAGACTGCCGAGCTGTAGGTGAATCAAAATGTCGAAGGTATAGTGGTATTTACACTTGACCACCGCCAGATGAAAATAAAGTCTAAATGCAATGGAAGACACAAATCATATCAACCTACATTTACATATTACTGATAACATTTATTGGTGTTCAAGAACAGGATGAACAGAAAATAGTTTAGTTTACCCTGAAGGATATATTCTAAAGGTTCAACATGGCGGCGGCCATTTTTATTTCTAGTCTGTACATATAACTTAGTTGTTTTCAAGAAAGATCTAGATACAAACATTAACTTTTGAACTGATTTGAGCTACTGGGAGTATTTCAGGAGAAATGTTTAACTGAATACAGAATAGCGCTATTCCGCTGTTTATTATTCGTGTTCAATTAAATCACTTATGGTAAAGCCAGACATTTTTAGAGTTTTTTGGGGCTGGAGCATCAACAAAATAAAACAATAAGGCCTAACATACATATAATTTTGTGTACACACGTTTGCAATAATGTCTGAAGCAGTTATCAACAGATATCCAAAACGTCTTATTGTTGCTATAACTGTGATGTTTAATAATGCGAGCAAAGACCACTCACATTTTTCGCATTTAATTCACGCTCGCATTAATTTCAAAAGTGTGATGTTTGCATCCTTGCACCTCTAATTCACATCATCTCACTGAGCGGGCATCTTTATCTGTAAAACCACTAAAACATAGGGTTTAATGTACAAAGTCAACCTACTTTGTCTCATATGAGCTCTTTGTCGAGTCGTAGTAACTTGCTACAGCCATGAAGAGGACGCCATCGAGATTGAAGAGAGAGATGGCATGGGCGTACAGGGTGGAGATCTCCTGCCATGGCGACACTCCGAACTGTTTGGTGACGGTGTTGTAGATGTGGAGGCTGACCTTCTGGTTGGACTGGCTGGCGTTGTTAAGGGCGTGGGATATCACCAAGAAGTGTTGATCCTGGTGACTGACGAACTTCACATCACTGGCGCCAAAGGTTCGGAATACTTGGCTCTATAAAACACCCACAGGAATAAGAACATGGTACTTTTACATGGGGATTATGTTTAACACTGCTTCAAACAGTATAAAAGTTATATTACGATGTCACAGCGCAATGTTTAAGAGAAGCAGGACATTGATGATTACCACTTTGGTGAAACAGGGATATGGTGCTGACAAACCAAGGATCATAATCAGGGAAGATCTGTGGATACTGGAATAACTAAGTGATGCAACTCTGCACAGCAAATTGTGGCATCCTTCTAAAATGAAAAATGCATTTCTGGACATATTCACTGTGGGTGGGGATGGGTTTTTTGGAAAAAAAAAGTAATTCTTTTACATTTTCCCTACCAACAATAAATAATATAATGGGTTTATATCCTTCATAATACTTAACTAATTCAAGCTTTCACCTAGACATTTACTCAACTTAGCCAAATGTAATGTAAAATATGTTTTCTTAGTTTTCAAAAGTTCAGCTTTTCAGATATCAGGACCAAATTGTGTGTATTTTGTAAGTAAGGTAAAAAAAATAAAGTCTTTGTTCTCAGGCACTGCCCACATGATCATAAAGTTCACCTCAAATTTCTTTTTTACTTCCATTTCAATTTTTTTTTAAATAATCCTTAAATATTCCTCGTCTCGAACACACAATCTCAGAAGTGATTTAAATTCGCATTGCTTTACTGTGCATCTCATGTTATGGTCATGGCAGCAATAGAGTTTGAGTGCTTGTTTTGCCGTTTGCAAATTTGGTCAGTGAAAACAATTACGATTAAACATCACTGGACATGAAGATTTACAAATTTAATGGTATTTGTGTACTGTATGCCGGACAATGTTTCATACACAGATTACAGTTGTTGCATGTTGCGTATCTTGGAGCTGGGCATGACTCCTACTGTGACACTGAGTTCCTAGAAGGGTTGACTGAGAGAGAGCACATTGGACAGGGAGGCTAGAGTGGGTACACATGTACTGACCGGGGCCAGTATTCCCTGCTCTGTGACAGTGTAGAGGACCGAGTCCACTTCACGCCTCCCTTCCCTCCCACCGTTAGCCAGCATCAGATATGTCACTCCATCCAACACAAAGGATGTAGCGGCCGTCGCCCCATCGCTTGCCACAGTCTGCAGGGAGAAGTAATAAGTCACTTACAATAAGTCATATACAACAATTACAATATATATTATCCATAAAGACCAGACATGTCATTAACAATTCCCTTTACTTCTCTCTCCTACTGTGATGGCCCAAAAACTACAAATTTCAAAAAGCCTTTTAAGTTTCAGCAGGATATACAGTTTAAAGTTTATTAATTCTTGCCTCACATTACAGAATTGCCGATGAACAAACCGACATGCTGATGTCTGCCCTTACACAGGGAGATGATAAGTACTGTTGGGTAATTGTTGATAAAAATATTGACACATTTTATCACATGACATTCGCATGCTAACACATGTAAGTTCTTTCACAGAATAGCTTCTACTTCAGGATAGTCTTTGCTCCTCCATTAAAACTTGTATCATCAACACAATACATAAATCTTCTTTCATACCCTGTTGCAGTATATGGTGCAAAACCCTGTCCACTCAATGTCCATGCATCCAGTAATTTGAAATTAACACTACTTAACATGGATGAAGTAATTTATTACATAATGGATTATTAATCGAAGTTACAAATCAATCTGATAAACATGGTTTCACAATCAGATAAACAACTACTTTCAATCTTCATACATCAATGCAATGCCTTCTTTCTCAATATACTACAGTAAACTACGGTCATAATGAACTCAAAGGGACCACTTATTGTGGTTCGTCATAACCGTATTTTGTTATTAGCAGCATAGATACATCAATAGACAAGACCCCAAAACCAGTTTTTTAAATCCATCAGTTTCTTAAAAGTGTGTTCGTTATAACATTGTTTTCTGTATTGAGTAAAGTTCCCAATATGCTTTGATACAGGGGTTTCTCAATGTGTCACCATGGAGACAAACATGTCCACAAGTCATTTGGCACTATTTGATCTATTGGGCTGTTCACTCAAACATTGTATCCATACACTGCTTCTAACGGTACTACACTGAGCGAAATTATATCTTAAACATCTAATATTTTAAGAATGATGTTATATGATAAAGACATAATTACTCATGAGTGTTTCTGTATCATAACTATCATATATTAGGAACAAAAAGAGTATCATGATTATAATCTTATTTCTGAAAATATATTTACGATACTGAAACGTTCTTGGCTGATGTCTATTGATATATGGTATTTCCGGTGTTTCGTGCCCACGGTAATGTCTTTCCATGGGGGAAAAAAACATCCAAACTCATAATTCGTGTATAATGCGCACCCCCTTCTACACAGCTGTGTTTTTTCGAAAAAAAGTGCGCTTTATACTCAAGAAAATACGGTAATGTTGAGTTTTGGTTTCACTGTATTCCAAAGTACAGCTATAGCACTCACACTGACGTACACCGCCTCTCCCTGCCACCTGAAGAGAGCTGACTGGCCGTCACCTTGGTATGGACCTGCAGGAACCTGGGATCTCAGAGTAGTCCCAGTTGGCAGAGATGTCAGCATCAGGATGTAGGTGGTGCCTCCCACACTGAAACTATGCCAGCCACTAACTCGCACACTGGGTATGTTCTGCAACAGAGCTACAGTTATCTCCCCTTGTGAAGAAACAGTCAAGGCTGTTTCAGCAACTGTGTTGACATTCACAGTGATGGTTCCATCTGATCCTCTTGATCTGATAATGTCTAGATTAACTAGTCCAGGGCTTTCTTCGAGAGAAGTTGATGTGTTCCTGAAAATGAGGAAAATAATCTGAAGAGGCTGTTTCTATTTGCAGATAAACATGAACAGTCAGTAACAAATGTTAGACTTCTTTGATAACCACATGACACTGAAGCATTTAGACAAAATATCAAGAGATCGGCCTTAGCTAAGGACCACGGCTGGCAAAATTGGGAGATGTGTGTCCGTTTAACCTTCATAGTGTCCTTATTTATGTAAACTTTGCATAGTGTCCATAGAAGCTTTTTCATAGTGTCTATAGAAGCTGTCATTAGGAGTCTTGTATAGTATCCTTAGGATAGTTTGCATAGTGTCCTTAGGAGCTTTTGTATTGTGTTCATGGGATAGTTTGCATAGTGTCCTTAGGAGCTTTTGCACAGTGTCCTTAGGAGCTTTTGTATAGTGTTCTTAGGATAGTTTGCATAGTGTCCTTAGGAGCTTTTGCACAGTGTCCTTAGGAGCTTTTGTATAGTGTTCTTAGGATAGTTTGCATAGTGTCCTTAGGAGCTTTTGCATAGTGTCCTTAGGAGCTTTTGTATAGTGTTCATGGGATAGTTTGCATAGTGTCCTTAGGAGCTTTTGCACAGTGTCCTTAGGAGCTTTTGTATAGTGTTCATGGGATAGTTTGCATAGTGTCCTTAGGAGCTTTTGTATAGTGTTCATGGGATAGTTTGCATAGTGTCCTTAGGAGCTTTTGTATAGTGTTCTTAGGAGCTTTTGTATAGTATTCTTAGGAGCTTTTGCATGGTGTTCTCAGGAGCTTTTGTATAGTGTCATTAGGAGCTCTGGTATAGTGTCCTTAGGATAGTTTGCATAGTGTCCTAAAGAGCTTTTGCAAAGTGTCCTAAGGAGCTTTTGTATAGTGTTCTTAGGAGCTCTTGTATAGTGTCCTTAGGATAGTTTGCATACTGTCCTAAAGAGCTTTTGCATAGTGTCCTAAGGAGCTTTTGCATAGCATCCATTGGAGGTTTTGTATAGTGTTCTTAGGAGTTTTTGTACAGTGCCCTTAGGTGCATTAGCCATGATGTAAACCTCTATTGATATACTTCACCCCCCAAAAAGAAATACACAAATGATGCAGTGTCATTTTAGGCCAAACCCCAAAATAAATAGATTAGACTTTTGGAGGTGATAAGAGGGCGTTCATGGTAGATACCTAAGACATGTTATAACAAAGAAGATTTCTCATATATACATCTGATAGAAAAGACTTTGGCATTGGTATATCAAACTATTAATGAACAGTCATAAATCTGTTCATCAAGTTGTTTCATGTGATTATTGATATTCTAAAACAAAATAAAAAACACTTGCAAGGAACTCACATATCAAAATTCCATTTAAAAGTACAGTAAACTAAGGTTATAACGAACACGCTTATAACGAACTGACTGATATAATGAACTTATTTTTTAGTCTCGGCCATTGTTGTATATATGCTATATATATGCTTATAACGAACTACGATTATGACGAACTAAAATAAGTGGTCCCTTAGAGTTCGTTATAACTGTAGTTTACTGTATTCAATGTCCTAATTAATCTTGATAGCGCTTGATATTACATCAACATTCCTGGGGAATGTTCTCTGCTCACCTTGTGTTGGACACAAATATTTCAAAGAGTCCCTGAGGTGAGTCATTAGGTTCAATGGTGATGTCCTTCTGTATCATGGACCCCAGCTTGGCGTTGTTGTCTGGAGACTGAAGTGTGAGGGTGAACCTTTCCAGATCCTCTGGGATGTTGTCATCCACAGCCCGAATCTCCAACACACTGCGAATCTGAAGGACAGTTTGTATGTTATTACAGCTCAAGGCCACGCCAGCTCACATCCTTGGAGTACATATTGTCTTCATTAACATGACCACAGGTAGAATTAAAACTACACTTGGTAATATATATCTAATTTCCTTAAAAAAGTATTTAAAGAATTGTGGCTTCCATGTCAAACAAGTTTACAATCTTGTCATGTTCATCAAACTGAGAATCACACACTTTAAAACTGAATTAATTCAAATTTAGCATAAAAGTCAAGACTATCATCACACTATAAAATTCTCACAGATAAATCCTCAAATATGATGAATCCGGACGCAGGCACAATGTCTGTGACAGGGGTGTTGTCCGCTGATGTGATGGTGAATGGTACTCGGACCATACCGTAGTTACCCGGACCGCGGTACAAGCGCAATTCCGCCTTGCTCTGTACCAGGTTGTCTCCTGTTGGTTCTCGTAACACCACTGTGCTGTTGTCTGCTAAGTCGATGATGCCACTGGCGTCATCATTAGCAAGGATAGTCACAGTAGCTGGAAACAGAGAGTGGCTTTGATTCATATACCTATTTTGTTTTAACTTGAAAAATGTTTCCTTCAGTTGAACAAGAATAATAAAAGACAATGAAACACAATGATAAATGATGCATGGGACTGGGGCAATAGGATTTTTTAGTTTGGTTCTTTGTTTGTTGTTTAATGCTGCCCTCAGCAGTATTCCAGCTAAGTAGGGAGGTATGACAGGTGTAGCATTAAGCTATGTTTAAGTAGGGTGGTATGACAGGTGTAGCCATAAGCTTTGTTTAAGTAGGGAGTTATGACAGGCCTAGCATTATAAGCAATGTTTTAGTAGGGAACTGTGATACTCTAGTTTAATTAGGGTGGTATGACAGGTGTAGCAATAAGCTTTGTTTAAGTAGGGAGTTATGACAGGCCTAGCATTAAGCAATGTTTTAGTATGGAACTGTGATACTCTAGTTTAAGTAGGGAGTTATGACAGACATAGCATTAAGCTATGTTTAAGTAGGGTGGTATGACAGGTGTAGCATTAAGCAATTTTTAATTAGGGTGGTATGACAGGTGTAGCAATAAGCTATGTTTAAGTAGGGTGGTATGACAGGTGTAGCAATAAGCTTTGTTTAAGTAGGGAGTTATGACAGGCCTAGCATTAAGCAATGTTTTAGTATGGAACTGTGATACTCTAGTTTAAGTAGGGAGGTATGACAGGTGTAGCATTAAGCAATGTTTAAGTAGGGTGGTATGACAGGTGTAGCAATAAGCTTTGTTTAAGTAGGGAGTTATGACAGGCCTAGCATTAAGCAATGTTTTAGTATGGAACTGTGATACTCTAGTTTAATTAGGGTGGTATGACAGGTGTAGCAATAAGCTTTGTTTAAGTAGGGAGTTATGACAGGCCTAGCATTAAGCAATGTTTTAGTATGGAACTGTGATACTCTAGTTTAAGTAGGGAGTTATGACAGACATAGCATAAAGCTATGTTTAAGTAGGGTGGTATGACAGGCGTAGCACTAAGCCATGTTTTAGTAGGGTGGTATGACAGGTGTAGCATTAAGCAATGTTTTAGTAAGGTGGTATGACAGGTGTAGCAATAAGCTTTGTCTAAGTAGGGAGTTATGACAGGCCTAGCATTAAGCAATGTTTTAGTAGGGAACTGTGATACTCTAGTTCAAGTAGGGAGGTATGACAGGTGTAGCATTAAGCAATGTTTTAGTAGGGTGGTATGACAGGTGTAGCAATAAGCTTTGTTTAAGTAGGGTGGTATGACAGGTGTAGCATTAAGCAATGTTTTAGTAGGGAGTTATGACAGGCCTAGCATTAAGCAATGTTTTAGTAGGGAACTGTGATACTCTAGTTTAAGTTGGGAGGTATGACAGGTGTAGCATTAAGCAATGTTTAAGTAGGGTGGTATGACAGGTGTAGCAATAAGCTTTGTTTAAGTAGGGAGTTATGACAGGCCTAGCATTAAACAATGTTTTGGTAGGGAACTGTGATACTCTAGTTTAAGTAGGGAGGTATGATAGGTGTAGCATTAAGCAATGTTTAAGTAGGGTGGTATGACAGGTGTAGCAATAAGCTTTGTTTAAATAGGGAGTTATGACAGGCCTAGCATTAAGCAATGTTTTAGTAGGGAACTGTGATACTCTAGTTTAAGTAGGGAGGTATGACAGGTGTAGCATTAAGCAACGTTTAAGTAGGGTGGTATGACAGGTGTAGCAATAAGCTATGTTTAAGTAGGGAGGTATGATAGGTGTAGCATTAAGCAATGTTTATGTAGGGTGGTATGACAGGTGTAGCATTAAGCCATGTTTTAGTAGGGAGTTATGACAGGCCTAGCATTAAGCAATGTTTTAGTATGGAACTGTGATACTCTAGTTTAAGTAGGGAGGTATGACAGGTGTAGCAATAAGCAGTGTTTTAGTAGGGTGGTATGACAGGTGTAGCAATAAGCAATGTTTAAGTAGGGAGGTATGACAGGCTAGGCACTAAGATCACTTCATGGATCTAGGTGTTGAGGACTATATTTTGAAACATAGCTCACCTGTTGCAAAACTTCCAAGGGCAGCTCCTTGTGGGTTTGCCAAGATGACCTCAAAGACCTCATTGGGCTCAGGTGCATTATCATCCATGATTTCAATCAGCATATTCTTTGAGTTTTCTCCAGCAGCAAAAGTTATTTCCTAGACAAAAATATGTATCAATTGAGTGTAATGAGTATTCATAACTTGGCATCTAGTACAGGGAATATTGAGTTTCAATGAATAATTAGTTGTAAGAAAAATATTGCTAACAAAAGAGAGATAGATATTTCAAACATGTGAAATACACTTAACAATATATCAGAATATGTTGAAAAAACAACAAATGATTTTAAAATGTAGATATAAGTTTTTGAACCCCTGGGATCCTAAGCAAAACCTTCAACTCCACTTCTCAAATTTGTTTGGATGATACAAGTATCTGGCTAATACATTTCATGTTATTGACAAACATAAGAATGCACGCCAAATCTGGATGCTTAACAATTTCTGTTTTTGAAATCAATGACAAACACCATTTTGTGTTAATGGCCTATTTGATCTGTCCAAACCTGTGGAGTGAGCTTGTAGTCTACACCGGTCTGGATCCCCGGCGTAATGGCCTGGCTGTAGAAGTAAACTGAGACCTGGCCGAAAGTGCCTCGATCTCGCACCACAGCCAGAGATACATTCATGTTGTTCTCTTGAACAGAGAAACTGAAACATGTTGAAATAGAAAGTTTAGATCATTTTTATGCAGAAAGCTTTGAAATTACATAAAAAACTTTAAAAAGTATTGGTAGGACCACACCAACTACCATTGGATTTGAATTCAGTAGAAAATTCCAACAATTTCCAGTCTCACAAATTTTAAAAGGTTATCAGAGATTAATAAATTAATACTAGTTATGAAGTGACATCTGTAGGGAAAGGAAGTGCAACATCCAGCAGTCATAACATCATGAAACTGGAGATGTGCTTATCTAAAATGTATAGGGCACAACAGCATAAAATTGTTTAAAAGTTGGAATCCAATTGTTACCTTCTTGAAGATTCACCGAACATGATGAGGCCTTTTGTTCCATCATTAGCACTGATTATCACTTCCGATGTGACATTAGAAGCAAGCTGAGGGGGAAACGGCACAACATCAGATCCTGTCAACGCCACACCTGTCAGACTGACAATAAACACCTCATCAATTTCAGGAGTGTCATCGTTTCTGATGTCCACCACAATGGTGCCAGAGGCTGCGCCATCAGGAATTGTGATCTGTCCATTATTCATGGCACCAAAGTCCTCATTGGCTGTTGCCAAAATTAGAACCGTGGAAGTTGGTGTAACAGAACCTGCACTGATGTTATACGACACTTGGACAGCGCCGATGGTTCCAAACTTTCGGTCAACTTGCAGGTTGACTCTTCCAACGTCTTCTTCGACACGTACAGCTTGTGACGTCAGCGCGAACTGGAAGAGGCCATGAGGGTTGTCACTGCCTCTGATGGTGATGAGGGCACTACTTCGGAGAGGGTTAATTGTAGCAGCCCCGGTTACCCCCACACCTGGAGGGAGATATTAAATCAGAGTTACTGACGAGTAGAAACTTTTAGCTTATATTTACAACATTAAAGCACCCTATAATGATGTACTTAGGCCAGTCTCATTTATTTACTTGTTTTATGGAAGAGACTCATATCTAATTTTGATTAAATTATTTTTTAGAAATTGTTTGTTTTGTTTTTTATCAAGAAAGGAGGAGGAGGTAGGATAAGTGCTCTGTTTGGCCCACTGGAAATATCACACTTTACAGTTGCCAAAGACTTTAAAATATTTGTGTAACAATTATCAGACATGTTTAAATAACTTTCTTGTTTTGTCCACAACTTTATGGCATAAAAAGTTAAAAATCTAAGAATGAGCAAGTCCATTACCCAAGAGGAATATGTTTGTAATGTTTTTACATGTACGTCTCCAATGAAAAGCAGCTTGTGTCAAAGACTTGCTCATGTTCAAATATTGGAAAATCCCTTCACGAAACCTCAAAAGTCAGCCTTTTTAACACATGTAATCCTCATATATTTATTTACTGTTGTCATAAGTCAAAAGCATTTGTTGAAATGAACAAAGTCTAGTTCTCATTCACATAAACATATCTGATAATTTTTAAAACAATTTCCTAAAGTATTGCTCAGTTATTAATACAGATCCTGTGGGCCAAAAAGGGTCCTTGTCCTTTCAGTTTCAGGAGAATTATCAAGAATTTAACTTACAAATCAACTCTCCGAACATTTATTTCAATTGTAGATTTTGTTAGTTTACCAACCAAGAAAAACAATTTTTCATTTGGTGGTTCCTTGTAATAATATATAAAGTGAATGAGCATTAATCCAGTTCTGGTGAATTTTGCTTCTTAAATAATTCTCTTATGCCTAAGTTATTGAGGGACCAACCATTTGGGGCCAGGGAATTTCTATCAAGATTTGATATTTTTTCAGCAACAACTATATAACCAGATATATTTTTTTATTTAAAAATTATGAGCCTGTATGGTTGTTTTAAAGAATAACGCCACGCAACAATGTACTTTTTTCCCCAGTCTGAATCACAATTATATTTTTCAAGAATTTTGGGGGACAATACCCCACCCCCGAATATCAAATGGTCGGTCTTTTAGAGTGTAAGAAACAATAAAAAGCCAAACCTACCTTGTGTGATTGGGTTATACAATCTTAGGCGATACTCCTCGTTAACTTCAGGTGTGTCATCAGTCAACACTGTCAAGGATATCACCTTGAACAGCTCTCCCTGAAAGTAAACAAAGTTGTCATTTTATCATGCTGATCTATCTAATTCAGAAAGCCTCGAGTTTTTCAACTTTTATTGACTCGTGTTGAAATATTTGACATGAGGCCGAGATTCTCTCTATAATGTGAATAACATGCACTCCTAAACAGCATCAAGATCTACTCACAGGAGCAAATGTCAGTGTCCCACTGGGCTGTCGGAAGCCATTCTGTGGTAGCAGGCCGTTGATGCCATCTATGGTCCAGCTGACAACCACCGTGCCATAAGCTGGGGAGGTCCTCGATACCCGACATGTGAAACTTTCACCTGATAATTGACGAGGACACAAAATATGATTCCAAACAACTACGATCTGATGATAAGTTATCGACATTGACATGTCCAGTTCCAGGGTTTCCTACCAACAATAATTTGTTTTCTGGTGCGAGTAAGGGCGTTGTGGGGTAGCCTAGTGGTTAAAGTGTTTTCTCATCACATCGCTGACCTAAGTTTGATTCCCCACATGGGTGCAATGTGTGAAAAAAGTGTCGTAAAATCATACTCACTCTGGTGTGAGTGAGTGAGTGAGTGAGTGAGTGAGTGAGTGAGTGAGTGAGTGAGTGAGAGAGTGAGTGAGTGAGTGAGTGAGTATGGTTTTACGCCGCTTTTTTAGCAATATTCCAGCAATATCACAGCAGGGCACACCAGAAATGGGCTTCACACATTGTACTCATGTTCGGAATCGAACCTGGGTCTTCCGCGTGACGAGCGAATGCTTTAACCACTAGGCTACCCGACCGACCCACTCTGGGGTGAGTATTTGGAGGATGAATAGGTCCCCGCCCCTGATTCTTGTTGTAAGAACTTACAGTATGGTGATTGGTTGGTGATCATGTGACACCCTAATGGCACTGATTGTTGCTCATTTATCAACCATTGGTATGCCGAGCCAAAGCAGGTGATACTTATGTGGACAGTGAGTGAGTGAGTTGGGTTTGATGTCACAGTGATCAGTATTTCATTATTGTCACAGCGTGTTAACTTGATGTGGCAGGAAAGCCTGAAGTGATGCAGGTCTTAGATATTTTTCATGTTGGTTAAATCCACAAGCACGGGTATGGTTCTGACAAACCTAGAAACATAATCATGTTGATCCATGATTTTGAAGCCACAATCATTGGTTCCTGGTACCACAAGGGATGTAACTCTTCCACCGATTACCTTCATCATCATATTTATCATCTATATCTTTATCATACTTGAGTGAGTGAGTGAGTATGGTTTTACACCGCTTTTAGCAATATTCCAGCAATATCATGGGGGACACCAGAAAAGGGCTTCACACATTGTACCCATGTTGGGAATCAAATCTGGGTCTTAGGCGTGACGAGGGAACGCTTTAACCACTAGGCTAACCGACTGCCCCATAACATAGTTGAAAGTTGCCACTCTTAATTATATAGTTTAGATGATTTTTTCACACAACCTTTCCCATAAAAAAAATATATGCTACCATGATATATTTTCCATAGCAAAACGGAAAAAAAAAATCTTTTTCAAATTAGTTCATTGTAACTAGCTGCTTACCTTCAGTGGCTATTTTGGCCGTGTCGTCCAGACTGACCACACCTGCGACATTGTCATTCTCCAGGATGACAACGGTCATATTAGATCTTGGACCAATCTGAGCGCCCCCACGTGGGTTACTCAGCTGTATAGTGAAGTTCTCCCTGTCCTCGGGGATCGTGTCATCCAAGATGGTCACCGTCACAACTGAAGGGAGTCAGGTTTACATGAGGAAATAGTACAGGAGTTGAACAACACCAACCAGAGGACAAGCAATAGTATTACTGAAGGGGCTTTAACACCTTCAATTTCATATTTGTCAGTGATTTGCCGCTTTTAACAGTATTCCAGTTATATCGCCGCATGTCAGCTTAATGTGGGAGGAAAGCCTGAAGTGATGCAGATCTTAGACGTTTACCACTTCGGTGAAACCCACGAGCACGGGTATGGTGCTGACAAACCTAGAAACATTATCAGGGTGAACCGGGATTCGAACCCACGACCATAGGTTTCTGGCGTGCCCAAGGGACGAACTATGCACAGCGGTGCCTTAGAGGACTGGGCCACCTGTGCCCCCCAGAAACATATAATGGTGGGAAGTTCTTGAGTTCTTGAGTTCAGACAGTTTCATCTATAGTTTTTGAAACTATGTATTGTTGAACAACTGTTTGTTATTTTATAACATTTATTTCAAGAGGGTTCTTTCAAGGAATTAACCTAAAAAAAACAGTGGCAAAATTTTCAATAATTTTAAATTTTCACCCTTAATGAAATTGGTGTGGTTTAAGCAAGAATAGTCAAGTTTGTCAGATGGTGATGTTCAGTAGCTCACCAGTACGTGAAACTCCTTCTTGAAACACAAGGGTGGCACCATCAGCAATGAAGTCCACCTGGTATGTAGCGGAAGCCCCCGGTGCCACTGACCATTCCACAGACACCTCACCGATAGTTCCTCCTGAAATCAGACAATCATGCTTAATCATACGGTTACCTCTCTCAGAAAGGGTCAACGGCTCTTCAGGTTCATAGGCGAAGCACAACAGCAGTATTTCTGTAGTCTTAATGCCTATGACATAACAGTTAGTGACAATATTGCAGAGGTTTCGTTCTATTCAGCAGCAAAAGATCTTGTATGCGTAAAGCCCAAATATCTGTTGTTTCCTTGTATATTTCATGATTATACCACAAAAAAAATAAAACACACACACACATTATATATATATATGCATATACTCTGCAAAGAAAGAAACACAAAAGCAGTAAAATCATGAAAATTGTCTAAAAATGGAAAAATCCTGAGAGCCTGGTGACGAAACACACCAACATGATATCCACATGCAACATCACTTGTTGGGGTATAGAAATGTTTGGTTTTCAGTTGTATGCCATCACAATCATACAGTAAGTGAGCAGTGAAAAGTTGCCAGGACTGACATTGGCCGACTGCAAACAGGAGAATCATCTTCAACTCCGGTCGACCATGTATCACTACTGGAGAGCAGGACAGATTCATATGGCTATGTCACTTATGTGAAAGAACCACCAAGGCCCAGCTCTACAACTACAGCAGTACCAGGATTAGTTAAATCCACAAGCACGGGTATGGTGCTGACAAACCTAGAAACATAATCATGTTGAACCATGATTTGAAACCACAATCATTGGTTCCTGGATATCAGCTCAGACAGTGAGGAACCGTTTACGCGCTGGATGTATTCGTGCTAGACAACCAGTTTGAGGTGTAATTTGAGGGACCTGCATCATCGACTGTGATGTCAATGGTGTTAAGGTCACAGAGTTTGACCACAACTGCAATGGAGACAAGTTTGGTTTAGTGACAAGTCGTGTTTAATGCTTCGTCGTGCGGATGGTAGGCGTCTTGTTTACAGGCGTCGCGGGTAACCTTATGCACGAAACTGCATACAGGAAGTGGACAGATTTGGTGGTGGTAGTGTGATGATGTGGGCAGCCATCTCCTACACTGGTAGAACAGACTTGGTACAAGTTCTGGGGAGTTTAACGGCACAACAGTACATGGATGAGATTCTTTAGCCACACATCCTTCCCATAATGCAACAAGCGAATGTCATTTCCCAACAAGACAATGCCCGACCTCATTGGGATGCAATGGATCAAGGACTACGAGCACGTCAGCAACAATCACAGAACCTCCGACAGTTGGCACAGGCAATTCGGGATCTGATTTCTTCCTGGGATGACGATGCCAGTTGGTTCTCGAATCTAGTGGTGGCTATACAATATCTAGAGAACAGATGACCTTCACCTTGAAAATCTACTGTTCCATGTCTGCCACATGGAACCTGGATTAATGACAATGGTGTGTGCCAATCTTGATCAATCGGTTTCTATCTGTTGATGATATAGAACATCTAAAATCATTTTTGTGTTTCTTTTTTTGCAAAAAATATATATTGTGATACATAAAAACAAATCCTAGGCAGTTATAACGAAGCACTGTCACTGACCTGTTCTCTCAACAATGAGGTTGACTGCCTGTCGGTCTCTCTCCTGTACAAGCACCTCACTCTGCGTCGCAGACTGACTGCTGTAGATGCTGAACAAGCCATTTGCCTCATCGTTGGCAGGGATGATAACAGTTGCTGTTTTGATGTTCCCAAGAGTGGGATTTTGTGATGTGCTGGCTGCAGGGTCATCTACAACGACTCGCAACAGCGTCACCTGGAACTTCTCGGCTAGCTCTGGCAGGCTGTCATCTATGATGGTCACTGGAAGCTGAGCCGATGACGCCTGGTCGTCCACGATGACAGAGGCCTCAGTGACAGCTACATAATCTGCCCCTGGTCTGGACTGGGACTCCTTCAACATGGCCACCTACACAACAACACATCATGATGAACATAACTTAGCATGAAGGTACTCAACAACACATCATCATGAACATAACTTAGCATGAAGGTACTCAACAACACATCATTATGAACATAACTTAGCATGAAGGTACTCAACAACACATCATCATGAACATAACTTAGCATGAAGGTACACAACAACACATCATCATGAACATAACTTAGCATGAAGGTACACAACAACACATCATCATGAACATAACTTAGCATGAAGGTACACAACAACACATCATCATGAACATAACTTAGCATGAAGGTACACAACAACACATCATCATGAACATAACTTAGCATGAAGGTACACAACAACACATCATCATGAACATAACTTAGCATGAAGGTACACAACAACACATCATCATGAACATAACTTAGCATGAAGGTACACAACAACACATCATCATGAACATAACTTAGCATGAAGGTACACAACAACACATCATCATGAACATAACTTAGCGTGAAGGTACACAACAACACATCATCATGAACATAACTTAGCATGAAGGTACACAACAACACATCATCATGAACATAACTTAGCATGAAGGTACACAACAACACATCATCATGAACATAACTTAGCATGAAGGTACTCAACAACACATCATCATGAACATAACTTAGCATGAAGGTACACAACAACACATCATCATGAACATAACTTAGCATGAAGGTACACAACAACACATCATCATGAACATAACTTAGCATGAAGGTACACAACAACACATCATCATGAACATAACTTAGCATGAAGGTACACAACAACACATCATCATGAACATAACTTAGCATGAAGGTACACAACAACACATCATCATGAACATAACTTAGCATGAAGGTACACAACAACACATCATCATGAACATAACTTAGCATGAAGGTACACAACAACACATCATCATGAACATAACTTAGCATGAAGGTACACAACAACACATCATCATGAACATAACTTAGCATGAAGGTACACAACAACACATCATCATGAACATAACTTAGCATGAAGGTACACAACAACACATCATCATGAACATAACTTAGCATGAAGGTACACAACAACACATCATCATGAACATAACTTAGCGTGAAGGTACACAACAACACATCATCATGAACATAACTTAGCATGAAGGTACACAACAACACATCATCATGAACATAACTTAGCATGAAGGTACACAACAACACATCATCATGAACATAACTTAGCATGAAGGTACTCAACAACACATCATCATGAACATAACTTAGCATGAAGGTACACAACAACACATCATCATGAACATAACTTAGCATGAAGGTACACAACAACACATCATCATGAACATAACTTAGCATGAAGGTACACAACAACACATCATCATGAACATAACTTAGCATGAAGGTACACAACAACACATCATCATGAACATAACTTAGCATGAAGGTACACAACAAACATCATCATGAACATAACTTAGCATGAAGGTACACAACAACACATCATCATGAACATAACTTAGCAGGAAGGTACTCAACAACACATCATCATGAACATAACTTAGCAGGAAGGTACTCAACAACACATCATCATGAACATAACTTAGCATGAAGGTACACAACAACACATCATCATGAACATAACTTAGCATGAAGGTACACAACAACACATCATCATGAACATAACTTAGCATGAAGGTACTCAACAACACATCATCATGAACATAACTTAGCATGAAGGTACACAACAACACATCATCATGAACATAACTTAGCATGAAGGTACACAACAACACATCATCATGAACATAACTTAGCATGAAGGTACACAACAACACATCATCATGAACATAACTTAGCATGAAGGTACACAACAACACATCATCATGAACATAACTTAGCATGAAGGTACACAACAAACATCATCATGAACATAACTTAGCATGAAGGTACACAACAACACATCATCATGAACATAACTTAGCAGGAAGGTACTCAACAACACATCATCATGAACATAACTTAGCAGGAAGGTACTCAACAACACATCATCATGAACATAACTTAGCAGGAAGGTACTCAACAACACATCATCATGAACATAACTTAGCATGAAGGTACTCAACAACACATCATCATGAACATAACTTAGCATGAAGGTACACAACAACACATCATCATGAACATAACTTAGCATGAAGGTACTCAACAACACATCATCATGAACATAACTTAGCAGGAAGGTACTCAACAACACATCATCATGAACATAACTTAGCATGAAGGTACTCAACAACACATCATCATGAACATAACTTAGCATGAAGGTACACAACAAACATCATCATGAACATAACTTAGCATGAAGGTACACAACATCAATCAGTTCGAGAAACCCCTTGAAGATTGGTCTTCAACACCCCATAAACGTCATAACAGGATTGGGTGGTCAGGCTCAAAGACTTGGTTCATGCATGACATTTTACCCTAATTGCATAGATCGATGCTCATGATGTCAATCACAGCATTGTCTGTTCCAGACTCAATTATTTACAGACTGTCGACAAATAGCTGGAATGCAGCATACAATAGCTCAACAATCAGGTTACTGTGGACCAACAGTGTTAACTGGAACCCTCACGAGGGTCCTGTAGGTATACACCCTAACCACTAGTGAATTTCTACTTTGACTTGATTTTATTCTTTAAATGGATTTTCTTTGCCATTATTTGTCAAGATGTTGAAGGAGGCATGGGCACACAATATATTGTTCTCAGGGTTAATTTCCTAAAACTATATTTGTTATAGTAATCTTTACGAAACTCATAAAACAAGAAACAACAATATCCTCACTACAGTAAAAATTTCTTGCTAATGTGAGAGTGTTACTGATATATAAAAGCCTGACCACCACGTTTGTTATAGCCTTGTGATGTGTTAGACTGCATTTGTTTATACTAGACCGGTGAAGATTCAGGTTAGAATAGGTCTTCAGCAACCTGTGCTTGCCATAAAAGGCAACTATGCTTGTCATAAGAGGCGACTAACAGGATCGGGTGGGTCGGGCTCCCTGATCTGGTTGATGCATGTCATTGAATCCCATTTGCATGGTTCGATGCTCATGATGTCAATCACTGGATTGCCTGGTCCAGACTCGTTTATTTACAGACCACCGTCACATTAGGTGGCACATTGCTGAGTGCGGCGTTAAACAACAAACAAACAAATAAACAAACAAATTATATATACTGACCGTGGTGGCATTCTTCACATAGTACTGAGCATTGACATCGGGTGATAGAGGTCCAGAGAAGTCTGTATTGTGCCAGAAACACTCTGTGGTTACGTTGTCAAGGCGATATGTATATGCTCGGCAGTCTTCACGGTTGAGACAAAAGGAACTACATGCCTAGGTTAAAAACAAACACACAGATGATGTACCAACTTCAACAATTCATGAACAACAGACAAATGATTAATGATCAACAGACAGCTGATGTACTACCTTGGACGATTAATGATCAACAGACAGTTGTGGTACCGACTTGAACGATTAATAATCAACAGACAGTTGTGGTACTGACTTGAACGATTAATAATCAACAGACAGTTGATGTACCGACTTGAACGATTGATGTACTGACTTGAACGATTAATGATCAACAGACAGTTGATGTACCGACTTGAACGATTAATGATCAACAGACAGTTGATGTACCAACTTGAATGATTAATGATCAACAGACAGTTGATGTACCGACTTGAACGATTAATAATCAACAGACAGCTGATGTACCGACTTGAACGATTAATGATCAACAGACAGTTGATGTACCAACTTGAACGATTAGTGATCAACAGACAGTTGATGTACCGACTTGAACGATTAATGATCAACAGATAGTTGATGTACCGACTTGAACGATTAATGATCAACAGATAGTTAATGTACTGACTTGAACGATTAATGATCAACAGATAGTTAATGTACTGACTTGAACGATTAATGATCAACAGATAGTTAATGTACTGACTTGAACGATTAATGATCAACAGACAGTTGATGTACCAACTTGAACAATTAATGAATAGCATAGCTGATATACTGACTTGAACAATTCATGAACACCAGGTTACATTGATTGTAAAGGTGGTTTGGAAATGAGGAAATTCCTCTAAAAGTGATGAGAACGTCTCATGCAGAACTTCTGCCCAGAACTTCTCCTTTAAAGCTCAAACTGGAGCCACTTATTTCTCAAATGTAAAAGATCAGAAGTTCCATTTCATAGGCCATCTTAGCTCTGTGAACCCCTGTTCTTATACTTTAAGACACTTAACATGCCCACCCATGCTCACAGTGTAGAGTACGATGTACACAGCACCTTTGTTATCTCGCCAGTTTCTGAGAAAGTTATGATGGTCACTGTGTTAACATGATGGATGAAGTACTAAGATCACTTTGTCAAATAGGAGCCTGGTGTGATTCAATCTGAAATTCATACCTCTATGTTTCCACTTTTTATCCCAAATACCAATTTTCTGTCAGTGTTTTAAAGGTACAGGATGTCGACCGTTTGTTTGTAAACAATAGCTGATAACCCCGAGCTTACTCAGCTCGGCTCACCTTATTTTGTTTTTGCTCCAGTGACTGTGACTGGACATTCAGCCATAAGAAAAACACACAATCTTCAGGGGCGGTTGGGTAGCCTAGTGGTTAAAGAGTTAGCTTGTCACGCCGAAGACCCGGGTTCGATTCCCGACATGGGTACAATGTGTGAAGCCCATTTCTGGTGTCCCCCGCCGTGATATTGCTGGAATATTGCTAAAAGCGGCGTAAAACCATACTCACTCACTCACTCACAATCTTCAATTTACCTCTATTAAGAAGCAACACTGAAGCCAGATAGCTTACTCTGCACAGCACATGCATTGCTGGCTTCACTGTGTGGAGCTCTATTCTTTTGGTTTAAGAATTGGTTTGGGTATGTGACATCATACTCCGAAACTATTTCATGCAGGATTTAAAAACAAACGGAGCCCTCTTTTGACAAGGAAACAAGAGAAAGAGACTTTGATTAGAGATTAAAGATAAACAAGTCTAATTACTATATGTAGCACATAACAAAATTAGGTACTGAACATTGTAAGTAGTCTCACCATGAAGGGGTTTGATTCTTGTGACACGTCAAGAGTTATTCCATCAAATCTTCGCCCTGATTGAGGGTCGTAATAATAAGTAACCAATGGCCTTGTAAGCTCAACTGCCAGATCTGACAATGGAGTCTGTGATGTTGTGTAGTATACTCGGAGGCGACCATAGACGCCACCACTACAGTCGAAAAAACAAAGACTTCATGTGAAATTATGTTATAACCATTCTATAACAACACATAGTATACATGTATCAATATATTACAATATCCATGGATATAAAACCAGCATGAAATACTCGTATCCCCCTGCCAATATGACATGTACGGTTGTGTGCAAGGCATTAGCCCTCCGGAAACAAGCACTACCACCATTTTCAGTTTAAGTCAAAGCCGTTGTTATGAAAACTCGAAAAATAATTTTTTTTAAAATCCCAAGCTATCAAAAGGCACCAGTTCACTGCGAGACCTATCTATGCGCCAAGTTCCGTTAAGATATCTCTAATGATATTAGTTCTGCTCTGGAAACAAAATGTGATGGACAGACAGATGGATAGACACCACCAAATCCTATCTCCCCCTTCAATTTCATGGTGGAGGTAATAATTGCATTTGCTCAGCATGAGTGAGTGAGTGAGTGAGTTGGGTTTAACGCTGCTTTTAACAGTATTCCAGTTATATCACGGCGTGTCAGCTTAATGTGGGAGGAAAGCCCGAAGTGATGCAGGTTTTAGACGTTTACCACTTCGGTGAAACCCACGAGCACGGGTATGGTGCTGACAAACCTAGAAACATAATTGGGTTGAACAGGGATTCGAACCCACAATCATAGGTTTCTGGCGTGCCTAAGGACCGAAACTCTGCACAGCGAATCGCGGCACCTTAGACTGGGCCACCCGTGCCCCCTGCTCAGCATGAATTAATAAGATATTGTTGTGTGAAATGCTGCAGTACAATCTTATGAAAACTTCTCTTTGATCAATGACATGCTACAATCACAGAACAACTGATATCTTCAGTCCAAACTACATGCATGTATCTGCAGATATAACATTGGTTCTCTTCCATGTTCATACAAAATAAGAACATAAGATAAAAAAATAGATCTGTAGAATCCTGTTATTATCTTATCCTTTGAACTTACTATCTCTGAAGAGCCAGGGATTGGGGCTGGCTCCCTGGTATTTCATTGAGGGAGTAACTTGGCTGTAGAAACTGGACAACACCATGGGGGTTGTCATTTGGAGCAATGGAAAGAATAAATGAGTTCTGGTCTGTAATCCGTCCACCATTGTTAGCAGAGGTCAAGGTTATGTTGATTCTCTATTTGAGAAAATAGAAAGAATTCAGAACTGATTTCAATTTCAATATAAATACGGATATCAGTTCCCAACTGATATCTCTTTAAAAAAGACCAAAGGATTATGAGGAATAAATTTCAACTGTGAAATATTCAAAACAATTAATTATAATCAGATGATACATTTCACACGTCACTGCATGTAGGTGAACACAGACATTTCCTTCTATGAGTGAGTGAGAATGGTTTTAAGCCGCTTTTAGCAATATTCCAAAATGTGAAGATATTGTATACTATAATCATTTACAGCACAGAGATCAACCAAACCTAGCATATTAAGGTATGCGTGTTACATCACAACTATACCCTGCTGCATCAACCCTCCTCACCTCTTCCCCCTCTGGAATATCGTCAGGTAAGATGAAGATGTCAATCTGCTTGCTGCCCTCGTTGGACACAAAGTACAACTGTCCTGAAGCAGGAGTGATGTCAGCCGTGGCCAGCACACCTGGAAGACATGGTGAGTGAGTGAGTGATTTGAGCTAACACTGATCTGGGCACCATTCCTCAATACAATTCATAGTGTTCAGACTAAGGAGCTTCTGACCATTTCATATTTGGAGAGGCGGGCCTGCAATTCTGAATACAGAAAAATATTGCAAAAAATAAATTTGTCCTAAGATTTTTGAGAACATCATTTGGGCTGCTTTGGAGAAAAAGTGTTTTTGAAGTGCTGACTGAACAATTATTCTGTCTCAAATGGCAACAGATCCTTTACAGCCTCTCCGCACCTTTAATAAAAAATTTGGTTCACATCTCTTTCCCCAAACTGCAGCATTCATGGCAGATATAATAAGTACCAAAAAAAAAAAGTGGACCAAAAAGAAGAAACATGTTATTCCTCATGTATAAAATTTTGGATAGGCTAATTAAAAACTGAAGCAACAGAACTGTAAACTGGTGACTTGTGAGAGAGCATTGGGCACATTATACATGCATCAGGAGACGTCCTACAAGTTACAGTTACCATTCAATTTGGCCTCCCAGTTCACAGTGATGACTCCCCGCACTCCGCCAGTCCTTGAAACTGTCACTCTCACAGGATTCTGGCCATTGGCTAGCTCTTGCATCTCAACCCCAGTGGTAGCAAACCCTGAAACAGATCGCGTTCCTTACTTCAAGAATATCATTCAAATATGACAACAGGACAATGCAGCAGGAACACCTCCACCCCATTTGTAGCAAACCCTGAAACAGATCGCGTTCCTTACTTCAAGAATATCATTCAAACATGAAAACAGAACATTGCAGCAGGAACACCTCCACCCTGTGGTAGCAAACCCTGAAACAGATCGCATTCCTTACTTCAAGAATATCATTCAAATATGACAACAGAACACTGCAGCAGGAACACCTCCACACTGTGGTAGCAAAACTCTGAAACAGATTGCGTTCCTTCTTCAAGAATATCATTGAAGCATGGTGGTTAATACGGTGATAAGGTACCTCTTTTAATATAATAATCTATGACACTCAGCAGTAACTGTACTGTAAAGTTTAAACTTCACACAATTTAATCAAGCAGAAACGGGTTAAGATATATATTAGGGGAATCATACCAAAGGCTCCGTTTGGATCATCGGAAGGCAAAATGGTGACAATGGCTTGACGGGCTGATCCTAGAGAGGCACCGCCAGTGATTGAATCCAGTAGTTCAATCCTGAACCTCTCGGATGTCTCCGGTATGAAATCATTCTCTATACGGATGGGGAGTCTCTTCTGTGCTTCTCCGTCACTTAGTATGACCTGCTCTGTGCCTGTGATGATATAATCCTGGAGTTTCGACGCTTCCAGGTCGATTGTGCTGAACCTCACAGTGATCTGAGTGAAAAAGTCCACAATAAATTCCAGGAAATGTTAGTCGTAAAATGAATCAGAGTTATGAGAGTTTTCTTTTACATTTGGATGGATAATTTGGTCAGGCAGATGATTTGAATGAAATAAATAAACATTCCAAAAGCATTCATTGTCTGTTGTCGAGTACTGGCAATATGACAAAGGTCCCCATATCATACAGGAATGAAGGGACTGTATCTACCCACACAGTGACAGGCATGGTATTCCAGAGGCCTATTCTAACCTACAATTCTCATAGGAGAACCAGCATGCATTACTTGGGTAATGGTCTGTCCACAATCTCCAAAGGGAGACAAGCACAGTGTTCAGCAGACCTCTTCTGCCATGTAATCCCCACAAGGAAACAAGCATGATGTTCACTGGACCCAGTATGACTGGAAACCAACACAGTGGAAGAAACATTGGGTGCTTAGAACACATTCCTCCCTAAAATCCCCACAAGGAGACCAGCGTGGTGTTCACTGGACCCAGCATGACTGGAAACCAAAACAGTGGAAGAAACATTGGGTGCTTAGAACACATTCCTCCCTGAAATCCCTACAAGGAGACCAGCGTGGTGTTCACGGAGACCTGACAGCACTCACCTCCCCAAACGTTCCCCCAACTCTGTTGACAAACAGCTGCAGGGGGCCAGACTCCTCTGTCACCTCCAGGGATGATGCAGACAGCTCCACCCTCCCACTCGCATCGTCGTTCCTGCTGATAATGATCTGGGCATAGCTCTGAGACTTCTGCCCTAGACGTGGAGAGTCTTGCACTGAAACAACATGTTGCACTCACAGTGACTGACAAAGACAAGAACTGTTGTTAGCTGTACTTTGAGGCGGCTGCTGTTATGATGATGATGATGGACCATGTCTCACCCTAGAAACAGTCTTGCTACAGTGCACTGTTGCACAAAGAGTTGATCATCACAAATGCACTCACACTCGACCCCACTAAATTATTGACTTTCTCCCTCATCATATCATTGTCTCCTCTCACTCAGGGTCTGTTAGTGTCTCTCTCACATTTTCTCCACGACACACATTCACTTTCCCTCCCTCTCGTGCTCCCTCCCTCTCTCTTCCTCAAACGTTCAATTTCAGATTGTCTTTCCCTTCCTCTTCCCCACACTGACCCCTTTCTCATGATCTATGCCTCAGTCACTCACTCAGCTGCTTACAACTCACTCTCTCCTTCATCAACTATCCCTCCCTTACCCACACACACCCCTTTGCACCATCTTCATCCCTAAATGACTGTTCCTCTGCCTCAAACTCACTCACTCACTCACCCATCCACCAATGTCCATACACCAAAAAAACACTCGCTCACTTACACACTCACTCTACCACCCACCAACCCACACTCACTCACCAACCCATCCACTCACTCACTCACCCACCCACCCACCCACCAAACCATCCACCCACCCACTCACTCACTCACCCACCGACCCACCCACACTCACTCACTCACTCACCAACCCATCCACTCACTCACTCACCCACCCATCAAACCATCCACCCACCCACTCACTCACCTACCCACCCACCCACACTAACTCACTCACTCACCCACCCACCAATCCACCCACTAACTCATCCACTCACTCACTCACTCATCCACTCACTCACTCACTCACTCACTCACCCAACCACTCACCTGGCCTCTGCTGTGCCCCCTGTGTAAGAATGGCCTGTTTCAGCTCCACAAAGATGCTCTCATCCAGCTCCGGGAGGTCATCGTCCAGCACGGTCACACTGAAGGTGGCATACTCCTGGTTTGGCAGAAACCTCACTGTCCCAGAAGCTGACAGGAAGTCGCTGCTTCCAGCTCTGTTCACCTGCCCCGGTAGATAGTTGTAGCTCTCATTGGCCAGTAGCGATGCGTAACTCACATCCACCGTCCCAAACTTCCCATTCTGTCTTTGAATGGTAATACTGACATCTGAAAGGAGAGTTAAAGTTCTTCATATGATAGACAGTATAATAACATCATTACGTTACTTTCCTTGGTGTGTCAGAACCCGGCGATTGTATACTTGACTGTGGGTTTTGCTGTATTTCAGACTTTTTCTTCCACTTGGTTGTGAAATAACTGAAATACCATTCACAGCGGCATTAAATTAAACTCACTCCCCAAGACTTACATACCGGTATGTATGAAATTTGAAATTCTGTCAATTTATCACATTTACAAGACTACCACTCATCATATTGTGGGAACAGCCATCAGGATAGGACAAGCGATCATGACACCTTCACTATAACTGTGAGCAAACAAACATACCTAAGTACAAATAACACGGTGTGATGATAAAACACTCTCTTCTCGGCCACACTTGTCTATTTCTGGACATTGGTCCACGTTTGTTAAGCCATTCATGTCTTCAGTTTAAGTAATGCCATGCATACAAGAGCTGCGAGCTGATCATGCAATACCTGAATTTCCTTCCTGCACAATGACGGGCCTCTGTTTGTCCGCGATGGTGAACACGCCGTAAGGTCCATCATTGGCCAGGATCGTAACCACCGCCGTCCTCCGTGAAGTGTCACCAAGGTCACCCTGTTACACACAGTAAACATGTCCCTGAATATTAGAATATTTGAGGGTTTGTTTATTAGTACAAATGCATATGCATAGTCCTGTTCGTAATTCTATATGAAAGGTAGTCTAACAACAGAAGTGAATAGTTTTCAAACTTTGAATTAAGTATATAAGAAAATAGTGCCAAGGCAATGTTGCTCACCACATGAGCTCACTGTTATATATTGAGAAACTTTAGCCATGTAAGGAAAGTGTGGTTGATCAGCTGGGTAAAGTGGTCTGCTTGACATGAGAGGACAGTATGATTGCAATATATTTTTCTTTAAACCTCTGTACAGTGACAAACATTCAAGTATCAGCACATGTAGTAAGCAGGTTCTGAGAAGTAGGATGTTTAATTTCACAACATCAGCATTTAAGTGATAACCATGCGTGACAGAAATGATTACATCTGAACCCTATTGTATCATTCATATCCTACCTAAATTTATGTTTTTGAGACTTTAGGTTTCTGGGAAAATATTATGCCTACTAATTCCACACTTTTTGAACATATTTTCCATTTTACTAAAGAAATCAAATTTCTCAGTTCCAAGCCATGAAGAAAGGCAAGGGCTAGTACTATCCTACACATTCTCATAGAGTTTCATCTCTCTCTGGGTCTTCTGATTCTGAGAAGAAGATTCAAAGTTAAATTTTTTTATATAAAAATAAATTTACTGGCATTATCATATCTTAATCTAATTGTTTTGCAAAAATTCATATTTTTTTTTCAGTTCCTAAATCCCTCTCTGGGTGTTCTGTATAAGAAAATTCAAAGTTCAAATTCATAGAAATTAAAAAAATATAATATAAAGATAATTATCATATCTTAATCTATTTGTTTTGCAAACATTCATATATATTTTTTCCGAATCCTAGATGCTGTAGATTCTAAGACAAAGGTTAGACACAACTGAAATATTTATCTGTGTACCATGAACAAATCCATTGGGATTTCAGGCTGTTTTAGTCTCCTCCCAGCCTTATTGAGAGAAGAATTTGAAAGTCAGTTGAGAGATACTGGACAATGCACCATGCCTTAAACTCACTTGGACCTCAAATCCTTTGAGCTGATCAGAAGAAGCTAAAGAGAGGTTGCAGTAATTCTACAACAGTTCACAACTTAATACACACAAAGTCTTGAAAGGACAGTCATTTAAAGATAGACAGAGACATCTACACAAGTACTCATCACATACCAATTGTAATACAAAGCTTGTATTTCAAAACACATCTAATGAGCAAAAGCAAGTTAGATCCGTTTTGAAATGTTACTTACAATCAGGTAGCCCTGTATAGGAAACATCAACAGTAAGACATGCATGGTGACAGGAACAGAAACAAACACCTAGTGATTCAATATTCTTCCTCACACTTACCATCTAAGGAATAAGTGTTCCTATAAATGTGTGATACGTTACATGGCTTTGTCACTTCAAAACTGGTCAGCTGACAGAACACATCATATTGGCAAACAGGGATGATGGATATAAGGATGTCACGTCTCTGTCAGTTGTTTTCATGGGTTCCGTCAAACGGTTTGAACATGAACTTCGTCAAAGCCAAAGCTACATTCCCTATCATAATCACCTCTCTGCCAAAGCTTCAAGTCACAAGGTTGCAGGAATAATATGGTAAACAACTTCTACTGCCTGTTAAAGAAATCTGGCCAAAGCTTCAAGTCACCAGGTTGCAGGAATAATATGGTAAACACCATCTACAGCCTGTTAAAGCAATCCTGCCAAAGCTTCAAGGCACCAGATTGCAGGAATAATATGGTAAACACCTTCTACAGCCTGTTAAAGCAATCCTGCCAAAGCTTCAAGGCACCAGGTTGCAGGAATAATATGGTAAACACCTTCTACAGCCTGTTAAAGCAATCTGCCAAAGCTTCAAGGCACCAGGTTGCAGGAATAATATGGTAAACACCTTCTACAGCCTGTTAAAGCAATCCTGCCAAAGCTTCAAGTCACCAGATTGCAGGATTAACACAAGGACAGAAAGGATTATATTTGTCAAGGGGAGAAAACTCTCATTGCAAACATGAAGTTCAAGGTCGTGCATATTAAGGCTATAATACAGAATGTTATTGCTGATGTTGGTGGATTTGGTGTGCACATTATTATTATCATTATTATGAGATGCAGCCTCCACCACATAGACTAAATTCTAATCCCCAAGTACATGATGTTGTTACTAGGGAATAAGGAAATAACAGTAAGGTGTCTCAGAATTCATTCATGTCTGGGGGATGCCACCAATTCCTTGTTATCAATCAGCTATAATCTCGAGCTGCGTTTAAATCTTACCTCAGTTGTTGCAGTGAGAACTATATTGATGTTCTCGTCCAGTTCTGGAACCAAGTCGCCACGGATCTGTATCTCTGTTGCAGCAGATGTCTGACTTTCTGCAAAGTTGATCTGTCCACTATTCATCATAAGGTCATTTTCGTTGTCATTTGTTGCCTGCCATGTGACCTGAGCTGTGCCATAGGATCCCCCTAGACGAACAACCTGTCAGGGAGAGATGGAGACAACACTGATTGGAACAGAAAATCAACATCATAATCATCATCAGTACCACCTCAACCCACCTAGCCCCTATCCCAGCACCTCAACCTACCTAGCCCAATCCCACTACCTCAACCTACGAGGGGTGTTTATTAAAGATTTCCCCTAAACCACTTAGGGTTATCATTTTTGGTTGAAATTTCACATGTGTAATGATACATGTATCTTTGGGTTATGTCTGAATTTGCAGCACCGAACTATTAATCTTACCACTTTTACAGGTGTTATGATTGAGTAGGGTGTGGCAATGGAGCCAGTAGAATACTGAGCAGTGATTAGGTTTTTATATTTGAAAGGTCGCACACCAAAAGAAACTTTCAATGAAATGAAAGCAACATATGGGGAAGATGCCCCATCATATGACGTTGTTAAACACTGGCATCGCCAGTTCAAGTGCGGTTGAACATCTGTGGAAACAGCTGCCATTCCTGGTCACCCCCATTCAGCCATTGATGAGGACACTATCCATCAAGTGGAGACCGCCATTTTGGCAGACCGACGTATAACTGTTTGCCATTTAGCACAAGATGTCAAGATCAGTGTAGGGTCTGTGGAAAAAATCATCCATGACAATTTGAACATGCATAAGGTGTCTGCACGATGGATTCCCAGGTTGCTCACACCTTTCCAAAAGCAGGAACGAGTCAATTGCTCAAAGGATCTTTTGGACATGTGCCAAAAAAAACAGGCAAACTTTTTTGACAGACTTATCACACAGGATGAAACATGGGTCCATCACTATGACCCTGAGACTAAAGTGCAGTCGATGCAATGGAAGCATGTGGAGTCACCACCCCCAAAGAAGGCACGTGTCCAACTCTCTGCAGGCAAGGTCATGCTCACTGTGTTTTGGGACCAGCACGGAGTAGTGATGATGGATTTCTTGGCAAAGGGTACCACAATTACAGGAGCTTATTATGCTTCACTGCTGCGGAAATTGCGGGACGCTATCAAGCTTAAGAGGCACGGCATACTGACCAAGGGTGTCTGTCTCCTGCAAGACAATGCTCCAGTACACAACTCTCATGTTGCCCAGACAGAAGCGTGATCCTGTGGCTATGAAATCCTTCCACATCCTCCTTACTCTCCTGACCTTGCACCATCTGACTTCCACCTCTTTCAAACCATGAAGTCATTTTTTAAGGTAAAACGTTTCACAGATGATGAAACACTGATTTCTGAAGTCAAGTCCTGGTTTGAGACGCAAAATGAGGGCTTTTACAAGCGAGGTCTCCATAGTTGCATAAAACGATGGGAGAAGTGTGTAGCTCTTGGTGGTTCCTATGTGGAGAAAGACTAATACCTATGCCAAGCTTCATTCTAGGTCCATCGGAAGTGGGTCAGGGGAAATCTTTAATGAACACCCCTCGTACCTAGCCCCATCCCACCACCGCAACCCTTCTAGCCCCATCCCAGCACCACCTGAACCCAACTAGCCCCATCCCAGCACCACCTGAACCCAACTAGCCCCATCCCAGCACCACCTGAACCCAACTAGCCCCATCCCAGCACCACCTGAACCCAACTAGCCCCATCCCAGCACCACCTCAACCCAACTAGCCCCATCCTAGCACCACCTCATCCCAACTAGCCCCATCCCACCACCACAACCCACCTAGCCCCATCCCAGGACCACCTCAACCCAACTAGCCCCATCCCTTCACCACCTCAACCCACCGAGCCCCATCCCAGCACCCCAAGCCACCTCCCCCATCCCTTCACCACCTCAACCCACCTAGCCCCATCCCTTCACCACCTCAACCCACCTAGCCCCATCCCTTCACCACCTCAACCCACCTAGCCCCATCCCACCACCTCAACCACATAGCCCCAACCCAACCTCCCGAGCCACCAAGCCCCATGCCACCAACCCAAACCACCAAGCTACATCCCACCACCTCAACCCACCTAGCCCCGTCCCACCACCTCAACCACCTAGCCCCATCCCACCACCTCAACCCACCTAGCCCCGTCCCACCACCTCAATCCACCTAGCCCCATCCCACCACCTCAACCACCTAGCCCCATCCCACCACCTCAACCACCTAGCCCCGTCCCACCACCTCAACCACCTAGCCCCGTCCCACCACCTCAACCACCTAGCCCCGTCCCACCACCTCAATCCACCTAGCCCCGTCCCACCACCTCAACCACCTAGCCCCATCCCACCACCTCAACCACCTAGCCCCGTCCCACCACCTCAACCCACCTTGCCCATCTCAGCACCTCAACCCACCTCACCCCATCCCACCACCTCAACCACCTAGCCCCGTCCCACCACCTCAATCCACCTAGCCCATCTCAGCACCTCAACCCACCTAGCCCCATCCCACCACCTCAACCACCTAGCCCCATCCCACCACCTCAACCACCTAGCCCCGTCCCACCACCTCAACCCACCTAGCCCCATCTCAGCACCTCAACCCACCTAGCCCCATCCCACCACCTCAACCACCTAGCCCCATCCCACCACCTCAACCACCTAGCCCCGTCCCACCACCTCAACCACCTAGCCCCGTCCCACCACCTCAACCACCTAGCCCCATCCCACCACCTCAACCACCTAGCCCCGTCCCACCACCTCAATCCACCTAGCCCATCTCAGCACCTCAACCCACCTAGCCCCATCCCACCACCTCAACCACCTAGCCCCATCCCACCACCTCAACCACCTAGCCCCGTCCCACCACCTCAACCCACCTAGCCCCATCTCAGCACCTCAACCCACCTAGCCCCATCCCACCACCTCAACCACCTAGCCCCATCCCACCACCTCAACCCACCTAGCCCCATCCCAATACCACCTCAACCACCTAGCCCCATTCCACCACCTCAACCCACCTAGCCCCATCCCAATACCACCTCAACCACCTAGCCCCATCCCACCACCTCAACCCACCTAGCCCCATCCCTTCACCACCTCAACCACCTAGCCCCATCCCAATACCACCTCAACCACCTAGCCCCATTCCACCACCTCAACCCACCTAGCCCCATCCCAGCACCCCAACCCACCTAGCCCCATCCCACCACCTCAACCACCTAGCCCCATCCCACCACCTCAACCACCTAGCCCCATCCCTTCACCACCTCAACCACCTAGCCCCATCCCAATACCACCTCAACCACCTAGCCCCATTCCACCACCTCAACCCACCTAGCCCCATCCCAGCACCCCAACCCACCTAGCCCCATCCCACCACCTCAACCACCTAGCCCCATCCCACCACCTCAACCCACCTAGCCCCATCCCTTCACCACCTCAACCACCTAGCCCCATCCCAATACCACCTCAACCACCTAGCCCCATTCCACCACCTCAACCCACCTAGCCCCATCCCACCTCCTCAACCCAAGAAGCGAGTGGCTCTAGTGGAAGTGAGCCAGAACCCCCATCATCTATACTACTACTACCCACCTAGCCCCATCCCAACACCACCTCAACCCACCTAGCCCCATCCCACACCTCAACCACCTAGCCCCATCCCACCACCTCAACCCACCTAGCCCCTACCACCACCTCAACCCACCTCAACCCAACTAGCCCCATCCCACAACCTCAACCACCTAGCCCCTACCACCACCTCAACCCACCTAGCCCCTACCACCACCTCAACCCAACTAGCCCCATCCCACAACCTCAACCACCTAGGCCCATCCCACCAGTTCAACCCACCTCGCCCCATCCCAGCACCTCAACCCACCTCGCCCCATCCCAGCACCTCAATCCACCTCGCCCCATCCCGCCACCTCAACCCACCTTGCCCAATCCCACCACCTCAAGCCACCTAGCCCCATCCCACCACCTCAACCCACCTCGCCCCATCCCGCCACCTCAACCCACCTCGCCCCATCCCAGCACCCCAACCCACCTCGCCCCATCCCACCACCTCAACCCACCTCACCCCATCCCGCCACCTCAACCCACCTCGCCCCATCCCAGCACCCCAACCCACCTCGCCCCATCCCACCACCTCAACCCACCTAGCCCCATCCCTTCACCACCTCAACCACCTAGCCCCATCCCACCACCTCAACCCACCTCACCCCATCCCACCACCTCAACCCACCTAGCCCCATCCCTTCACCACCTCAACCCACCTCACCCCATCCCAGCACCCCAACCCACCTCGCCCCATCCCACCACCTCAACCCACCTAGCCCCATCCCTTCACCACCTCAACCACCTAGCCCCGTCCCACCACCTCAACCACCTAGCCCCATCCCACCACCTCAACCCACCTCGCCCCATCCCGCCACCTCAACCCACCTCGCCCCATCCCAGCACCCCAACCCACCTCGCCCCATCCCACCACCTCAACCCACCTCGCCCCATCCCACCACCTCAATCCACCTAGCCCATCTCAGCACCCCAACCCACCTCGCCCCATCCCACCACCTCAACCCACCTCACCCCATCCCGCCACCTCAACCCACCTCGCCCCATCCCAGCACCCCAACCCACCTCGCCCCATCCCACCACCTCAACCCACCTAGCCCCATCCCTTCACCACCTCAACCACCTAGCCCCATCCCAATACCACCTCAACCACCTAGCCCCATCCCACCACCTCAACCCACCTCGCCCCATCCCGCCACCTCAACCCACCTTGCCCCATCCCAGCACCCCAACCCACCTAGCCCCATCCCACCACCTCAACCCACCTCACCCCATCCCACCACCTCAACCCACCTTGCCCCATCCCACCACCCCAACCCACCTCACCCCTTCCCACCACCCCAACCCACCTTGCCCCATCCCACCACCTCAACCCCCTGCCCCTTCCCACCACCCCAACCCACCTCACCCCATCCCGCCACCTCAACCCCCTGCCCCTTCCCACCACCCCAACCCACCTCGCCCCATCCCACCACCTCAACCCCCTGCCCCTTCCCACCACCCCAACCCACCTCACCCCATCCCGCCACCTCAACCCACCTTGCCCCATCCCAGCACCCCAACCCACCTTGCCCCATCCCACCACCTCAACCCCCTGCCCCTTCCCACCACCCCAACCCACCTCACCCCATCCCAGCACCCCAACCCACCTCGCCCCATCCCAGCACCCCAACCCACCTCGCCCCATCCCGCCACCTCAACCCACCTTGCCCCATCCCAGCACCTCAACCCACCTTGCCCCATCCCAGCACCCCAATACACCTCGCCCCATCCCAGCACCTCAATCCACCTCGCCCCATCCCAGCACCCCAACCCACCTCGCCCCATCCCAGCACCCCAACCCACCTCGCCCCATCCCAGCACCCCAACCCACCTCGCCCCATCCCGCCACCCCAACCCACCTTGCCCCATCCCAGCACCCCAACCCACCTCGCCCCATCCCACCACCTCAACCCACCTAGCCCCATCCCTTCACCACCTCAACCACCTAGCCCCATCCCAATACCACCTCAACCACCTAGCCCCATCCCACCACCTCAACCCACCTCGCCCCATCCCGCCACCTCAACCCACCTAGCCCCATCCCAGCACCCCAACCCACCTAGCCCCATCCCACCACCTCAACCCACCTCACCCCATCCCACCACCTCAACCCACCTTGCCCCATCCCGCCACCTCAACCCACCTCACCCCATCCCACCACCTCAACCCACCTCACCCCATCCCACCACCTCAACCCACCTCACCCCATCCCACCACCTCAACCCACCTCGCCCCATCCCGCCACCTCAACCCACCTAGCCCCATCCCAGCACCCCAACCCACCTAGCCCCATCCCACCACCTCAACCCACCTCACCCCATCCCACCACCTCAACCCACCTTGCCCCATCCCACCACCCCAACCCACCTCACCCCTTCCCACCACCCCAACCCACCTTGCCCCATCCCGCCACCTCAACCCACCTTGCCCCATCCCAGCACCTCAACCCACCTTGCCCCATCCCAGCACCCCAATACACCTCGCCCCATCCCAGCACCTCAATCCACCTCGCCCCATCCCAGCACCCCAACCCACCTCGCCCCATCCCAGCACCCCAACCCACCTCGCCCCATCCCAGCACCCCAACCCACCTCGCCCCATCCCGCCACCCCAACCCACCTTGCCCCATCCCAGCACCCCAACCCACCTCGCCCCATCCCAGCACCCCAACCCACCTTGCCCCATCCCGCCACCCCAACCCACCTCGCCCCATCCCAGCACCCCAACCCACCTCGCCCCATCCCAGCACCCCAACCCACCTTGCCCCATCCCAGCACCCCAACCCACCTCGCCCCATCCCAGCACCCCAACCCACCTCGCCCCATCCCGCCACCCCAACCCACCTTGCCCCATCCCAGCACCCCAACCCACCTCGCCCCATCCCAGCACCCCAACCCACCTCGCCCCATCCCACCACCTCAACCCCCTGCCCCTTCCCACCACCCCAACCCACCTTGCCCCATCCCAGCACCCCAACCCACCTTGCCCCATCCCAGCACCCCAACCCACCTCGCCCCATCCCAGCACCCCAACCCACCTCGCCCCATCCCAGCACCCCAACCCACGTCACACCCATCCCTGCGCCTCCTGTTTCCCTCTCCCCACAAACTCTATTCCTTTCACAGCCATGTGTGCCAGCACACAGAGAACCTGTCTACACACAAGACACACTCACATTGAGGCTGATGCTGTTGAATCCAATGTCCCCCGTTTCCTGGGCTTGTACAGCAAGAGAGTCATTGGCAAACTGGTAGATGCCAAATGCACCATCGGATGCTCCGATGATGACATTGACTGTTGACCCGGGTCCCACACTGGCGCCACCCCCTGGGTTCACCAGCTCCACCCTGAATGTCTTGGACGGCTCTGGAATCGAGTTGTCCAGCAGTGTGATGTTCAGATATCCATATCTCTGTTGACTGCCCAGGACAAACCGAGAGGCTGCACCCTGGAACCACAATTATAACTACATGGAATGCTTGCGTTTTGTGGATTAAAATGAAAGCATTTTAAAGATTTTAAGTCTTTATACTTATAAAACATATCACTACTATGAAGAGTTATATTAAGTGATAAAAGTTTCTTTCCCAAATTCTGTTTCATTTTAAGGTATGTAATTGGTGAGGTATGAAGATTCTTAACTATAGATCAGGAAATATTCAAAATGAACATTATTAACACAATATTCTAATCATACCCAAAACTTATAATTTAAGCTTCTGTTTTTTTCTTTTTCTATAACTCATAATCATGCCTCAGCTTTTTCATGTCAATTTAATGTTTCTGACGTTTACCCTTCAGTGAAACCAATCACCAGGTGTATGGCGCTGACAGACCAAGGAATATAATGAGGGTCAATCTGGGATTCAAACCCTGACCAGCTGATCCTCTCACCCAGCAAGTTACAGCACCCTAGACCATTTGGCCACCTGTACCTATCCATTTTCTTTAAATTTAAAAAAAGCTTAAGCATGTGATATATATTTTTAGATGATGAAATCTGATATACAAACTATGGAACACATTTTTAAACATTTTTAAGCCAAAGTAAGGTACCCAGGTCAAAAATATTCATAAACACGGAAGTCGTATTATACTTCAGTATTGCAAGGGGTTTTCTAATTCTTTCATTGAAATTATTTACCATCACCAAATATAGAAGAACCAATTTGTATGTCCTCCTATCAGAAACATACATGTATTCCAATAAACAATGTACCTAATCCAAGAAAGTTTAAAGCCAACCAAACCTAACACTCCTTCACCATAAACACAAGCTTTCTATAACCATATATACCGTATTCAACATATCAAACACCAAACACAGCGGTCTTTAACTCAGGGTCGTATCATATTTTGTTGATCCTCCTCAACCCCACCCCTACCCATTTTATGTCACATTTTTCAGGGCTATACCCCTAAATGACAAGTCCCTTAATAGGTTGAATACGGTATGTTAAAAAACAAACTCAAAGTTTACTTACCAAAGAACCCTGTTTAAACAAGTCCAGAATAAATGATTTAATCTCTCAATTTAAGAAAAAACATCAAAATAAAAATTAATCTTGCATTTGAGAGATTTTTCAAGATTCCTAATGCTAAGGTTACCAAAAACACATCAAACTGACTCGGTTCAAATTCAGTCAATAATTTCTCCATTGAATCGAGAAAGGGAGAAATAAAAGCTTTATTCCTGCTTCATCAATGAATATTTCAACTTTTATCCTTCATTTATTGGCAGAAACTCAAAATCGAGTCCTGTGAACTTCTAAATCTTGTCCATTCAACAGAGAGTGCTGAGCTACAATATGAAAGGAGTAATCTTGTAATCTGGATCAATGTTTTTTCAATACAGAGCACATGGACGTGCATAGGATTAGGAAATCAAAGTTCAGACTGATTCAGAACATTTGAAATGCCTTATCCTCATGAGATATGCATAATTCCTTTTTCAATCCTGTACGTGTATGCAACAACAACGTTTGGTGCAGTTGCTATGAAAGGCCCTCCCATGCCACAAACACCTCCCTATAACCTGGCCTGTGCTAGCTGGCAATAACCCCATTTGGATTATATCTCAAAATAGGAGTGGTATAAATCGCAACACTTTTCTTTTCATCCATAGGAAATGTGTTCAATAGAATGATCTACCAGACTGGGAGTATCAATTGCACAGAGTCAGTCGTTGGACAATAGGCGGGATAAGCCCCATACTCAAACCTACCTTTCATTGACGTTACACCAGACAAACTATACTGCTGTTGACAGGGGACTCCATTTTGTATTATTTCAAACTTGGACCATGTTCATATGATGACTTGAGTATTACTGTATGGAGATTTCATGGCAGTTCTACCAGTTAACATCTAGGCAACATATTCTGTCACTCAAAATGCCGCTCACCGACATGACTGCTAAGGAATAATCTTGAAGGAGATTCTTCCCTGTGCTTGCATATGAAGGACATTTTTGCAAGGATTTACAAACGTCGCTTTTGGTCAGCTAAACATCAAAGAGTGATTATTCAAGTTTTTCAAGTAATTTCTTAAAATGTCTTTTCACGGATGTTTACAAACTGTGTACATTGCTTTTGTACTGACGGTAGTTGTGGGATTGCTTCGAAGTGTTGATGGACATTCTTGTGATGTCACTATTGATGGATGTGAATACGAACTCAAGATTTCCGCAAAAAGCAAAACATGCGCTAACATAAACCCTTTTGTCACATATTACCGACAGAAACGATCTGTCTCGGAAACGGCTGAAACAGATCAACAGGTAACTCCCATTACCAGAGAGGATCTCAAACAGCTTTCCAAGAAAGTTACACGTATGTTGGATAAATTATCTACACGAGTCCTCAGATGGTGGAGAAAATTGGATCAGAAAGTTGATGAACTTTCAGTTAAAAGAAACGGCAGATTGAGATCCCAGTCTGTTCATCTCAGTAATCGATGTCCGGATGGATTCATTGGAATTGAAAATTGGCCTTCCTGCTACCTCCTATCTCACTTCAACACCTCGTGGTATGAGGCAAAGGATTATTGTGGTGCTTTCGAAAGTGATCTTGTTGCCATGGGAACAGTGCGAGAGCACTATATACTGTCTTTCGTCATAAAGAATAATCCAGGTAATTTGTATTATTTTCTGTCTTAATTATCATATAGGGCATAATCTTGTATCTTTGAAATTATGGATCAAAGATCTATTTTCAATACCAAAGCAGGAAATATTCTAGTGATCTGACTGATCAATCTAGTGATAACAACCCCATCATTGTGATATGACACATATCAACCCCATTCTAGTGATATAAAGTAATACTACATGTATAAGTGTATAAAAAACTTTATACACTGAAACATATAAAGAATTATGTCTAATAATGTATTTATGTATGTGAGATCAAACTTAAAATTAAATATCTGTTGTGGCATATGTTTTAGTTTAATTATCTGAATATAAACAAGGATGTGTTGATGGAAGTTAGAGCACTGAATCACTGAATGCTTCTGAGGAGTTCATTTAAAACTCAGTAGCAACCCCAGATAATATAGAGCGTATGAATAACAACCAACACTGAATGCATGCAGTTCTTTCTATTTATAACCTAGGTATTTCACTGGTACAAGCCAAGCCACACAGTGCCACACCACATTCATACCTACATGTATACATGACTCATAGTTATGCTGATTGGGTTAAGGTTTGTGTCAATTCATAAAGTACACCGTATGACTTATATCATTCTGACCCATTCGCTGTGGCGAGTGATATATAACCTTATGAGGGAAGCATAAAACCACATGTACCACTTGTGATACTGGTTTATCATGACTTATCCTACCAACATATCTTAATATGATAATATTGTAAAAGAATTAAAACAAAATAAAACTTGATAGAAAACAGATGTGCCATGTCACATGCTTTTCACTAACTCGGAAAAAGTGTGCGACTTTTTGCATAGAAACAGGGTATAAGGGATTTATTTTTCCTCTCAGAAACCCATGTGCAGACTGTCTTGCTTGTGGCGTGGTATAAGGGATTTAGTCTCCTGCTGAGAAATTTATTTCCCTCCAAGGCGGGATACATACTATTTTATCAAGATCACATGGACCAATCAATTCTCTCATGAACCTCATTCTTGTAAAATGACTGAATGATCAAAATCATTGGAGTAATATGACTCTTGTCAAAACAAAATGAATTTTATGTGACCTCATATCAATAATAATAATTATGATGACATTATTCTATCACAATGTGATATCTTAATGAGGTGATGTGGCTGTTATCAACCATGGTCTACTAATAGGACTTTTATCAAACAATGTGAAATGATATGGTTTATATTAACCATGCTGTAGATATGAAACTTTTATCAATTACACTGCAGTGACACGATTCTTATCATCCATATTTCATATTTAATGATGTATTATGGTAAATTCAGAGATATTAAATCCTCTCTCTACATGTGTCACTTTTCCAAATGCTAATGTATGATTATGATAGTGGCCTTCGTCTTGGAAAAAGTTAAAATAACTGCCTTGTTAAATCACCAGCCAGCCTATATATAAGCACATGCCATATTTGATTTTAATGATGCACTGCCTACCTTAATTAATTACAGTTTAACTATGCACATCTGAATCATTATAATCGATAACATTCTTCTTGGTGCCATCTAAAAGTGGGCCTATTGGAGTTCAGTTTATGCCACTTGTTCACTTATGTAATACTTTGTCAAACAGTAGATACATACTTTCTTCCCCAGTGACACCAATCTGTCAATCCATATTGATGATGATGTTGGTGATTTTACAAGTGCTTCTGATCGATAGAGCAGATTTCACACTCAGAATCCATATCTTCCTGCTGGCATTTTATCCCATATCTTGGCAATACCATCAAAATGTCACGTCAGAATTAGTGATAATCTGAAAAATCTGTGTGTAGCTGTCAGTGATAATCTGTATAATCTGTGTGTAGCTATCAGTGATAACCTGTATAATCTGTGTGCAGCTTTCAGTGATAATCTGAATAATCTGTGTAGCTATCAGTGATAATCTGTGTAGCTATCAGTGATAATCTGTATAATATGTGTAGCTATCAGCGATAATCTGTATAATCTGTGTGTAGCTGTCAGTGATAATCTGTATAATTTGTGTAGCTATTAGTGATAATCTGTATAATCTGTGTGTAGCTGTCAGTGATAAACTGTTTATGTGTGTAGCTGTCAGTGATAATCTGTATAATCTGTGTACCTATCAGTGATAATCTGTATAATTTGTGTAGCTATAAGTGATAATCTGTATAATCTATTTTGCAGCTATCAGTAATAATCTGTATAATCTGCGTGTAGATATCAGTGATAATCTGTAGTTATCAGTGATAATCTGTATAATCTGTTTGCAGCTATAAGTGACAATCTGTATAATCTGTGCAGCTGTCAGTGATAATCTGTATAATCTGTGTGTAGATATCAGTGATAATCTGTAGTTATCAGTGATAATCTGTATAATCTGTTTGCAGCTGTCAATGATAATCTGTATATAATCTGTGTAGCTATCAGTGATAATCTGTGTAGCTATCAGTGATAATCTGTATAATCTGTGTAGCTATCAGTGATAATCTGTATAATTTGTTTAGCAATGTGATAATCTGTATAATCTGTTTGCAGCTGTCAGTGATAATCTGTATAGTCCGTGTGTAGCTGTCAGTGATAATCTTTATAATCTTTTATAGCTATCAGTATAATCTGTGTGTAGCTTGCAGTGATAATCAGAATAATCTGTGTAGCTATCAGTGATAATCTGTATAATCTGTGTGCAGCTGTCAGTGATAATCTGCATGTAGCTATCAGTGATAATCTATGTGTAGCTGTCAGTGATAATCTGTATAATCTGTGTAGCTATAAGTGAAAATCTGTATAATCTGTTTGCAGCTGTCAGTGATAACCTGTATAATCTGTTTGTAGCTGTCAGTGATAATCTGTATAATCTGTAGTTATCAGTGATAATCTGTATAATCTGTGTAGTTATCCGTGATTATCTGAATATTCTGTGTAGTTATCAGTGATAATCTGTATAATCTGTTTGCAGCTATCAGTGATAATCTGTATAACCTGTAGTTATCAGTGATAATCTGTATAATCTGTTTGCAGCTGTCAGTGATAATCTGTATCATCTGTAGTTATCAGTGATAATCTGTGTAATCTGTGTGCAGCTGTCAGTGATAATCTGTATCATCTGTAGTTATCAGTGATAATCTGTGTAATCTGTGTGCAGCTATCAGTGAGGCTGAGGGTTGGTGGACTAGTGGCAGCTTCCTTGGCAGCACGCGGCAGTGGATGTGGACGTCGCAGTTCTTTACCAAACCCTTCACATTCATCAAGTGGGCCGATGGGGAACCCAACGAAGACGGGTCACAGTGCATGCTGCTGAGCCGGGATGAGAACCATCAGTGGAACGACGCCATCTGCACAGAGCACTTCAACTTCATCTGCGAAGTTCAAGGTCTGCCTCTCTAACAAGGTCATGCATGGTGGGACATAAGGAGCATGGCACCGCGGTGTGGTACCTCCCAGAAAGCCATGACCAATCACATCATGCTGAATGGAGCAAAGTGTGCATACAGTCAGCATTACTGTAAATAATGCATCCTGACTGACATATTTTAGACTGGGTGGAGTACTCAGTTGTCTGGTACTGTTGCTACAGACACTGACTAAACAATGGCTCCATATCGAGGAGAAGGTGGCTCCAAGGTCATATGCCTTTCCTAAGTGCATAGTCTTTATATTGGGACTTCCATGAGCCATACATATTGGCCTTGCATACTTGTGGTGTGTCACTTGACTCAGACTTGAGAACCATGTATCAACAAATTCAGGGCAAATATCTTAAGATATGATGGAGTAAAATCTTAGCACAAGCAGGTCAACGTTTGAGAAATTCCACCCAAATGATTCTGTTTATGCCAGAAGTTCTTAGTTTCTTAGTTCGTAATCTTCCATGTTAATTGAAAGTTACCCTCTTACACTTCAGTTAGTTGATCCATCAACCGAAAAACGAAAGAAAAAGTGTCACCTAACTCTTTTTGAATATTTAGAACTACCTTTAATATATACAAAACCAGAACACAATTTTCAACATAGAGTTGGCAATGACTAGTGTTAAGAGAAGGTATCAAGGGGATCCTCTGGAACATGGATTATCAATCAAGACATACCGGCAGATATGAATATGTAATTAACGGTAGTCGGTTAACTTTGAGATAGACAGTATGCAATATAACTGGGTTTGGGGATACGAGAGACGTCACATGACTTTTGGCACCCCTATTAAAAGTGTGTATTTCCCTGCTACCAGTCCATCCTGTTTTCTCTGTAGTCTCAGTACCAATATCAGCTGTATTGGCGAGCTGATTCACCTTAAAGAACTTAGGGAGAAAAAATAGAAAAATGTATTTTGCTGTTTAAAAATGTTTGCCCACAATTATTATTCCACTAAGTTCATTCTGCTGTATGTCATATCTGACCCAAATAGTACATATAATTGTATGTAGTTTTGTAAATAAATCTAGATAGGTAATGACGGCTTTCAGTTGTTCAATTTACATTATCATGCTAGCGTGAGACAATGTCCCCTGTCAACACTGGGTCTTCACTTCATACGTTACAAGTGTAAAGAGTTTCATAAAACTACACAACACCTTACAAGCTGATTGGCCTTTGACACATCATTTGATCAACACTCATTGTTAACAAAGGTAACATGGCAAGTCCACATATTACAAAGAGCTAATCGGAGTGAAATATTTCTGTTTGACAATCCGATCTATCCTGTGACCACCACAACATTTTCAAAATAGTACCTGGAACTATGTAGTGAGTCAGTTGTGAAGTGACTAACAATTGAAGTATACACCAACTTCTAAATGCCACTGAAAGAAATGACTAACAGGTGATGCCACCTTAAACATGGTGGCAGTCTGTCTGTACTGGCCTTAAGGATGAAATGACACATCGGTGCACCATTGCATCGTAAGTTTACGATACACGATACAATGCACGATATGGATTTTTTTCTGTATGGATACAAGACGATACACTCGCTGAAATAAATTACTACATGTTTAATGACCTCAGCATTTTTGTCAGTCAAATATCACAAATGTGTTGTAATTAGCATTTCAAGTTCACTAATAAATATAGCCACTACGAACATGTGTCTACAGCTAGCTTTTCATTTTGAACCTGCTCTGAAATATTTACAGAAAGAAGCTTCCACACGATTTGACATAAATATGCATATCAGGATACGTATCGTATGGTATCATGACCTGTGTATCATGATATATATCATATCGTGACCTTGCTGTATCGTTTCACTCCTAACTGGCCAACCAGTCAACTTGATTAGGTGGCGACAAGACTTTGACTGGCCAATGAGACAGCTAGATTCTTAACAGGTAATTCTTGCACGTAAACTGTATTGGCAGCATAGTAGCGTGTCAGCAGGTACATCCTTCTTCCCATGCATACTCAGCCTGATGCAAACACTGGGTACACATTTATCAAGACTTACAACCCTCCAGTGACATCATGCTATTGGTTTCCAGTTGGGTTAAATCTCATAAACAGGGATGTTATAAAATCCCTGGGATTTTATTAATACAACTTCCGTTCTTATTTTAACATATGAATATTTCTCGCTAGAAATTTATTTTGCATTTGAACACAATGTAATGAAATGTAAAATCAAATGACAAATGTTTTATTTATATTCCTGCACATCGAAAATGCAACCTTTGTATCTGTAGACCAGTGAGGGCACCACTAGGCTACAGAAGTGCTGATAAATCATAATGCTTTTAAGAATGTCTTTTTGTAATACCCAAAAGCTAGCAACAGACATTTTACACCGACTAACTGAGGTTCATGGAAAGTATGTTTGAAACATAAACATGTTGATAAATGTTGTTTTAAGTTTCTTTTTGGGTGGTTTATAAGTTAGATAAAACACTTACCCTCAGGTTTTTATGAGATTTACACATATAAATGCAGTATAATACTGGCACTGTATGTACTACTAAAAAAGGTTGACGATCACTTAGTGGTATATAAAAGGGGTAGTGCATATGGTAGTGGAGAATAACTATCCACTCTTAGCAAAAGCATATAACCTAAACTTCAAAATGCAACCACACAGATAATACATGGTTTGCATGATACTGTCATTCATTGGTCAGCCATCCCCGGTTATCATGGGTATTTGATCTCCGTTCTATTGTGATGAAAACTGGAGCAGTTCGCTATTAGAGCTTCATTTCAAATACAGTATCATCCCTTCATTGTCTCTTATCATCATCTCCCCACAGGACTTGTCTCGTGCAATGTGATTGGACAGTTATTTCTTACATCACATCGTTAGAATCTGACTCAAAATGGAGAAATGACAGCAGTAGAAACTAACACTTTTAGTCCACCAGTACTTATAATGACATATAGCAAATCCCATAATAATTGCCAATTTCTACCAGTCAGTATGATACCTTAACTATTGGGCAGCTTGGCAAGGACTATAGGACAATAACAATTCTATCACTGAAATGTAGAGAATATATATCATTACAGAATGGAGACTTAGTATTGGAAATGATGGGGATGATGTTAGCACACAGAAGGAGGGCTACAGCTTGTACTTACAATGTAGCACACAGAAGGAGGGCTACAGCTTGTACTTACAATGTAGCACACAGAAGGAGGGCTACAGCTTGTACTTACAATGTTAGCACACAGAAGGAGGGCTACAGCTTGTACTCACAATGTAGCACACAGAAGGCGGGCTACAGCTTGTACTTACAATGTAGCACACAGAAGGAGGGCTACAGCTTGTACTCACAATGTAGCACACAGAAGGCGGGCTACAGCTTGTACTTACAATGTAGCACACAGAAGGCGGGCTACAGCTTGTACTTACAATGTAGCACACAGAAGGAGGGCTACAGCTTGTACTCACAATGTAGCACACAGAAGGAGGGCTACAGCTTGTACTCACAATGTAGCACACAGAAGGAGGGCTACAGCTTGTACTCACAATGTAGCACACAGAAGGAGGGCTACAACTTGTACTTACAATGTAGCACACAGAAGGATGGCTACAGCTTGTACTTACAATGTAGTACACAGAAGGAGGGCTACAGCTTGTACTCACAATGTAGTCTGGCGGGGACTTCCCTGAACTCCTGGCAGTGCCGTCGATGGTCCTCCATTCCACGGAGACCTCCCCGATCAGTCCTTGAGCTCGAACCACCAACAAGGAGGCCACCCGATCTTCCTCCCTCGCCATAACCTGGCAGCACACAACACTATGTAATACAATGAACTCAATAGGAGGTCATTCCCCCGCTTTATATATAGGAGCATTCTGGAAGCATATAAGTTATGTTATTACCTGCACAATTAGGATTAACCATTACACCATCCACTGTCTTGTACTAGGTATATTTGGCATGGTCTTATTGACAGACAAACGCCATTAAACAAATGGACAAAATAGTATCGTTCTAAACTCTGGGAGTGTAAGACACAGAGTTTTCTCTCCAAAGTTTCATGAAGATACTTGAAAAAGGTTATAATTTTTACCTGTGGTCAAGAAATGAAGCCCCAACTACAAGTATATGTAGTCTGTAACTACAGTAAAATTCATCTGGGTCGTTCCCTGAGTGAAGTAAATCATTGTTGATATTGTCCTTTGTGAAGATGCTTGTAACAGTAATCGTTCCACTGTTTATATAATTGTTTCCATAGAATTTAAGTGCTGAGGAAACTATGCCCTTCATGCTTATCAGTACTCTTCAGCTTATTTTTAATCATCATCATCATCATCATCATCATCATCATCATCATCATCATCAACACAGTATACTCACAGTAACCGGCTGAGTGGCTGGAATAATCATTGGATCATTTTGTTGCGGGGGAGATGTCAAGGCTGAGAACTGGAGCATGCCGTGAGGGTAGTCAGTGTCATCTATGATGAGGTTGGACGATCGAGTTGAAGGGTCTATGCTAGCCCCACTCTGATTGGTCGATCCTGTTTGTCCATCACCCGAGATGGCAGATTCTAAGTACACTCGAAATATTTCTGCTTTTTCTGGCAAATTGTCTTCTTTGATCTGGAATTGTAATCTCTGAAAAGAATAAAAACCCACCAGCGACTGTAACTCTTATTCATGGTTCCATCATGGTTACATAGGTCAGCAATGTTCATACATCAGTCAAAACTAAACACCTGACAAAAGTGATATTAAAGATGTTATGTTATATATCTATTGAACTCTCAGATTCCTTATTGGTAGCCGAGTGGTTAAAGCATTCGCATTCATGCAGAAGACCCAGGTTCGATTCCTTACATGGGTACAATGTGTGAAGCCTGTTTCTGGTGTCACGGCCATGATATTGCTGGAATATTGCCGGAAGTGACATAAAAACCATACTCACTCCCTCATTATGAAGATGGTATATGTGTTGCCAACACTTGGTCATGCAGTTAACTCAAAATGGGGACATTCGAGTAGCCTAGTGGTTATAATGTTCGCTTGTGACCACGCCGAAGACACAGGTTTGTTTCCCAACATGGGTACAATGTGTGAAGCCCGTTTCATGTGATATTGCTGGAATATTGCTAAAAGCAGGGTAAAACAATACTGACTGACTGACTGACTGACTGACTGTCTGACTGACTGACTGACTGACTGACTGACTGACTGACTGACTTGACTGACTGACTGACTGACTGACTGACTGACTGACTTGACTGACTTGACTTGACTGACTGACTGACTGACTTGACTGACTTGACTGACTGACTGACTTGACTGACTTGACTGACTGACTGACTGACTTGACTGACTTGACTGACTGACTGACTGACTGACTGACTGACTGACTGACTGACTGACTGACTGACTGACTGACTGACTGACTGACTGACTGACTGACTGACTGACTGACTCTCTCACCTTCTCCCTCTCTCCGGGGCTGAATGTCACTGCTCCTCTGGCCTGGACGAAGTCGTCCACAGCGGGAATGTACACAGAGTTGACGTCCTGCTGGACGACCCAGGTGATGGTCACAACGCCATCATCTCCCCTGCTCCGCCCAATGACACACGTGATGAGTGCGCTCTCGTTGCCTGTCCGTGATGGCTGACATGACTGGGTGAAGCCGTACAGGCCATTTGAGTTGTCACTCTTCAGAACTGGAAAAGCGTGAGTGTATGGGATTTAATCAGTTTTGAATATTATTTTAGTTACAGCATGGTAGGTCGGCTTATGCGTGAGGAAAGTCCACCATTCAGCTGTTGGAGAAAACCAATAGCCGGTATAGAGCCAACCAAGGATGGCCACATTCAACAAAGTGATCATAGCGCCATGACTGCCTATGTATAAGAATGGGAGTTACAAACATCTCAGCGCTACAACTGCTTTGAGGAACAGGACCCAGGACTTGAAGCAACAGTTGCCTTTGTATGTACAAGGGATGCAACTATGCAAAGAATTTTGTTCCACTTCAGATCTCTCAGAAGACAAAATATAACTTTGATTTAGCAATTTTCATATTCCCACCTTTAAATGTAAAAAATATCATCTCAAGTAGGGCTGTGTATTGGCAAAAAGTGGTATTTCTGTATAGTGGGACTATAGTGTTTGACAGTGATTGACATTGATTGTACATGGAGATCCTATTTTCAACATTTTCAATGCTGCCATTTTGTAGTCATTGATGCAAATCATAATGAAATTTATTGTAATTTATATTTTACCCAATATACTAGAACACAGAAAACCCCATTGCAATGTGTATTGTTTGATAAGCATGTTGCAGTAAACCGGTATATCACCGGTACTGTGCAGTCCCAATCTTTATCCACATTATAAAAAGGAGCCATCTTATTTAAATATTCTACCTAAAAACCAAAATATTCAGGTATCCATGTACAACAACATGTAATGAAGGGATTCACATGAAGCAGGAATGTTTGGTAGCACTCTATATACTGTGTACTTCATTAAGTATTCAAAAACGAAGAACACACACACAATTTTCTTCAACATAATAACAGGGGGCACGGGTGGCCCAGTCGTCTAAGGCGCCACGATTCGCTGTGCAGAGTTGCAGAAACCTATGATTGTTGGTTTGAATTCCGGTTCACCCTGATTATGTTTCTAGGTTTTTCAGCACCATACCCGTGCTCGGGTTTGGGTTTCACCGAAGTGGTAATCACTTCGGGCTTTCCTCCCACATTAAGCTGACACGACGCGATATAACTGGAATATTGTTAAAAGCGGCGTTAAACCCAACTCACTCACTCACTCACTCAACATAATTACTTGAAGCTAAAAAACTGATGTGAGGCTAGTTGTTTGGAAGCAAGGCATTTGCCGATGATCAACTAAAAATTAATTCATCACAGCCTATAATCATCAACACTTTTTATCAATACTGGCTGTATCGGTACACAGGTACAACCAGATTATTTCCCATGGTCTTAACAAGACACCATCAACCCAATACACATAAGCAGACGTACCAGTAAGTGTGGCAATGAAGCCGGAGTCGGAGATGGCCGCTCCACCATTCACAGACACCAGGGTGACAGAGAAGACTTCATTGCTCTCCTCCTCAATGTCCTGCAGAGATTGGATGTTGAATGTACTCGTCCTCACCCCTGGGGTGTAGGTCAAGGTCCCAGAGATCGGCATGATGTCCTTAATGGCCGGTGTCTCATAGATCTCGAGGATCTCTCTGTGAAAAGTACAGAAATTGATTCTTTCATTCATATGTTCCGGCGAGAACATTGCCTGTTCCAGGTTCGTATTTAAATCAAGGGAATACAGATAAAGGTTGGATATCATGTCTACATGACCAAAGACCAGTCAGCAAGGTGACAAGGTGAGGATGTCATCTGTCGGATGACCCTGGCTAAGGTACAAACTCTACTGTCAGCCGAAAATACAGTCAGGCCACACAGTCGGCCACAATGCTCATCTCCACGTTGGGCCCAAATGTAGCAGCAATAAAAATTCAAAGTCTTGTCCTGGGATCTTTACTGTGGATCTTCTGATCCAAGGTCAGACACCTTGTCCACATTTCCAAGAGGCTAACTTGTCATGTATACTGTCCTATCAGCAGGAGGCATCCCAGGGGCCCCATTGAAGGGTACTGAGACTTATTTTGCTTTGTGATATCAACATCTACCATGCACTGCAACATTTACTGGGCAAACCATATGAGCTGACAACTCAAGCCCTCAGAGGCACTCCTGAACAAGGTAAGACTTGGACAACCTGCATGTATCCAACATAGATTTCTGCAAACCTATATGACTCCTAACCTGAGGTTTGTTCAGCAATATTCCAGCAAAATGACGGCAGTCTGTAAATAATTGAGTCTGGATCAAACAATCCAGTGATTGATGTCCTTAGCATCGATCTTCGTAATTTGGAAACGATGACATGCATCAACCAGGTCAGTGAGCCTGGCCACCGGATCCCATTATCCGCCTTTTATGACAAGCATAGTTGTATGTTACGTCAAGCATGGGTTGGTGAAGACCTATTCTACCCAGGATCTTCATGGGTCAGCATGGGTTGTTGAAGACCTGTTCTTCCCCGGATCTTCACGGGTCTAATCTGAGGTGAAGACTCAGGCGTAAGAATCTTCTATGTGTGTAATGATTGCACTCACTCCTCAACCAGGCTCCGGAGGAAGACTCGGACATCCTGCATGTGTCCGAGGTAGAATTCAGCTCCTGGGGAACGTGCTCCCACGAACAGTGCACCTGCCTCGTCAATGATGTTGGGTTGTAGCAGAGCTCTACAAATCAATAGAGAGACACAATCACTGTGAAGTTGAATACAGGCTTGAACTTATGAACACAATCACAATACAGGCTCTACCATATGAACACATTAACAATACAGGCTCTACCATATGAACACAAACATAATACAGGCTCTACCATATGAACACAATCACAATACAGGCTCTACCATATGAACACAAACATAATACAGGCTCTACCATATGAACACAATCATAATACAGGCTCTACCATATGAACACAATTACAACACAGACTCTAGGATAAATGAGCATTTGCTCGCTGTTTAGTAATCAGTGAAAACAGGCTACATATAAATATCCATGCCTGTTTTTCAAGCAGTGTTTGAAATAAGAAAAATGCCAGGCGGCCATCAGAACCCACAGACTTTAGAAGCTGCAGGCCCTGACTAAACTCTTCAGGCCCTCATTAAGAAACTGCACTTATTCTGATAAACATATTGACATGTAAACTTACTGCAGGACCCATACAAGTTGGAAAAAACGGGTCCGACACGAGACCTACCTGCCAGGGCTAATGGCAGGGGGCAAACTTCCAACACTGCTTTCAAGGAATTAGATCATACATTGCCAATGTGCAGGTCACATGGTTGGTTGGTTGGTTTGTCGTTTAACGCCGCACTCAGCAATATTCAAGCGATATGACGGTGGTCTGTAAATAATCGAGTCTGGACCAGACAATCCAGTGATTGATATCATGAGCATCGATCCACGCAATTGGAATCTATGAAATGCATCAACCAAGTCAGCGAGCCTGACCACCCAATCCCGTTAGTCGCCTCTTACGATAAGCATAGTCGCCTTTTACGGCAAGCATGGGTTGCTGAAGACCTTTTCTACCCCAGATCGTCACGGGTCAGGTCACATAGTAAAATAACTGGATGATATGAAACATCTGACAATCCCATGGATACAAGCATATCATTTTTGCCCATCTTTAAACTGAAAGATGAGATGGTAATGAAAGTTTCTTACGTGTCAATCTTCCATGTCTTTTGGTGTTTCTTTTTCAATATATATTGTAATATACATTAGGTTTAATAGAATTCACATTAACTTGCCTTGTTGAAATAAGCATCCCATCCATATATATCTTGGCGCTTCCATTAGCAACAGATGCCAGGATGTGATGCCAGTTGCCGTCCATGAGGTTGACGCTGGTCACACCCTGGTACACATGGCTACCCCCCTGAAACAATCACATGTACAGGGGAATATCAAACAGTGACCAGGAAGATATTGAGATTGTAGGGTCACGGTTGGCCCAGTCATCTAATTTACTGCACAGAGTTGCATCCCTTAGGTGTGCCAGAAGCCTGTGATCATAGATCCTAGTCCCAGATTCATCCTGATTGGGTTTGTAGGTTTGTCAGCACCCTACCCATTATTGTGGGTTTCAACATACTGGCAAATGTCCAAGTCCTTACCTTGGGCCGCTGGACTGTGAGATACTTGAAATACTGTACAGAGCAGTCTCAATCACTCACTCACTCACTCATGATCCATTATTCCTGGATTGTGGTTCAACCACAACATATCTACATCCTACAGCAGCGTTGTAACAAATATGATCATAGATGATCATGAAATCTGCAACTGATTATTTTCCAGTTATACAACATCATTGTATTGAATAACATTGGTTACATTATGCATACAATTAGTCTGTTAAAAGGGCTTTTGCAGTGTTTTCAAGTAGATTTGTTTGTGTTGAATAGCATAGCAAAATTATGAAAAAAGAATAAAATGAAGTTTTTCCGAGAAAGAAAGTTACAAATTTATGAAAATTCTCTTCTCATTCATGATTGATTATTAAAGGATCACCAATGGTTTTTTTCAAATCATGACCAATTTTAAAATTATAATAACACTTCCCTACACTATCTATCTGACTACATCACCAGCAACTCCATTCTACATAATGATGGACCTGTGCCATGGATGCATTGTGATCATCACAAATTTCAGCTCAAATTTGTATCCTTTATATCTTGCCCCTAATGAAAGTGCAGACAGCCATACCGTGTTTGATCTGGCCAGTGCCAGCTCGATGGTTGACGATGATGTTGATGTTAGCAGTTTGAGGCTGTAGAAGTGCTTCAGACCGTCGGCGGATGTCTTGGCCAAGATGTAACCATTTGTGTTAGGTTGAGGCTGGACCCAAGCACTAAGACTGAAGCCGTTCATGATGTCTGCAGGCAGAGGTTGGGCCGCCGCAGGGACTGTGACGTAACTCCCTGTAAACACATGTGAACCAGGCCAAGTGAGGATCATTTAAACTCCCGCATTGCTAGACATGATTCCATGGCTTTTCATTGGCTAACAAAGCAATCTTTTCGCATTTATGGTTCCATAAACCTACAAAAAATTAGTCATCCCCCACTAGAGGACTTATAAGTGTTTCCTGATTGGTTTATAATAGAGTTGGGGGTTCTTGTGATACAATATTGTGCTGAACGATGTAACTGATTTCCTAGCATTGTCTACAGTGTCTTGTTGGAAACAGCAATCTGTGAAGTTACCATTGTTGCCTTATGTATTTCAAAGAAATGACTTCAATATATTTCTGCATTTATGGAAGTGTAAATGTTAAAACTGATTTACACAGTGTGCACAAGTCAATTCGCAATTGAACCAGAAATTAAAGTTTACAATAGTATTATCAATATCTCAATAAAAAACACCATCTTATTTACCCGATATTAAACATTCTTGATCAATACTACAATGTAAGTTTGAATTTGTTAAATTTTCAGAAAAATTATTCCAACATTGTAGAGATAATTTAAGAATAACAACTTCTATATATACTCTATAGGCAGCGTTTCGGTATAGATCCTTATACCGTTGTGAAGCAGGGCCACTTTGTCATCCGTCAACTTCTAAGTAATGCCTATCAAACAATTTTTTCCAACATTACCTAAATGGCATAATCACCATTGGAGAAAATGGCACTTACCTGTACCGCCCGAGAAGAGCAACACATCCGTCCCTGTGCCCCGTCTCCGCTTGCTGTTGTCTGTAGTTACAGTCGAGGGACGGTTACCGACAAAGATCAAGTCCACTAGTTTAGGAGGATTGCCTCCCATTCTTTCTGAGAAAACCTCCCACAGGACCTGGGAACAGTGTCACAGGAAGAACATCAGCAACAGCTCTCACGATGGAGAACTACCTTTGCACCATTCGACAAAACGATCTTAGTGCTATGATTGCCGTAAACCTATGTTAAAGTATAGGAGTTATGATCATCTTAGCGCTAAGATCGCTTTGTCTAACCGTGCCAAGTAAGGGAGCTCGCAGGAGCGAGGCTATGCAGGTGGATGAACTACTAACTGTAGTCATTGAGTTCAGGCCCATTGTTGCCTGGAACTTTATAACAGTTATATATACACCTTAGGCCACTTGTCCATCTGCAAACTCTTGTAGAAATCATTAGTTATTAGACATAGACATAAGGCAGGTTGCATGCAGGTTAGTACATTTTTAAAGGTGCAAGTAATAGGGCTTGGACGGGTAACTTGGGTACCCACAGGACTGCCCGGAACCGTGGTTAGTCACGTGACATATTGTTTCATGACAAAATTTCACTGTATAACTACCATACAGTCTCCATTTTAAGTCTCTAATGTTCGCATTTCTTCATGACTATGAACAAGTTCCTTCTGTCTTATACATGTTTGAACAAAGCTAAATAAAACTGCAGTCAACTTTAGTGTATGCATGACCACATCGTTTTATACGTGTATCTGAATACATTCTGCCAGGGCTACTGTCAAATTATTCCCAATTGGACATTTTGTACCTATCTCTTGACACCCAACAGCAGGTACCCGGGTAGGGTCGGGTAATAGGGGTGTGGGTACCCAGGTAGTAAAATTGGACTTGTCCCAGCCCTAGCAAGTAATGTGGTAGTTCCAAGGTTAATTTTTAGTAGTTGCAAAGAAAGTAGTTTTAATTATATCTCCATCTCATCGTATCCAAATGAGTGTCTAGCTATGGCTGTACACATGCATGTTTGTCAAACATCGTCATACTGAAGTGTCCCATGGTTAAACCAACCCACACATTTCCCATGCCTTGACCTACCTGTGTGTTTCCAAGGCTACCCTGTTGCCTTTCCACAGTAAAGGTAGCTGAAGTCTGCCCGCCCTGGCCCGGCGTGACATCCTCATCGATGTTCTTCTCATCAGACATGGCCGGAAAAGCAAACTTGCCAAATGGCTCATCACTCTGCCTGACCTTGAGAGTCCCCACTGTCCTTGCAGAGTCCAGTTTGGCCAAAACAGTGTTTGTCCTCCCAGAGACAACTGGAAACACAATGCATCATATAGAAACAGGATTGACAATCTGGCATTCCTCTTTCATGAACACACCTTAAGCCCTCTAAGAGCTACAGAGTTTGGTTTAACACCACTTGTAACAGTGGTTCAGTTACAACATGGCTTGTCTGTTTGATGTTGGGGGATAGCTCAAGGTGATGCAGGGTCTGAGACCTGCTTGATGAAACCCACAAGCATGTGTATGGTGCTGACAAACCTAGAAACATAATCAGTGTAACTCGGGGATTCAGCCCATAACAAGAGATTTCGGGAAACTTTGCTCAGGGAATTGTGGTATGTTAGATGATTTCACACTCCTGTAGATGAGGAGTGAGTGAGTATGGTTTAACGTCGCTTTTAGTAATATTCCAGCAATATCACGGTGGGGGGACACCACAAATTGGCTTCACACATTGTACCCATGCGGAGAATCAAACCCGGGTCTTTGGCATGACGAGCGAAGGCTTTAACCACTAGACTACCCAACTGACCCTGTAGATGTGGATGTAATATGATCAGAGCAATGAACACCTCCCAGATCAAATATGCCCTTATAGTGGATTCTACTGATGCTGTGGCAATACCCTAATTCAGGGACAATGACAGCTATCACTATTATTGTACGTTTGTTTAAAGCCAAACTCATTTATGACGGAAATCTGTAAATAATCAATTCAGGACAATCAAGTGATTGACATCATGTGCATCAATCTATGCAATTAGTTGAAGTGAGGTGAAATGGGGTTTAACACCACCTTCAAGCTATGCAATTAGGATACGGTGACATTAAACCAAGTCAGCACACTCGCCCATACCTCTACGACAAGCATGGGTTGCTCAAGACCAATTCTTACCCAGATCTTTGTGGAAGACTTACACTATATTAGCTTTGCAAACCTTGATATGAAACCACTCCTACCATTATCAAACAAAAAAGCAACAGACCAGGTAATGACAACAGACATATACCCAAGCAACATGAAACAATTGTTCACCAACCACATTAAAAGCAACAGCAGGTAATGACACAGACATATACCCAGGCAACATGAAACAATTGTTCACTGACCGCTAACTCCCGTGAGGACGACATTGTAGGTCTTCTCGTTCTCAGGGATGTCATCCGGAAGCGGCTTGATGATAATGGGCAGCTGACCTTGACTTTCTTTGAACTGAATGACCCCGCTGGTTGTTTCAAATTCTCTTGTGTCTGTCACCACTTGATTGGTGAGCATGTCGCGGATCTGCCAGGACACATCCACCTCACCGAACGAACCCTGGTCTCGCATGATGCTGAAGGAGGGAACAGCATGTTTACCCTAACACATTTTGTTTGTTATTAGTTGGGGAACAAAATGTTTGGCCCAAAATTCAATCTTGATTGTTGGAATACACAACTTCCAAATTAACATACTGTCGACATCTTCCTGAGGCAAGGGAGTTAACCAACTATAATAGTCCAGTTTCCACCCTTGCGAAAGTCGGCTGCAATTATGGAGTTATATTTTAGCTGGACTAACAAATCTTTGCACAGTCCAATCAAAATTGTGTAATGAAATTGACATCTGGTTTATAAAGAACATGGATTTCAACCTGCATATTTCGGTCAACTGCTGGATTTGCAAAAGATGTGTACTGTCAACTAGGTGTTCACAGGTATTTTCTAAATCTTTTCATGTTTTTAATTAAGGTGCTCACATAATTTGATGCAAGGTAAGTACCGTTTTATTACAAAATATATATCTTGATTATCGATCTGATTATCTTGACCGGGTGCCACCATTTACTTTAAAGCAAATGCAAGTGATATGAGAGGTAGAATCTGATTGGTCAATAGGATTGTCATAGAGGGGACATAACTCGCACTAGTAGCACTACTCTCTAGCCTAGTTTGGCAATGGTGGAAACGGGACTTGTAGTCAACAGATTATGTCATCTTTGCACACACCTACAGATAATTGGATTGAAAGTCAAGAACATCACAGTTTGTATATGTTTTTTCATTTTTTTCCAAAATGCTATAAATTACATATGCCAATACATTCCTGGGACATCGCCTATTACAAAACAGTTGGTCTTACTATTAAATGCCAAGCCAGTGGCAACATCTCACAGTGTTGGGAACGATGACATGGAATCAACCATGTCCCTGAGCCTGGCCACCCTATCCGTTTACTCACTGTTTACTACAAGCAAGAGATTCCGCCTTAGGCTGGGTTATCTGAAACCTATTCTGATCTCCCCATGGGGAGTCAGGTTTAGAATAAGTCCCCAGCAACTTCTGCTGGTCGTAAGAGACAAGCCTATGGATCCGGTGGTCAGCTTCAGAGACTAGTTTGTTTGCATGTCAGCATACCCCGATGACGTATATCGTTGCTCACAATATTGATCACTGGATTATTTGGTCCAGACATGATTATTTACAGCCCGTTATAAGGTACCCGTAATGTTGCTGAGTGTGGCGTTAAACAACAAACAAACAAGTGACTGGAATCTACACTATGCATACTACTTCAATGTGAATGAAGTAAATAAATTCCTAATTTCTTGTGATTATTAAAGTTTTGAGTCATACATTATGTAGCAGGGTACTATTGCTATTTACATCATTATTCATACATCATCATCATCTATATGTTCATTGTTTGTCTTGTCTACAGTTGAATGTCAGTCAATAACTCTTTAAAGTACTTAACACCCTTATTTTCAGTCTCTGAGAATCTCTCACCAGATCTTCCCCTTCAACCTTCTGTCTATCTTTAGACATTTTTTTCACACCTGTGAGTTTCCCTCAGTCTATTTATATCTTGCATCAGCACTTCCTTTGATGCTTAATGCAATATATCCCCTAAATGGCCACCCTGGTCCTCTACAGGTAGCTACCTTCCATACCTGACTTCCTCCTCACTTCATGTGCTGCTGTTGAGGAGGAAGGACATTTTCTTTTCTTCAGGTATGGAATGGTCACTTTTCAATCTGTTTTCATCTGCTTCTGTCATATATAAGTACTTTCAATATCAAACCACTATACAAGCGTGGTATTATAGGATAGCATACTCAAAGTAAATGGTCTCTCCCTCGCTAGCCTCCTTTGCCAGCGGCTCCTTGAAGCGGAACACTCCATAGGCATCATCATTGGCCAGGATCATCACCGTGGCCGTGGATCTGTTTGTCAGGATGAAATCACCTGAAATCAAGGAGAAATCTTTATTCACTGTACCCATATTAACTATCTTTCATTAACCATCCTGTCAATAGATAATTATCATAATTGAATCAACATTATTTTCTACTATGGTAATATCACGTTCCCCAATTGAAAAGAAACACTATCACTCATTCACAAACAGATCATGCATGTTATCCCTTGGAACTGTATTTTAAAGTAGCTTTTTGTGAAGTGCTCTCAGAGGGATAGAGTACAAGATTCTCAACACAATTTAATGTACACAACATACATTAGTAGGGCCCCATGGAGTAGTACTTGTAGTACCCTCGTGGCGACCTCATGGTGCTCGTACAGAACTCGTATGAGGATCGTCTTCTAAATTTATTGCTGAGTTGACCGAGTCTAATACAAACTATACGAGCCTCCATGTTAAATCATGTGACAAATTCCCACTGAATTATTTAGCAGCTCGTAGCCAAAGTTGTACCAAACTCGCACAGCTCGTATCGAGATCCTTATCCTCGTATGCACCTCTTAATAGACATTACAACATCCCTGTTTATGAGATTTAACCCCACTGGAGAACAACAGGATGACCTCACTGGAGTGGGGTCATCATTGCTGTAGATATAACTGGACCCTTGCCAGTTTGTGACACCAGACAAAGCGCTCTCACCTCCCAGGTTATACAGCTGCACCTGGAATGTCTCGTTCCCCTCAGGCAAGTTGTCATCCAAGATTTCCAGGAAGAAGCTCTTCTCAGTCTCTCCAGGGTTGAAGGTAACCTCCGAGTCAACACTGGTGTAGTCGTTGGAAACACTCGATGCCGACCCGTCCAGTGTTCGGTATCGTACTTTTGTCGTATCTGTCAGTCGACCTGTTCTCTGAATGGTGAACTGAACCTGAGACGGCTCTATTACATCCTTCCAGACCTCTGCAGAAGAAAATAAATCTCATAGCACTCCGGGGATCTTCATCACTGTGAGTGACTGAGTGAGTGAGTGTGTGAGTGAATTGGGCTCAATGCATAACTGAACAGTCTTCCCATCTGTTTTATGTCGAAGGAAAGCCCATATTTCCATAACATGTGCCATTTGTCAAAATGTTCAGTGTTAATGGTGAAGGGCAATACATAATCAAGTTTGTTTGTTGTCTGTGAACAATTGAGTCTGGAGTTGCCACATGAAGGATCATAACTGGGACATAGCCAGGATTTGAATGCCGACCAGTGGATCCTGACATTTGAGTAAGGGAGGCAACTCATGTAAGCAAACTATGCCTATGCCCCTACATCTTTAGTGCTATAATCACAAAACATAGGTTCAGGTAACACATGTGAAAGTAAAGTCTCTGATCTGTTTGTTGTCTAATGCTGCATTCCAGCTATATGACAGCGAACTGTAGATAATCAAGTCTGGACCAGTGATTGATAGCATGAGCATCGATCCATGCAAATGGGACATGATTGTATGTATCGACCAAGTCTGCAAGTCTGACCAACCAATAAAGCATGGGTTGCTGAAGATGATAAGAAGTGCATGAAAATATGTTTATGTTATCATCCAGGAAAGGTAATGAAATAACCAAACAAAATTACCCTGGAAGCTAATTGTCAAAACCTGACCAATATAATACTCAATGGATAACTTTTTGTACCTGTAAATTCTAATGGGTGGTCATTTTGTCTGATGACAATGGTCGCTCTCATCGGAACACCTGGTTGGGCATTGCCCGTTGGGGGAGATAACTGCAGAATGTAGGTCTCATCGCTCTCTGGTATCTGGATGGAGAAATATAAATTATAAGACCAAACCTACATTACATTGACTGGACTGTTGTTAACATAGACAAATAACACCAAAAAGCAATTATTCAATTTCTGCTTGGATGAATGGTCATACTAAACATATTCATGAAAATGTGTACAGAATTCTGACTGTTGTAACGATTGAGCAGGTTATTTCTGTTGATAGTGTATTAATTTCTTTTTACTGTTTTGTGGTATTCCTTTTGTCTATATGTTATCTATCAAATGTTAATTCTATAAGACATAATCATGCTCTGTTCTAATTATGATGAAAGCATAAAGGCACTGGCTGCAGTACATTTTCTGCTGGACAATATGTCAGACAAGGAATCTGACGACTACAGATCAATATACTGAACACAAAAAGTTAGGGATCCTGAATATTTGTAGGGATACTTTTTATGAAGTCGTGTGCTCAGTCTTCACTTAAAAAAATATCCCCCCAAAATATTCATGATTCTTAACTTTTTTGTTCAGGATATGTAAATATCGGTCGTAATTTATAATTTGTAAGTTGTAATTTTGTGCCTGTTAGATTTTAATCCGAAACAATGCTAATCACATTAAACCAGGTGGATAGAACAGTGTACATCTTACATCATCAGCAACAGAAGATATTCGTATTGTTTGCTGGGCTTGTCCCTCCGTGAAGGTGATGGTTCCGGAGGTGGGTGTGAGGTCCGCCTGAGCACTCGATGGTAACTCCCATGCTACAGACACCTGTCCAAACGTCCCCCGGCTCCGCTGTACATTCAGATCCCGGAACACAGTGTTGATGGAGGTGCTCTCCCCTGCAACACAGTCAGGCTTGTAGTATCTCTGATTCATTATTCAAATCTATTGTATAGATGTCATTGATGATCAGTTCCACATCAAATTAGTTTAATTGGAACAAATATTGCCAGTTCGAATGCACCTCGCCCATTGACATTGAGCTCATGCATGTGAAACAAATTTTCAGTAATTGGAAGAAATCAGCTTGGATATTTATGATCCAGATGATTACATTTCTAAAGCTGGGTCAGAGTCAGTGTTTAGAGGGTCAAGGTCAGGGTCATAGTAGAGGGTCAGGGTCAGTGTTTAGAGGGTCAGGGTCAGTGTTTACAGGGTCGGTGTTTAGAGGCTCAGGGTCAGTGTTTAGAGGGTCAAGGTCAGGGTCAGAGTAGAGGGTCAGTGTTTAGAGGGTCAGGGTCAGTGTTTAGAGGGTCAGGGTCAGTGTTTAGAGGGTCAGGGTCAGTGTTTAGAGGGTCAGGGTCAGTGTTTAGAGGCTCAGGGTCAGTGTTTACAGGGTCAGGGTCAGTGTTTAGAGGGTCAGGGTCAGTGTTTAGAGGGTCAGGGTCAGTGTTTAGAGGCTCAGGGTCAGTGTTTAGAGGGTCAGTGATTAGAGGGTCATGGTCAGTGTTTAGAGGGTCATGGTCAGTGTTTAGAGGCTCAGGGTCAGTGTTTAGAGGGTCAGGGTCAGTGTTTAGAGGCTCAGGGTCAGTGTTTACAGGGTCAGTGTTTAGAGGCTCAGGGTCAGTGTTTAGAGGGTCGTGGTCAGGGTCAGAGTAGAGGGTCAGGGTCCATGTTTAGAGGGTCAGGGTCAGTGTTTAGAGGGTCAGGGTCAGTGTTTAGAGGCTCAGGGTCAGTGTTTAGAGGGTCAGTGTTTAGAGGGTCATGGTCAGTGTTTAGAGGGTCATGGTCAGTGTTTAGAGGCTCAGGGTCAGTGTTTAGAGGGTCAGGGTCAGTGTTTAGAGGCTCAGGGTCAGTGTTTACAGGGTCAGTGTTTAGAGGCTCAGGGTCAGTGTTTAGAGGGTCGTGGTCAGGGTCAGAGTAGAGGGTCAGGGTCCATGTTTAGAGGGTCAGGGTCAGTGTTTAGAGGGTCAGGGTCAGTGTTTAGAGGGTCAGGGTCAGTGTTTAGAGGCTCAGGGTCAGTGTTTAGAGGCTCAGGGTCAGTGTTTAGAGGGTCAGGGTCAGTGTTTAGAGGCTCAGGGTCAGTGTTTACAGGGTCAGTGTTTAGAGGCTCAGGGTCAGTGTTTAGAGGGTCATGGTCAGGGTCAGAGTAGAGGGTCAGGGTCCATGTTTAGACGGTCAGGGTCAGTGTTTAGAGGGTCATGGTCAGGGTCAGAGTAGAGGGTCAGGGTCCATGTTTAGAGGGTCAGGGTCAGTGTTTAGAGGGTCAGGGTCAGTGTTTAGAGGGTCAGGGTCCGTGTTTAGAGGGTCAGGGTCAGAGTAGAGGGTCAGGGTCAGTGTTTAGAGGGTCAGGGTCAGTGTTTAGAGAGTCAGGGTCAGTGTTTAGAGGGTCAGGGTCAGTGTTTAGAGGGTCAGGGTTAGCATTCTGGCAACAGTTAGTTTTCACAAGTTAATTAAAACTGGACCTAAAACATAAAGAGAAATGTGAGGGAACAAAATCCCCAGTTGTGGAAAAACGTTCCCAGTATAAAGTGTTGCATGGAAATAATTTCCACAGAAAAAATAGTACAAAGAAACATGTTCATTCCAGGAAAGGAAAGGACACTGACACATAGTTGGGGTTGATTGCAATTACACAAAATGTAACTGTCTGTCACAGGAAGAACAGTCAATTCAGAACAGGAAGCAGATCTCCAGCAACTGTCACGCTATAACTATCGTAACTCCTATACTGTAACTTAGATTTAAGATAGTGGCAGCACTACGATCGCTTGTGAAACAGAGCCCAGATCCATGATGAGTCGATTGCACTTCACTGCATGAGTGACCTACCCATGTAGACAATAGTGGGATCCATGGAGAACTGGATGATTCCTCCAGGTGCATCATTAGCTGCGACAGTGATGGGGATGCTCACTCGGGCACCCAGTTGGGCGGCAGGTGTACCGTAGGTCAGGAGCTGGAGGCTGAACAACTCGTCCAACTGGAATACATCAACAAAGCTGTTCACTTTCAAGTGTGCATGTGAAAATAAGAATAACAAAGGCTATAGAGTATGCGATGTCTCAAGAATTAGGGACTAAAATTTGTCAAGTGTGACACTGTGAATGGGTCCTTACCTCTGGTATGCCATCTGACTTCGCTACAAGTTTGACACTGTGAATGGGTCCTTACCTCTGGTATGCCATCTGACTTTGCTACAAGTGTGACACTGTGAAAGAGTCCTTACCTCTGGTATGCCATCTGACTTTGCTACAAGTGTGACACTATGAAAGAGTCCTTACCTCTGGTATGCCATCTGACTTTGCTACAAGTGTGACACTATGAAAAAGTCCTTACCTCTGGTATGCCATCTGACTTTGCTATAAGTGTGACAATATGAAAGAGTCCTTATCTCTGGTATGCCATCTGACTTTGCTACAAGTGTGACACTATGAAAGAGTCCTTACCTCTGGTATGCCATCTGACTTTGCTACAAGTGTGACACTGTGAAAGAGTCCTTACCTCTGGTATGCCATCTGTCTTAGCTACAAGTGTGACACTGTGAATGGGTCCTTACCTCTGGTATGCCATCTGACTTCGCTACTAGAGTCCCTGTTGCTCTGGTCTCACCAGGAGCAAACCTCAGGACACTAGTTCCTCCATAGAACTCCTCAGTTCCTCGTGGAGATACTCGGTACTCTACTTCCTTCATCGTGAGAGCTCCACCGCTGCGCTCTACAATCACTGTCACTGCTTCAGACCCCTCCTGTGGAACATATAGTGAGTGAGTGAGTGAGTGAGTGAGTGCCTCACACATCAGAGTGAGCAATCCAGTGGTTAATGTCATGAGCAACAACCCAGACCACCTGATGGTGTATTACCAGCCAGGTGACATATGGTCACCACCCCTGCTCATTTTAGTCAGCTTCTACAACAAGAATGGAGTACTGAGGATGTATTCTGAATCTCCAAAGTGAGTAACTGTTATAGTCAGCATTATCAATAGTCAATATAGGTCAATAGTGTGAACACTGGTCCACACCATAACGAAATTGTCCCACACAAGCTTACTATGCTTAACTCATGTGAGAGAAATTCTGTGGGAAGTTATCATTACTGCTAAGTGAGAAGGAGATGTGACACCACTTCCCCTAGAGAGCTATGGTAAAACACTGTGTCCAGAGTTGTCTTCAGAATAAGATGGAGGTACGCTGGATAATCAAGAATGATATTTTGGCCAAATGTGACGATTCACATTTCCATAACATGTGCCATTTGTCAAAATGTTCAGTAATACATAATCTAGTTTGTTTGTTGTCTGTAAATAATTGAGTCTGGAGTTGCCACATGAGCTATGTCATAACTGGGACACAGCTAGGATTTGAATGCAAGACCAGTGGATCCTGACATTGGGGTAAGGGAGGCAACTCATGAAAGCAGACTGTGGTGCCACTGTCTGCATGCTGCTGCCTCTTTTTTATCATTGTTTGTTTGTTCGTTGTCTGATTCTGCACTGAGCGAAGTAAGAGAGTCTGACAATTCGATTCTGTTAGTTGCCTCTCAGGTTGCTGAAGATCAATTTTAACCCATCTTCCTGAGGCAAGGGCGTTAACTGACTATAAAAGTTTCCACCCTTGCCGGACTAGGCTGGAATTTCAAGGCTTGATTGTAGCTCCACCAGTGGTTATTACGAGTTATGTCCATTCAATGTTCCTCCTATTGACCAATCAGATTCCATCTCTCATATCACTTGTATTTGCTTCAAACAAAATGGCAGCGCCCAGTCAAGACCATCTGTTCCATAATCATATTGTCTATAACCTATATTGTAATAAAACCGTTCTTACCCCGCGAAGTGCATCAAATCATGTGAGCACTTTGATTTAAAACATGAGAGAACATGAGATGTCTAGTTTGTTACGCGATTTTGATTGGACTATGCATAGACTCGTTAGTCCAGCCAAAATGTAACTCTATAATTACAGCCTAGTTCAACAAGGGTGTAAATTGGACTTTTATAACCAGTTAACTCCCTTGCCTCAGGAAGATGATTCTAACCTGAATCTTCACAGGTCCTTTAACCAGAAAACACGCACCTGAATTCTATAACTGTTCTGCATCAATGTTGAGAATTCAAACACTCCAGCTGGATTATCATTGGCCAATATAGTGACATTGACCTCTGCTGACCCAGGTCGTAACCTTTCTACTGAAGACCCTTCAATCCTCAGCTCCACGGTTACAGTTTCATTGATCTCTGGAGTTTCATCTGCCCGGACACTGAGTGTTATGTCGATCTCAGACACACCTGTAGGTCAAACCAAAGCCTGTGATGAAGCATTGTATAATACACTAAATGTTTAAAGGGGCACTGATCTAACGGACAGGTTGTTGCCTTTGTTATTGTTTTTCCCCCGTGAGTACCCGGATGATACGCAACGCAACTGAGCGTGACCAGAGACTGGGGTACCGTCTGCAAGGACAGCTAAATAAACTTGGAGGCTGGAGGCAATATTTGTTTTACGCATTTTTGAACACTGATTGGTTAACTGTGATCTATAAAGATTTCGACAAAGGGCGCTTGTTAATTAATTTCTTCAGCCTAAACAAACAGACATAAAGAACAAGGGAGCTCATCGGATGTCGTCATTTGGAAATACCCCAGATGGTTATAGTTTAATACTAAAAAAAGTATCCATGCAGTGAAAGCATTTTTTGGATTTCGGCTTGCGTCGATAATACGATTACTACTCCCTTGTTTTCATCCACGTTTTCTCGTATAACCCTACACTTGTGTATTTGACGTCATTCACTTGATGCTCAGTTAATGAATTTATTACAGGTACAATTAGTGGTAGCACCACTTAGATTACCTGACAAAGGTTCCCATTTGGCATTTATTGTGTCTGGGGTAATTATTCAATCTAAATCCAGGTTTGAAGTGAGGTGAAATGTGTGTTATGTAATATGCACGTGGCAGCCCAGCAAGAGATGAATGATCAGTTGATTTACTTTTTTTTGTAAATCAATGGATCGTTCCTAGTCATCAAAGGATTAACAGAAAATACGTTGATTGATTAATCACTGTTATCTTGCACAGTGGATATGTCAAGAGTGAGTGTCTACATGTCTAGGTTTACTAAAACAAAGGGAATACACTCATATCATGGCGCGAAGTGCCGATGTAAAAACAACATACTTTGTTCAAAGGGTTAACTGATAATACGTTGATTGATTGATCATTGTTATCTATCACTCAATGGAATTTTTAGAAACCGTGGACGTTAAGAAAATAGTTGTCACGTGGGCTTTCTCAGCTGACCATTGAGACTTGACACCTATGTAAAACACCTGAAACAATCCAAGCGATCAGTTGAGAAACGAACACGGGTTATAATATCCCGAAACGATATATATCTTTTAAAATATTTGATTGTTACTGAGACACGTGACATCGAATAAGTTTCTTTGTACAGCTGCACACGAGTGGGATATTGTTCCTTTGTGTGGATATTCACGGATACATTCCTCGAACAAGGAAGCTGCCTAAAACTTATACACATAAATTTGGTAGGTTGTAATTATGATATTTGCATTTTGTTTTCCTCCATTTGAACCGATTCGTTCTTGTTTCTCTAAGTCTTGCTTGGGAAATTCTTCAATGCGCGATAGACGTCGTTGTCACAGGTCTTTTCCTTTGTAAGCGTGTATATATTACCGTCAATTTGTAAAATGTGATTCTCTCAGGCAATTTATAAAATGTGTAAATATTTCAGTCATTTTGACTAAAAAATCTGTCCAGATTGATCAAGACGATCAAAAGGGCCTACAAACATCACAACAGATTATTATGTAGGATTAAAAGCCAAACAACTTAGAAATATACTTTTCAACGCAACATTTTCAGTCTCTTGGTGATGACATTAAACATCAAAATGTTTGGAATTCGTTGTCATAATAATACAGATGGAAATGTTTTTTAGTCACTTTGTAAAATAACTGAATATTTAGACGTTTAATAAATTCGTTACACATTTGACAGTAAAAAGATATACACACTATAAAAAAAGCATATGCTCAGGTGAAATATTTACTTTGTGTTGCAAGTCAAAATAGTGTAAACGAAAATTACCAAGCAAGTGACTTATCAAAACTTCGTCACCATTACCGATGCTACTCACAGAGATACCTACATTTCCTTATTATCTCGAAAACTGTATTTCATTTTGTTGATCAATGTGACCATACGCCCTTATTACTACCCATAAAAGTGACTAATGCGCTTACGAATGGCGCAGCAGAGGTCGCGAACTAGTCTAGATTTCTGTTATACATCCGGGTACTCAATGGGAAAAAACAATAACAAAGGCAACAACCGGTCCCGGGGAATTGCGTTAGATCAGTGCCCCTTTAAGTGCATCCTGAAATCTGCATAACATAGAGACAGGACTTTCAACTTTACATCCTACATTCTATATGTTTTGACAAACCCTTTTCAGATTAACAAATAGCTTTTCAAATATATTAATTTAACATTAAATTTGATACTATTCGTTTTCCTGACAACCATAATATTAATAAACAGAGCCTACCCAAATATATACATATATTACTAACATAACACAAAGATCTAATACAAATATCAATCTTTATTGAAACAGATCAGTAGATTTGATGTCAGCCTCTATTTCAAATGTTTGACAACCATAATCATGATAGACTAATGCTTAGTCTCTAAAACTATATAAATAAACAGTTTGGATAGAAACAAACAACTCCATTTAAATTGAAAAGGAGCCCCAGTGAGGGGAGGGGAAGATTCTAGACTTGCTTCATTTAGTGATATGGCATTACAGTAAACACTGGGTGGAAGGGAACGTAATATGAATCAGGTACAGTGAGACTGACTATAATCCTGACTGTATCCGGGTGACCGAAAAGTACCTGATGCCATGAGAACCACGCCTGTCATGCTGTCAAAGTCAGCCGATGTAACGGAAGATGCTGACTCTCCCACTCCTGTCACAATCCACCTGATGTTGACAGGTCCACTGCTTCCCTCCCGGTTGACCTTCAGTTGAACCTGCAAGTAGGGTGAGTGAGTGAGTTTGGATGACAGTCCACATTGTTGCATCTTCTCAAGGCAAGGGAGTTAACTGACTATAAAAGTCAAGTTTTCACCCTTGGCTTGATCCTAGCGCCACCTGTGGCTATCATGAGTTATGTCCCTTCTATGTCCCTCCTATTCACCAATCAGATTCATCTCTCATATCACTTGCTTTTGCTTCCAACAAAATGGCGGCACCCAGTCAAGATGATCTGATCGATAAATAAGATCTATATTGTGATAGTCCAGCTAAAATATAACTCCATAATACAAGATGGAAACTAAACTTTAAAGTCCGTTAACTCCCTTGCCTTGGGAAGATGACATTGTGTCCTAACTTAAGTTTTGTGTCCTAACTTACCACTCTGCTGCCTGACGTGGGCTCTTCAACCAGGACATCCGAGATGTCAGCAAATCCTATCTCCCCATTGGCGTTGGTGGCGGTGACAGGGATACTGACCTGCCTCCGGGACTGTAGGACAGGGCTGTTGTAGTTCCCAAACTCAGGAGCTGCAACATGGAATTGTTATGACTCATTCATTTACATATCTGATTGACTTTAATCAAAAACAGCTCTGTGGTCCAGAGGATAGACCGTGTTCATAAGTGAATGGTCAGTGGGCCTATCCCCAGATGCGTTCTACCAAAAGACATTAAAATATGGTACTTGTTGTTACCCTGCCTGCAGCTCAACATTATGGGGATAAAACAAGGACTTGAGTCAGTATACTGTGTCGAAGTAGGGTACCCAAGTTAAAAGACGGCATGGTATCTCAGTGGGTAAGCACTTAGTCCAGACTCTACCAATCTCATTCAAATCATATCTCACTACCGCTTAACAAATATCTGAAGACATCTCATTACAGGTCACGTCGGAATGACCTTTTGTGAGCTTTAACTGACCAATGAACTGACTTACAAGAAGCTGACATTAACAAATTACAAAGCACCTTTTTCAAGCTATACAACACTTAAGCTTCAAACTGTGAACTTTTATTCAAGACTGCACTTGGAAAAATATTCAAGTTCTTGATTCAAAATTTGAAAAGTGGCCTACATTGTATGGCAGTTCTTGCAGTCTCTTCTGTTCAAATGTTTATCCAACTGAAGTGAGCGAAAGACAATGATTTTGATGGAATCAGTTGTACAGCTCGTAACCGTTGTTTGGAATAACCTGTGTTAACCTTTTCAAGTTTGCGTGATAAGAAAACACATTCCCACTGTCACTTTCCTGATCTGGTGAGCAACACTCTGATTGGTGAAATGAAATCTTTCTGACATGTCCTGTAACAGGATGTCCTCTGATCTCTGTCAGAACTAAGTTGATAAGATCTGATTTTACTGAGATTGAAGAAGTACAAGATGCTGCACTCACTCACTCACTCACACACACACTGAAAATTGGATTAGACATAGAATTACAAACATAAAAATGTCACTAAGCTGAAAACAATTGCAGAAGCACAGCAAACACCAGATGCTCCATGAGAAGTATTCAAAAGCTGCATGTAGCTCACATGGAATCTTTGTAATGTAAGCTACAGTTTAGTGACACACAAACTGGTTGTATGTTTAACCTTAACACTTCGCTTTGAAGGTCAATAGGTGTCGGTACTAACTTATATCAATAATGACGTCCGTAATGTAGGCATCAAATCTTCCTCCCGTCTGCAGGAAGGCTTTGGGTAGCAGAGGCACTTCCCCCATGATGATATCCAACCCTTGCAGCAGCGGCATCTCGAAGTACCTCTGTGCCAGCACCTCATCTACACAAAGACATTGGGAGTAGTGGGTGTATACAACTATAGGATGACATCAGCACCTCATCTACACAAAGACACGGGGAGCAGTGGGTATATACAAGTATAGGATGATATCAGCACCTCATCTACACAAAGACACGGGGAGCAGTGGGTATATACAAGTATAGGATGACATCAGCACCTCATCTACACAAAGACACGGGGAGCAGTGGGTATATACAAGTATAGGATGACATCAGCACCTCATCTACACAAAGACACGGGGAGTAGTGGGTATATACAACTATAGGATGACATCAGCACCTCATCTACACAAAGACACGGGGAGCAGTGGGTATATACAAGTATAGGATGACATCAGCACCTCATCTACACAAAGACACGGGGAGCAGTGGGTATATACAAGTATAGGATGACATCAGCACCTCATCTACACAAAGACACGGGGAGCAGTGGGTGTATACAACTATAGGATGACATCAGCACCTCATCTACACAAAGACATGGGGAGCAGTGGGTATATACAAGTATAGGATGACATCAGCACCTCATCTACACAAAGACACGGGGAGCAGTGGGTATATACAAGTATAGGATGACATCAGTACCTCATCTACACAAAGACACGGGGAGCAGTGGGTATATACAAGTATAGGATGACATCAGCACCTCATCTACACAAAGACATGGGGAGCAGTGGGTATATACAAGTATAGGATGACATCAGCACCTCATCTACACAAAGACATGGGGAGTAGTGGGTATATACAAGTATAGGATGACATCAGCACCTCATCTACACAAAGACACGGGGAGCAGTGGGTATATACAAGTATAGGATGACATCAGTACCTCATCTACACAAAGACACGGGGAGCAGTGGGTATATACAAGTATAGGATGACATCAGCACCTCATCTACACAAAGACATGGGGAGCAGTGGGTGTATACAAGTATAGGATGACATCAGCACCTCATCTACACAAAGACATGGGGAGTAGTGGGTATATACAAGTATAGGATGACATCAGCACCTCATCTACACAAAGACACAGGGAGCAGTGGGTATATACAAGTATAGGATGACATCAGCACCTCATCTACACAAAGACACGGGGAGTAGTGGGTGTATACAAGTATAGGATGACATCAGCACCTCATCTACACAAAGACACGGGGAGCAGTGGGTATATACAAGTATAGGATGACATCAGCACCTCATCTACACAAAGACACGGGGAGTAGTGGGTGTATACAAGTATAGGATGACATCAGCACCTCATCTACACAAAGACATGGGGAGCAGTGGGTATATACAAGTATAGGATGACATCAGCACCTCATCTACACAAAGACACGGGGAGCAGTGGGTGTATACAACTATAGGATGACATCAGCACCTCATCTACACAAAGACACGGGGAGCAGTGGGTGTATACAAGTATAGGATGACATCAGCACCTCATCTACACAAAGACACGGGGAGCAGTGGGTATATACAAGTATAGGATGACATCTGTAGACACTGACAGGAAGGAGGCCAGGTAGGTAGATATGTGGGAAGGAGGAGGAGGTAGGTATGTTGTTCGGGGGTAATTATATGGGCACACACACACAGGAGGAGGAAAATGAGGCGAGAAGGAAAGAAAAGGAGGACAGAAGTAGAAAAGGAGTAAAGGAGAGTAGAAATGCGAAGAAGGAGAAGAAGTAGAAGAGTTTTCCTTGAATACATTACACTCCTTTGAACTTTTCAAAATCCCTATTTTGAACATAACAATCATTTTCTCCAAATTGACTACCAAGGGCTTCTTGTTTGGAATTCTAGATAACTATATTATCTGTAAGAATAAAAGAGGAAAACCAGTCTAAATCAATCTTCACACTTCAGTGCTTTGTCCACAAGTTGACAGTACTGTCTGGGCACTGGAAGTTGAGGTGCTGCAATGTTGGACCGGAATACTGCAAGTATCTGTGACAACATTACATTAATTTCACTGAATAGCAATCTGGCTGTGTTAATGTAGAGCTCTACCTGTGCGGTCTCTGTTGGCGTTGTCATAGTAGGTCAGTGAGATGTTGGCGGTGAGGTCTTTGAAGCGTCCTCCTTCACGCTTCAGCTGAAGTTTCAGGGACCGTGAAGTGATGGTCTGTGATTGTACAAAGTAATTTATTAATCATCAGTTGTTATTTGGCAAGTGGGTGTTTGTTGTTCAGTGATATTCCATATATATCTGATGGCAGCCTGTAAATAATCAAGTCTGGACCTAACAATCAAGTAAAAGATATTATGAGCAATGATCAAAGCCATGGGATATGATGACATGCCATCATCATAGTTACTGAGCCTCACCATCTTTACTACTTACGTTTTTGATCTGTTGCTGGAAGGGTGAGTCAAACTCGATTCTGCCGTACATATCATCACTGTCTTCTATGAGCAGAAAGGCTTGTGTTACTCCCTCAATGGTTGCACCCCCGGTCGCTTCCTGCAGAGTCACCACAAACTTCTCAGCTGGCTCGGGGAATGTGTCCTGCACAATCGTGATCCTGATTTCAGCCGTGTTGGCACCATTTTGAAATTCTACCACTCCAAAGAGAGGCCCCACATCGGATGTTACTTGGTCGGTTGTTTCATTATAATGGCTAATTTCCCATGTGGCTGTCACACGACCAAAAGTCCCAGCATTTCGAACAACTTGGAATACGGCCACAGAGTATGTATCCTCGTTGACCCTCACCTCTGGGTTTAATGTTGTGCTGTTTTCTGTTCTGAAGCTGATGACTCCATTTTGATTATCATTAGCACTAATTACTACTGTGGTTGTCTCTGCATTAGGGGCCCACACAACATCGCCCGAAAATGTTGAAAGACGGAACTGAAATGTTTCATTCATCTCTGGCTGATTATCATCAAGGACGACAAATGAAATGGACTTGACAGTTTCTTCTGGTCCGAATACAAGCTGGCCATTGCTTGCTGTAAAGTCAACATTTTGTTGTGCAGTTCCTGGGCTAACTGAGTATTGAACTGTTGCCTGTTCAGAAAGTGAGCCGATCTTGGTGAAGCCATCTGTTGTCAGGCCACGATTTACTTGTACAGAATATGTCTGACTGCCTGGTCCCTCTGCAAATCTGTACACAGGCTGGAAGTCAAACAATGAAACTATCAACCGTCATGTACTGATGGATTGGTGGGTGATAATAGATGGATTGATGGATGATCACAGATGGATTGATGGATGGATAACAGATGGATTGATGGATGATCACAGATGGATTGATGGATGGATAACAGATGGATTGATGGATGATCACAGATGGATTGATGGATGGATAATAGATGGATTTATGGATGATAACTGATAAATTGATGGATAATAATAGATGGATTGATGGATGATCACAGATGGATTGATGGATAGATTACAGGATTGATGGATCAATAGAGATGGATGGATGGATGGACTACAGATGGACTGATGGGTGATAACAGATGGATTGATGGATGATAACTGATAAATTGATGGATGATAATAGATGGATTGATGGATGATCACAGATGGATTGATGGATAGATTACAGGATTGATGGATCAATAGAGATGGATGGATGGATGGACTACAGATGGACTGATGGGTGATAACAGATGGATTGATGGATGATAACTGATAAATTGATGGATGATAATAGATGGATTGATGGATGATAACAGATGGATTGGTGGATAGATTACAGGATTGATGGATCAATAGAGATGGATTGATAGAGGGATAACAGATAAATTGATTGATGGTAGTAGATGGATTGATGGATGATAACAGATGAATTGATGGATGATAATAGATGGATTGATGGATAAATTACAGGATTGATGGATCAATAGAGATGGATTGATGGATGGATAACAGATGGATTGAAGGATAGATTACAGGATTGATGGATGATAACAGATGGATTGAAGGATAGATTACAGGATTGATTGATGATAACGATGAATTGATGGTCTATAATAGTAGGTACCGGCAGCAGACCTGCAAACTCAGTGGAATCTATAGAGATTGTCAAATATAGTCTGTTTTCACTTGCTCATTACTTTCTTATTTATGGATTAATAAAAAAAATAATAATACAATAAAGATTGTCCTTTTTCCTTTCATGAGTTGTGTGTTATTTGTTCATTAAGAAACAATTGTATATATAATATTAAGTGGCATTGCACTAATGAACCTTATTAATTAGTGCCGCGGGACGCTCGCCTCAAGACATTTACACCAAAGGAAAATACACAGTCTTTTTCTTGCTCTCGCGCATTTCACACAGGCAACGCAAAAATAAACTAAAAATAGAAGCATAATCACCAGAGGTTTTTTTTAAAACGTATTACTTTGTAACAGTAAATCATATTTAAAATAATTACTCGACTTTAAATCATCACAGTATCAAAAGTATTCATTTAAACATTGTAAGTTCTGACATCAATCGATTCTTTATTCAATTTCCTTTCTAACAAGTGTACGAAACTAAAGCTAGCTTGTCTGTTGCATGTGCGCCAAGCAAAATGTAGTGATTGGTGCTTCCACACCGGTACATTGGGTTACATTGGATTGGCCACCCGATGTTACTCGTATGTTTCCGGGTGTGATCAAGGCATGTGATCAACTTACCCGCCAAATCTGACAGGTGACAATCGACAGATTGAGACTGGACTGCAAACCGAACGGACGAAACCCACCGAAGCTAACACGATCTCGATCTCCCCCTCATCACGCTTACGCTGTCAGGTAAGCACCTATTCCATATCACTAGGCTTTCACAACAATGGCGCTGTGAACATGATTAAGCCTATTTGTGATATTTGTGACAAAAGTAAATATGTCACACGACAATGGGAAAGAACTGATGAATGGGTCACTTGATGTCCTTATATAGAGCAAAACTCCTAATATGGAGCGGTTTGAGCTTTTTCATTGGCTATTAGAGTAATACCCCAATGCTCTTTAGTTTATATTTTTATCACTTTTCGGCCGTAAAAACATACTCATAATGTTAAATGCACAGTAATATCAAAGGGTGTTGATGTATCCACTAAACATGTGTTTTGATCATGTCAACCGCTGGAAGCTGCATGCTTTTCACATGGCGTATTACGTGTAAATTTCATGGTGTTGATTGCAGTGTTGCATGCACCTAGCTGTCAATCACTGTCACTGGGTGCATGGTAACGCTGTAACAACTCCCATGGCTGTCAGCATATTTATATATGTGTAGTGTTACCATCATTTATCCATTGGGCGCAGTTGGGTAGCCTAGTGGTTCAAGCGTTCGCTCGTAACGCCGAAGACCCGGGTTCGATTCCCGACATGGGTACAATGTGTGAAGCCCATTTCAGGTGTCCCCCGCCGTGATATTGCTGGAATATTGCTAAAGTAAAACCTCACTCACTCACTCGCGTCAAATTAATGTTCACACATTACAGGGAATACATTCGCAGCAAGATACAATACAATATTTTCTGTAATTACACGCTTGTTAGTAATACTTGTAAAATGAATGGGAGAGAATTCTGCAATCTGATTGGTTGAAGAATGTGGTTAAATGGAATTCGAAGCCCGGAAATATTTCTTGAGTTTTCATTGCGTATGAATACGTTACTTGATATGTACGCCGGAAAACCATACTCACTCACTCATTTATCCATTTATACTATTATTATATGTATATATATATATTATGTATTCACATTAAATAGTGGGTAAGTATTCTGCAGGTCTTTTCATTAATGCAGGGGTTTGCAGGTACGTATTCACTGTGCATTATTGTTTATATAAGGTTTTAGGTTGACACTTTTGCACTCAGTCATTCGCATGACTGACAGCAGTCAACTGTCAACTAAGCCTGGGGTTATATTTATGTATACATGTATTAGGTTTTTCAATTATTTATACAAGGTGTTAGGTTGACACTACTGCGCTCACTCACTCTTGATATGACTGACTGACAGCGGTCAACTGTCACCTAGACCTGGTGTGTTTATCGCATTTGTTTATTATTTATATCCACTTGATAAGTGTGGTAGCTTTGCAGTTGTTGAGAATATTTATTTATTTGTCATTTTTATGGTCATGTTTATGCCATGCATGAAATGTGATTGTGTTATATTAGCATAGGTCAAACGTTAGATGGTGCAAGTATTTCACCCTAGTATGGCCGGGTTTCATTTCAGTTTGCGACACCTGCTGACCGTACAGATTATTTTGGGGTATGCCATCTGCTTTGTTCACTGCTGGTACAGTTCAGTTATCTTGCCTGCAGTGTTATGTGTTCATCTGTAAGTCTGGTAGTGTTAGGTAAGGGTAGCTAATGCTTAGCAGCTGAGTAGTCGGTCCTCCGGGGGACGATATGGTTCACTTGGTTCTGGTTTGTGAAGCCCGTAAGACCGGTTGATGACAATATACGTCCACTTTAATGCTCTGTCCTTCATACGAACGGCATCATTCTACTGGTCCGCAGTCAGTCGGCAACGTGGAGCATTCTTCACAATCAACTGGCCCTCTATCCTTCTTCAGACGATAGGCCTCGCAGTCGGCTGCCACTGCCTCACCCTATTAGCAACATGTAGCTAATGTTGTTTGGGTTGGTATCAGTTCTCTGCTAGTGGGGGGTATGGTTGATATATCTTGGGTTTTCTCTGCCGCCATGGTCTCTCTAGTCCAGGTGTAATCCCCCATGCAGGTTGCAGCTTCCATTCATCTATCCTTTGACATGTACATGATTTGTCATATCCATAATATTGACATCTCTTTACTTAGGTTAGTTTAATGTTATACAGCTACCATGTAGGTACCGAAAGGTCAGCTTCGTCTTGCCTTAGGTTGTAGTACAAGAGCAAGAATACTTTAGGGTAGGCTCAGACACTTTTGTTCCTTTCCCAATTGTATTCGTTCCAAACATGGGGTTTTTATGACTTGTTCTTTCTAATTAATTATTTAAGACGGGTTTTTGGATTATTTCAGATAATCCAATCATGGCACCAGTTAACATTAATCTGTGCTCTGAGGAAGAACTCAGGCTTATTCTGGGAATAGGGATGAAACTAGCCAGGAAGATTGTTCAGCTGTGAGAAACCTTAGGCGTACTTATGGAGGAGGATTTTCGTAATCTCCCCTCTATCAGAAACCCTGAACAGACTCTAAGCACCATCTCCTTTGCCACTGGTACTCAAACTGCAGGCTCTTGGTCTCCCGGCATGGTGGGGCAACCCGCTTCTAGGCAAGCTGCACCATCCAAAACCAAAACACCTAAATCAGCATTTGGACAATTTACTCCAGCTACGGAAAGTACCTCGAGTAGGTTGTCGCAAGCTAAAATGTTCCATCAAGCCGTTCCTAGCTCTGATATGGATGCTATCAACTCAAACCTAAAACAACTGGAACAAGCGGAGACCAACTTGCAGGCCAGGCGTAGAGGACTTACTCCACCAAGTCAGAGTGCTCTTTATGACCGGTGGCAGGCGGCCACTCACGATCTCAGCAGGGAGATGGAGGTTTTCTCTGAGGTTCTTGCCAACTTGGAAGCCAGTAGCCCTAAGGATCCTGGATCCGGCCATCTCGCCAAGGCACCCATGTAATGCTCCAGCAACACATTCACGGGTAATGAACTTCTTGTTGCGAGGATTGACCTCGGATATTGCACTGGCATTCTTGGACGATATTTTGGTGATGGGTACCAATGTTGAAGACCATCTGACTAATCTCCGATCCATCTTCGAGAGATTCAGAAGTTATCAACTCATATTGAAACCTCGCAAGTGTGAACTGTTTCAGCAGAGGGTTGAGTTTCTCGGTCGCGTAGTTAGCCAAGATAGCCTTGATGCCAACAACGATGGCCTCAAAGTGGTAGTAACCTGGCCCCGCCCCACCTGTACCAAGGATGTTGAAAGGTTTCTTGGCTTTGCCAACTACCACAGGATGTTTATCAGGGACTATGCTTCTATGGCAGTCCCGTTGTATCAAATTACGGGTAAGAAGGCATTCCAATGGAATGATGAGCACGAGCTCTAACCAATACACCTGTGTTGGCATTACCTACCAAGGAGGACCCCTTCATCCTGGATACAGATGCTTTGGATGAAGCCATAGGAGCAGAGCTGATCAAAGTTCAAAATGAAGAAGATAGAGTAGTTTGTGTTGGCAGTTTTGGTGACGAAACCCATCGAAGCTAACACGATCTCGATCTCCCCATCATCACGCTTACGCTGTAAGGTAAGCACCTTTTCCATATCACTAGGCTTTCACAACACGACCATGTTCAAGTAGGTAATATTGAACCCTTTGTTTTTGCATCTATAAATCCTTTTAACCTTTGTGAACATTTTGGAATGGTTATAGCTGCCGATGTCAAACATAAAAGTGGCTATTTTTGTGGTACGTACCACTTCGATGATCTTTTTGAGGATGGAGACACGAAAATTCTCGTGAAAATACAAGATGGCGGATGTAAAGGGTCCGCTTTCATGCAAATGCTTTGTCACTGAATGTGCATACATATGTTGAAGCACTATGTGTAAAGCTTAGTTATAGAACAAACATGTATTTGATTGTCAATAAAGTAATTTCTGTTGACGATTTACCTCTACTGTCATGATATTTTTATCGAAATTAAGCCACTTCCGTTTTTGGAATATCCAAATAACATATTCACATATCGATAATAAAAGGATGAAATCTAATTTAATGCTCATATTTAATAGTCAATCTGCTTACATCCGATGAAAGTAAATTATTATTAATGGATGTTTGCAAATGTTTGTATGATAAAGCCTAGATTTACACATAGTTTGGCGATTACATGGCTTCAACTAAACATTTTACAATGTCATTTTTTCCAAGTAAGTTAAATTCCCATCCAATATCCAATAAGAGTTTGTTATTTATTTCATAATGGAACTGAATGACATGTATTTACATATTTTTCTCATGATTTGAATTTTATATCCAATAAGTGTTTATTATTTATTTAATTATGTAACTGAAATACATTTGTCTACATGCTATTCTCATGATTTTAGCTATTTATTTTAAATATGAATGTTTATATTTTTTGGCGGATGATGAAAACTTCAACAAATGGAAATCTATTTTCAGTTCACCTGGAAGAGTCAGACGACTATCAGTACAAACAAACCTGATCTGACTTTATTACCTGATTGACATAGGACAATGTTACAGATTTTGCCTCAAACATTTCTGAACTTCAGCCTCCATAACACTGAGCTTTAAGAAATTCTAAAAACTCACTAGCATGAATTTTTCTGGCAAGCAGAATTTGTTGGGAATTATCTTCGCCAAGCAAATGTGTCACAGAATGAATTGCTTGAATGAAACAAGTGCCACAAGTCACTTGGTGTCATTTCAGAAGAAAGAAGATTTTCCTCCGTCATGGATATGTCAAGCAGCCAGCTATCTATCTGGTGTTGGGTTGAATGAACAATCCTTCAGAAAAGTTTTGAAGGAAATTCACGATCACCTTAGGACTAAGATCACTTTGAGGAACGGGTCCAAAAACAAAGAAACAAAGACTCTCAATGACCTTATTACAGAGAAGATATCTAATTCTGAGAAACAAAGGGAAGATTTGGATTTTAATTGAACTTTTATTTCAATTATTAATTAGGACATTGATTATTCAAAGTTGCAAGAGGAAGCCGACCGATCGTCTCTGGAACTTGCAAAGAAAGAACTTTCCCGACTTCCAGACTTGGTCATGGTCCTTGCTACAAGACAATGAAGCAATCGAAGAAAAACAAGACGTCCGTCTCAGCAAAGATCATGTTCTTCAGTCTTAAAGGACAATAGTATTATTAATATTTTGTATTACTACTAATATGAGCCATGACTAACTTTTCAAGTTTAATTTCCACCATTTTTCAATTGTCAGAGCTCAATGTGTCTAATTATATGTTGTCATATGTGGACAGTAATTCTACAAATGGTTAAGAGTGATCTATTTTATGTTGAAATGCTTTTTGTTTGCTTTTGTTAGTCTTTGTTTTGTTATGAATTAATGCTGAACTTGTCCAAATGTAATTAAATTTTCCCATGTCCTATCTTCATAATTCTTTTTTTGTTTTGCTTGTATTGCTTTCCAGTTTAAGGAAAGTCAGTGTGTTGTGTAAAAAAAAGTAGTTAAAATTTGGCTGCCGGTACCTAATAATAAATGGATTGATGGATAACCGATGGATTGATGGATGATAACAGATGGATTGGCGGATGATAACAGATGGATTGATGGATGATAACAGATGGATTGATGGATGGGTACAAATGGATTGGTGGATAGATTACAGGATTGATGGACCAATAGAGATGGATTGATGGATGGATAAATGGATGATAACAGATGGATTGATGGATGGATAACAGACGGATTGATAACAGATGGATTGGTGCATGATAACAGATGAATTGATGGATGATAACAGGTGGATTGATGGATGGATAACAGATGAATTGATGGATGTCAACAGATGGATTGATGGATGATAACAGATGGATTGATGGATAACAGATGGATTGGTGGATGATAACAGATGGTTTGATGGATGATAACAGATCGATTGATGGATGGTAACAGATCGATTGATGGATGGATAACAGATGAATTGCTGGATGATAACAGATGGATTGATGGATGATAACAGATGGATTGATGGATAACAGATGGATTGAGGATAAATAGCAGATTGAGGGATTAATAACAGATTGATGGATTGATAACATATGAATTGATTGATAGCACTGATTGATGGATGATAACAGATGGATTGATGGATGGGTTACAGATGGATTGGTGGATGATAAGAGATGGATTGATGGATAACAGATGGATTGGTGGATGATAACAGATGGTTTGATGGATGATAACAGATCGATTGATGGATGGTAACAGATCGATTGATGGATGGATAACAGATGAATTGATGGATGGATAACATATGGATTGATGGATGATAACAGATGGATTGATGGATAACAGATGGATTGAGGATAAATAGCAGATTGAGGGATTAATAACAGATTGATGGATTGATAACATATGAATTGATTGATAGCACTGATTGATGGATGGATAACAGATTGATTGATGGATGATAACAGATGGATTGATGGATGGATAACAGAAGGATGGATGATTCATTGTTAACAAAGTGATAGCAACCGGATAACAGCAAGTGAGTCAGTGAGTGACTAAGCAATATTGCACCATATCACATCAGCCTGTATCAACTTGGTACTTACACTGCGGAAGCCAAGAGGGGCATCATTAGCCTGTATGATGAAGGTAAATGAGGATCTTGTTTGGTCAATCCTGGCCATGGGAGAGGTATCCACCAAATAAACTGTAAATGTTTCAGCATTTTCAGGTATCTGCAGGATAAAGGAAGATTTCTTTATCTGAGGCTATTCACTGTAAATATGTAACCAATGCAAATTGATCAAAGTCGCTAGACTTACATTCATGAATAGGTAATCTTTGTGATCATACAGCTTCATCTGATCTCAGAGACCACTTTCCGACAACTTCAATTGTTGAACATCATGCAATTTGTTAATCCATGCTTGTATGTTCAGGTAACAAAAAGTAGATTAATTGCCCTAAATTCACCTGAAACTTAATAGAATAACCTTACACATAGCAATCTCAATTCATTCATTGCTAAATCAAATAATGTCTCTCCCTCTTCAGGTTTAAGGAACTCACATCATCTGCCCTGATCTGAAGCTGAAGGTTGTTTTCTCTTTCGTTTGGCTGAAACCTAACAAATCCGCTTCTTGGTGCGATGTCTCTCTCCACGTCAGCCTCCAAACTGCTTCCGTTGATCTGTAAGGGAGTTAAGTAGTTATCCATATCTACACACACCCCATCCATTCATCCATCAGTTTCTGGAGGCTGTTCCAAGTCTGGACCATTCAACCGAATCTTAATGGTTTGCACAACAAACTGTCAATGACCAAGCCCCTTCCTTATGCCAAACATATTTCATGACAAGGGGATGATTTAGATTTTCAAATTGTGAATTTCCTCTTCAATATACTTTCAGGTCCATTCTATGGAGTCTACATTCTCAAGATTTAATGCTATAGAGCAAGTACAATTTATTCAAATTTCATGGAAAGACACATTTTGCAAACAGGAAAGCTTTTCAATCAATGTTTCACCATCAAAAGCATGGTAAAGTCATTCCAAACATTTTATAGTAGACATTCAGAGGAAGTTTACAAAATAGAACATGTTGGAGTTTTCATATCTCCCTACCCAATGGCACTTACTTTTTTTTTTTTAAATGTGTGAGTGGCTGGTGCTACCAGTTGAGCAGGACATGTCTACCCTTTCGTATATAAACACCTCATGTCATCACCAGCTTTCATCACTATTTACCTTTTATGCCCTATGAAATCTGTTTCAGCAGATACCGTAATCAAGACCGATTATTCTCTGACATTTACATTTTGAATTTATAGATTTTCTTCTCTAATATGATTCAAGAAACAAAAATATTTGGTTAATCAAAAGCTTTAATCTGTGTATTATTTTCTAACAAAATGATATTATTTTAGAAGTCAAACCAAAGCGGTAAAGAAATTATGAGTTGAAAAATGAACATTTTATTTCACAAAGTACATGTTTTTGATAAAATTAATTCATAAAACAAGTAATAAAGCCTTGACCTGTACTACAGTGTGTGTAGTCAGTATCTCTACTCACCATGTAGCTGACCATGATACTCCCAAACGATCCTCTCTGTCGGCCAATCTTTATGTTGATCACCTCCGTGAATGTCTTCTCAATCACCTGACGAGGTGATGCCTGAGAGATCGGTGAATGCAAATAATGGTGATATATTAATCTCTCCAGGATTATGTTGCTGAACAGTGCTACTATGCTTTCTTTGCCAACTTCTAACTTTATCTCTGAACATTCATGGTGATAGGCATGTGGAGGACATTTCCAAATAGGATGCATCAGTTTTAAAAATGTGTGATGCAATTCCCTATCTTGGCTTGTAGCAAATGTTCCCGTGTTCTTTTCAGGAGAACTATTGACTTGCCTTTCCATGTGTTTGTGACAGATGCCACAGGTGGGGCAGAATATTTTCATGTTTTCACAAACACCTGGTGTCATCACTATTTGATAGTGATTCATAAATACATGCTCATAGAATGGAAGGAATCATACAATGGACTCCAATTTTGGCTTGGAAAGGGTTTTGTCCCTTTAATTTACAATTGGGAACATTTGATAACAGCATTATCTCTTGTTAATCAGGAAATTTACTAACTAAAACAAAATCATTGTGAACAACACTACCTGGAACTACAGGGTATTACTGTATGTCTCAAAAAAATCCTACACAAGGAATATGCTCCATACCTATAAAACACTACTTAAAGATCTGCATGAACGAGCGCTTGCATGACTATCAATACTTCTTAAGGTTAATGAATGAGTTATGAGGCAGCTATCAAAAATAAACACCTCTCTTGAAGAATGTTACCAATCTTTTATTTAGGATACCACTTTCTTAGTAAAGTATAGATTCTACTACTTTCAGAGTGAGACACCTAATTGCCAGCACACAAAGTCGGTGATCTAACCAACTCAGCCACCGAGGCTTCCACAAAATGGAAGTTTGACAACTGGTAGTCTAGATCACTTTGTGTACCACTCTGACATGTAGAAATTGGTATGGCTCCAATGGCCTAAAACTATGAACACACAATGCCATTAAGAAAGTGGTCAAATGTAAAAAATGTTATATTTGGGATACCACTTTCTTAGTAAAGTACAGATTCTTGTACTTTTTTGGTTGAGTCCCATCCAGGATTCGAACCCAAACTGTCAGAGTGAGGCACCTAATTGCCAGCACACAAAGTCAGCGATCTAACCCACTCAGCCACCGAGGCTTCCACAAAATGAAAGTCCGACATAGTTCATGTACTTTGTGTACCCCTCTGACAAGTAGAAATTGGCATGGCTACCATGGCCGAAAGCTATGAACACACAATACCATTTAGAAAGTGGCCAAAATTTTACAAAATCAAATTCATATCTTTTCACGGAATTTGAATAACAAGTGTATTACCTCAGTGAAGCCAAAGACACCATAAGCATCATCATTGGCCAGAATGGTGACCCGCGTCTGTGAAGGATCGACAGCAATGGCTGCTCTGCCCACTATGGTGATTTGCAGGATGCTAACTTCATCAGCCTCTGCCTCATCGTCATCTCTAACTGTGAAGGTCACGGCCACTGTGTCGGAACCAGTTGGCGTGAACCGTGCAACTTGAGTGTCTCCGATAAAATCATCGCTGAGATCACTTTCAATCTACACAAATGAGGAATTGTTAATACCTTGCAGAGATACATCACTTCTCATTCATAACTAAGTAATACATGCCTATCACATTCTCTATATTCATAAACATTTTTTTCAAAATGATTTTAAGTAAATAGGTTCTTAAGTAAACTGAAATCATGTATATCCAACAACAGCTCTTCCAGCTCAGAAACATTAAATCAAGAGTGAAGATTATGATACTTGTTTGTTCTATAACATCTGTTGTGTTTATAGTTGAAACCATCAAAAATAAATAATACAACAGATTAAATGACAATTAATAGAAAACAACTTTCACAGACAGAGCTAATGTACAATTGCTGACACATCTTTGATTGAATGATAAATGCTATTCTGTGTCATTGACTTTATTATTTGTTTAACACCTTGTAAATGTGTCAAAATTCATGACAAATTCAATCACACAATATTGAAACAACAAAATAAATATGACCACTTGGAGGTACCGACATCCACTAACAATGAAGGTTAAGCCATTGAAGTTTGAAGATACACAGAGATGTACCAGGACAAATTGTAAGTTAGCAATAACCTACAAATGTACAATGTGCCATCACTTGCATTAATGAAATGAGCCGATAATGGCAAAAACTATCTCTAGTGAAGGAAAATGATGAAAAGGGTAAAATGGGAAGGAAAACTATGGCTAAAGAATTAGTCTCTAAAAAAACATACATGTATCAGAATCTTTATTGTTATGCACAGCTATATGATTTATGTTTAATAAATCTATATCGCCAGTGTGCGATGAGGACACAGTGACAGTGACACAAGGTTCGGTGCATGAACACAGTTGATCATGCGAGTGCAAATACACAAAGAGTGGATTACGTCATGTCACTCTGAATCAATGCCAGGTGTTGAATAGTTTCATAGGGCTGGGATATGTCCTTATCATAAAACATCTGATTAAAAAAGACTGAGGTTCTCTAACAGTGAAGATAAATTAAATTGAAAATTTTTATTCATAAAACTTAGTATAACTTCCTGTTTGATGGATTTCTTGGTCAGTTGGTGAAGAATCAGGAAGCAATATAATTGAACAAAGAAACTTGTCCATCCATCCATCCAACTATCTATCTATCTATCCATCCATCCAACCATCCATCCATCTATCCAGCCAACCATCTATCTATCCATCCATCCATCTATCCATCCAACCATCAAACCATCTATCTATCTATCCATCCATCTATCCAACCATCTATCTATCCATCAATCCAACATCCATCCATCCAACCAACCAACCAACCAACCAACCAACCAACCAACCATCCATCCAACCACCCATCCATCAATCCATCCATCCATCCAACCATCCATCCATCCAACCATCCATCTATCCATCCATTACAAGCAAGGAATTTGGCCAAGAAGTTTTACTTCAACTTCAGGTATAGTAATGATCTGATAGCATTTAATAATGGTCAAACAGCTAATTCCCTTCCATTGATTTCCTGATTGAATTAGAAACAAAAGACACCAGTGAAACAGCCTCATCTGTTTCACATTGAGATCTTTGCTTAAAATTCAGCGTGACAAAAAACTATGTACGACAAGCGGGATGACCTCAACTTTCCAAAAATCAATTTTCCCTTCATGTCGAGCAATATTCCAGCAACTCCAGCCTATGGTGTCTTATTTCACAACTTTTGAGGTTAACAATCGAGTACGCTCTTCAGATGAAATCATATTACTCTCGCCCAAAAAATGTTTGATCAAGGTTGATCGGAGTCCTAGAAGAGCTTTCAAAAGATTGTATGGTAGACATGTTGGGGGCATTTCCAAATTTGATGCATCAGTGATAAAGAAAATGTCAGATGCAATTCCTATTTTGACGTGTACCATATGTTCCCATGTTTATTTAGGAGAACAACTGACTTGCCTTTGAATGTGTTTGTGATGGGTGACACCTGGGGGTCAGGATATGTTCACCTTTTCACTAACACCTGGTGTCATCACTATTTGATAGAGTGTCTTCAGCATGCTTATGATATACAATGAACTCTGCTTTGAGCAGAGATTTCTTATAATTATTGAAATGGTTTCATTGCTTTTATTTGAGATAGAGATACTTGTTAATTTCCAGTACAGCATCACTGTAAAAATGTATGTTTCATTGGACATCTAATCAAATACGGATCCTACAAGCACTGGAGTAAGACATACAGAAATCAGTAAATTAAAACAATCGCAAACAACATTCACTGGTGTGAAATCCATTACAGACAAAAATGTTACTGCTATAAGGTGCACACTACTTTAACAATTTGGGCAAGGCATTATACACAGCATAGCAACATACACACATGACAACAACTGGCTGAAGTGAGAACCATAAGGCTCTGTAGCTCACCTGCTAACAATACATATGGTTTTAGGATGTTCACAAAACATTGTTCGAGATTTTTAAAATTGTCAAAAACTACACAACAGGGTTTGTCCATTAATTATATAAATTAGTTACAACTTCGTTTTGACTATAATGCTACTGATAGATATTCTTGTTAACTTCACATACTGCATCACTGTAAGGGTGAATGTTTTATTGGACGTGAAGCAAATATGGAAGCATTGAACTGGAGAAAAACACCAAAATTCAATGTAAATATGATATTTGCACAGTTGTCAAATCCATTTAAAACTTTCAGTTGTTTTCATAAATGTAATTATTTACCCAGATGCTTCTGGGCAACATGCCAAAACATTTCTTCACATGGACCTTAAGTCTGTGAAATCGTACAAAGATGATCTAGTTTGTTTGCCGTTCCAACCAACTAATCCATTGTAATCAGATCATCATGGCCTGAAAGACAGTGCCTTGTAATTCTGGGAGACAACTTAAACCATGTTTATTAACAGTCTTGAAGACTTTTACAAAAAACAACTTTTGACATCGGATAAAAATATTCACTGCTCATATCTTGTTTCTGATTCTGATAACAGATGCTGATACAGATAGATAAATGGCAAGTTACCATAATGTTTGTCTTTGACACTGGATTGGTTTCAACATTTCTGTCAAGATTTCATGAATTATGGATGGTTTGGTGCAAACAAATGGGTAAACGAACTATTCATAGGATAAAATAATCTTAAAGGGACTTTGGTGAGTAAACAAATATCAGATACAAACTTACTGGTTTCTTAATCTAAAATATGAAAGGTGAATAAGAAAATTACTCAGAATTCTAAACTCATCAGTAAAAACTCCTACCACTAAATACAAACATTTCACATATCATTATGTATTCAATGGTTCTTGTTTTAAAACCGAGGTACACTCCAGGAACACATAAACCTTACTGGATGACAACTTTGTTTTGCCAGACATATTTTATCATGTTTATTTATTTTTTTTCAATTTCATTTCCTCTCCTACTGTTTTTCACATGTCTATCAAAGATATAAATTATCTTTAATGAAATATACCCAATCTTAGAGGTTTTCCTGGTATAGTACAGAAATTATTCAGTAACCACGGTGATGGCAGAATGTAACATATGAAACTGTTTTGCTAAGTGTTTTCTTAAAATCTAACACTTCATACTTGTATAGTAGAATCTAAAGTCTAAAGTCATCTAAAGATGATGATTTCTAGGTTTTGTGTTACTGAAACTAATGTCACTTATGAATGATATATAGTTACATACATGGAAGCTTGCTTAATAAAGTGGTTGTTTCAATGAGTAGTTCTTCAATATATTTCAGAATAATGTTTGCTTGCAATATAAAGTAATGAATATAAAACAATTAATTTGCTACATTGAAATAGAAATGAGAATAGATACACAGTGTTCAAAATTAAGTGGAAACGTTTTGTCCTTGAGGTTTGCTCTGATAGTATATAATATGGGATCATCTGAACCATTAACTTTCAACAATAGCATATGACCAGAACCCTGGACTTGCATGCTTACTTTCAAACACTGAGTATATTTATTCATATTATTTGAAGAGCTCCCCTTTATAATGTTTCTTTTTATGCTTTGGGGTTTAAAAAAATCATCATATTGATGAGACTTTATTATTCATTATCATTTAGAATTGTACATTAAATGAAAAGCGGTGAATCGACCTTGACTTGTTCCTAGAAATGAATATTGCAATGCCACAGTTTCCCGCCCTTCCTGTATACAAGAACAATACATTCAACTTTGTCAAAGACAGTCCATTACTCCAGTCGGTTTGCTGTTGCTGTGCCATAATGGCATATAGTACAAAGCACATTAAAATACCATAACATACATGTATGTGTGACATGAACTGAGCTACAGTGTTTGAAAATTATTGTTGTTCAAAGGATCACGACAAGATTTTTCCATTAATATATACATTAGTTGGTACTTTGTACAAAATGGCTGTCTTTCTGGAGTACCATTTGCAGACATTATCATTATCTGAAAATGATGCAGAAATCATCGATGAGGCATGGAAACTTTGGCTATTTTTGTCGCTGTATTTTAACGATACAGTTAAGCTCAAGATTGAAATATCATTACCTTCTAATATCAAACATTATTCTTCCATTACTGCTGCCCAGCAATAGAACATATCTATGAAATCATAAAGCAGGCATGAAAGTTTCAGGTCCTGCATTATTTTCAAACATCCATGGTATGTTCATTTAACCAAAGGAGAATCTAATTAACATTGTGTTAGTAGCATCAAATGTATTATTGACGGTACACTTTTGTCATAAAACTGTGTTTGCTATTTACATGATAAAGGGATTGTGTTATATGGCTATTATCTTGAAACTGTGACTTCTCTAATGTTGCATATGCTTTAACTGCATTGTATATGTACACTTAAACTTCCTTGACATTTAAAGTTCTGGTCTTTTAAGGGAAATGTCCATTTTTGTCATTTCTGTCAGAATCAGACTAAATTTAATTTTTTTTTATTTCATTTTTCATCTGGAAATTGATTGTATGAAATATCAACATGCATGTATGGTATGATCTGCTCTATATAAAATCAAATTGTCATCCATAAAGTTCCATGTCTCCCTCTACAAACAACTGGTTTCTAATATATCTCTTTGCAATGATCAACATGATAATTAAGGTATCATTATTTCAGGAACAAGCAATTTCATTATTCTTTTAACAAACACAATAGCAAATAGCTTAAGATATTTTTGTTAATATTCCATCATGAGCAAACTCTCTGTTAACTCATTGTTCGAAATGTTATTGATAATAGTGATGATGATGATGATGATGATGATGATGATGATGATGATGTTAACATTATGATGATGATGAGATCAAAATGAAAGGATACTTACTGCAACAATAACAACCAACTCAGAAGTTATGGATCCAGTTCTTTGCACCCGCAGGTCAAACTGATCACCCTCCTTCACAATGAGGTTTGTATCCAAGAACCGGACTGTTGCTTGCCCCGTCACCGTGAACACAAACAGGGCCATGAATATGACCAGTTGACGAATGAAAGACATCATCCTGTAAAAAGGAACATCAACTTTCTTATAATGAAACATTGATGCGGCCAGTGCTTGTAAAAACAAATGTAGACTTTCATGAAGTCACTCGACTCTTGGGAACTAGACTCTGCTTATGACACAAGCCCAGATAACTACCGGTAGATATTTTCTTGTCTCCTTCAGATTTCTTTCAGTAGTGCAAAGACAATCACAACTCCCATACTTTAACATACACTTACGACAGTGCCGTAGTGCTACGATCGCTCTGTGGAATGGAACCTTGGTGATTAATTGGTAGTGATCATATCAACCAACATTGAACGTGTTAATAACATGTTAATTATGCATGTCCAATTAACCACAGTAACTCCTGTTGCTTTTAGTCCACTTCACGCCTGTGTATTTATGCAATCATATGACACAGCATTTGTAAGGAAAACATTACAATCACTCAGGCTGGATAAGTTGACACTTTCTGCTGAGTCACTTCACACATACCGTATTCGACGTAATAAACGCCCCGCTCTAATAAGCGCCCATGGCGATATTTGCTGATATATTGGCTAGTGAACAATCCCAATTAGCACCCCTTTCGATTAATCAATGTACACAAGACCTATTTATTTGCGTATAATATGCACTTGTGTGTAATATGCACCCTCAATTATGGGCAATTAAATTCTGGAAAAATATATCTGTCGTATATAAACATTTCAGGCTGTCAGCATAAACCACAAAATTTATCTTTCAACTCTGTTTTTTTCACCAAAATAATATTCTAATAAGAGCCCCCTATTACTAATTTTGAGAGTGCCCTGGGCGCTTATTACGTCGAATAAGGTATAACACACAAGTTGACCATGACAAGGAGAATATTATGGACACAACTTCTTCATCATACTCAATGTTTCATGGCGACTTCTTGCTACTTCTATGGGAGGCCATTCGGTAAAAAAAACCCATCAGTTGAAATAAAGTATGCATTAATTGTCAAATGTTACAAATAAAGTATTAAATGTTACTAGTAAAGGTCAAAATACAAATCAAATAGATGCAGAGCTCCAGATAAGCTGCGTATCTGCGTAAAATAAGCATAAAAAATGCAGAAATATGCAGTAAAATAAAATCCAAGCGTATCAAATACGCAACGAACATTACAGATTCGCTACAAAAATAAAACTTGTGCGTATCATCAAAATATTGTGAAGTAACCCTGCGTATTCGATTAGCAAATCAGCAACTTATTTTGAAATTATAAACGGACATTCCGTCAACCTTGCCAAACTCCACAATGACAGTTACATCATGATCATTTGCCATCACACTTTCTTGTGGAAGTATCGTGGTATTTTTGAGTCCTATAAAGCTCTTGAACCCACACGACACCAGTATGCAGGGACTAGATGAATAGTGTTTTTAAATATTTGACTTAAATACCCACATGTGTAAAAACTTGTGGGTAACAGAAATTTGAATACCCAGATAGAATTACTGATACCCAATGATTTTAAAATGCATGGGTAAAATACCCACAACACCAAAAGCTTATCTGGAGCTCTGTAGATGCCATATATAAGAGAGAATAATGTACAATTCTACGCACACAAAAGGACGCCAAATGCGAAAGGACAAAGTTGCTCATTGTCAACATTTATCATAAACACAGCAGAAGAAGCCGACTGCCTCATTCATTCACCTGATGAAGGTGTATGCACATACAGTAGAACACGGATATAACGAACACGGATATAGCGAACAAACGGATACAACGAACTGTTAAAAAATCCCCGATTTATCTCCTATATAATATCATATAAAATTTACGTATATAACGAACTCTCTATAGCGAACTAACGGATACAGCGAACTGATACCTGATCACCGACAAGCCCATTTATCACTTATTAGCGACGTGTATAGCGAACTGAGAAATCTCACTCAGTGTCAAGTGTCACTGACAATTGGCTGTACTCAATCAGCGGCGAATCAAAACAATGGCGGCGAATCAATACAATCAGTGGTGACTGATCAACCTTGTTAAATTTGCATTGTGTTAATCTTACCTGTACATGTAATCTTGTCTGTAAAACAAACAGTTTTTGACAGTTTGGCGGATCTGAACGATGCCGTTTCAAGAATGCAGTCAGCGAAACGAGGCCAAAGTAAAATCACAGACTACACATTTCGTATGTAAATCGAAAAATGATAAATATGTTTAAATTTTGTACATGTATTTGATAACAATCTTCAGAAAATGTTATGAATTTAATGTTATTAAATGAATGTTGTAAATTGAATTCAGTTGAATGATCACTGCTAATACAAATCAATCCTGCAGTTACGTGTGTATTTTGTTTTGTCTTATCCAAGATGGCGGACGTTTCCGAGCGAAAACGTGTATAACGAACAACGGATATAACGAACTGATTTCTCTGGTCCCTAGTAGTTCGTTATATCCGTGTTCTACTGTACTCCAAAACATTGTGTTTCTCATAATAAAGAAGTTGACATCCATAGATTCTATTCTTTATGTGTACTGGTATCACTTCTAAATGCCTCTCAAAGACTTGCAATTGGAATGTTGTCACAAATTGCAGCGCCATCTGAATGAATGGCCAAGAACACAGTAGGCACAACAATGTTGAATCAATATTAGAAAAATCTCACATTTCAACATGTTATTATCTTCAAATATTGAAAGGGCTTGAATGTTGAAACAATGTTGATACAATGTTTTTCAATTTAAAAGTCTCAGATCAACCGAATTTCAACTCTGGAACAATATCGTGTGCTTGCTTGGAAGAAGACCTGGGCCCCGTTCCACAAAGCGATATTAGCGCTAAGATGATCGTAACTCCCATACTTTAACATAGGCTTACGATTATCGTAGCGCTAAGATAGGCTTGTGGATTGGGGCCCTGAAACTTTGTGTATGTACATCCTACAGAAGATGTTTTCCAAAAATACTCCATCTCGTGACTACATGCAGCTTCCCAATGCCTATAACGACTCTCAATAGTTGACTATGCAATCATTTGTTCCCAATGAATTCTGAAACCGACAAACTATGTACATATGTTTATATATTTAGTGAGACAGTTTGATACTTAAAGATGTATTGTTTTGTCACAAAGTGTCTCACTAAACCACAATGTACCAGTGTGGGATCAAACCCAGAAACCTAGCAAGACAAATACATAATTTACCCACATATTATACTGAATACAATCCAAACTGTAGCTAAATGCTGAATATAACCTAAAAAGTTAGCCAAATGTTGAATATAACCCAAACTGTAGCTAAATGCTAAATATAACCCAAACTTTAGCTAAATATTGAATATAACCTAAACTGTAGCTAAATGCTGAATATAATCTAAAACTGTAGCTACATGGTGAATATAACCTAAAACTGTAGCTATATTGTTCAATGTAATCTAAAACTGTAGCTAAATGCTGACTATAACCCAAAACTGTGGCTAAATGATTTATATCACCAAAACTGTGGCTAAATGATTTATATCACCAAAACTGTGGCTAAATGATTTATATCACCAAAACTGTAGCTAAATGATTTATATCACCAAAACTGTAGCTAAATGCTGAATATAACCTAAAACTATAGCTAAACGCTGAATATAACCTAAAACTGTAGCTAAACTATGAATATAACCTAAAACTATAGCTTAATGCTGAATATAACCTAAAACTGTAGCTAAACTATGAATATCACTCAAAGCTGCATCGAAATGCAAAAGGTAACCCAAAACTGTTGCTGAAAAGACAGTCATTCCATACAAGCCAGACTAGGGTGGAGTGAGTTATGAGCATGCATTGTCATATTCAATATCTACGTGACAAGCTGAACAATAATGCACCTTGAAATATAATCAATTGAATAATTTACCAGATGGGACATATATATTGATTACAATTTGTATGGGAGAAATTACCATGTGCAGCCCTATTTAGGAGTCGGCCATCAGTAGATGCCCTCTCCCAGTCTAATTGAATGGCACAAGGTGTTACTGTAAGATTAACAATTGATAATGAGTACCGCTATTATTCATCATTATTAGTATTCCTTATGAATGTACAAATTTTCCACCTGTATACTCATAGTGTGCCAATTGTCATGTCAAGGTTTTGTTTTAATCTAACTGTCCAAAAAAACATAATAATAAGATTTTTATCTTTTATGCAAAAATGAGATGCATGCACATTATATTTAACTATCTTTGAATTAGCTGTATCATTCCAGCTATGCCATCTAGCAGATCAAATTGTCCTAAAATAAAATTTATGTTGGTGTGCGATGAAAAATAATCAGCCCTTTGTTATATCTAAGTTCCACTATTAACACCTCGATCATCCAGAGTGTTATATTTCTATTCTATTAAATACCCTACACCCATTCACTGCTATAGTTTTGTTTTGAGCCTTGTCAGAGGGCACAATGTTAAAAATAGCCATCCAATCAAAATATTCTCATAAGCAAAATAAAGTCTCTGCTAAGTTCAAACTTATATGAGCAATGGAGGTTGTGAAATCTTTTCTGAAACGAAGCTATGGTAGTTATTTTCCATTTCATAAAAATAGAATGGCGATATAACACACATGATAATCCAGGATGCAAAAGCTAAAATGAAACATACAGACCGAAAAAACGAATGAGTCCTTTATCAAGGAATCATTAAATTGTTGGCCAAATTATGAAAACAAAAATCTTTTAGAATGTCTTATATCAGCAAAATTGACAGTGGATGTACACTGTCTTAGGTAATGAGTGTAAACTATTTCTAAATGCTTGATCATAATATTAATTGATTAGAGACAGAGACACATTTAACACTAGGACACAATTCCCAAAGATGCCTACCTAGATGCCATGTTGTGTTTACTCTCAGCTCTTGTATCAGCTGCGGGAATCCATCTGGTCCTAAACTGTAGCTGGATGGACGACTCTTCAGGACTTCTGGCCTTCCTCACTGGAAAAAGTGATACCATTATTGAATATTGATTATTCATCATTCAAATTATTCAAGTCATGCATTGCTCATTTCAGTATTAAGCTTTATCACTCAGCCCTGCCAATATTCAAGGTATAGAAGCCTTAAATTTACATAAAGACGTCATCTATCTTTCATATGAACAAATAATCCAAAAGACTAGTTTCTGTTAGAATAGGAATGAAATCATCCTGGTGTTGTATGTTTCATTTAGATTTGGAACTGTCAGAATACTTTATATGGTGTTTCTTAACAACCCACAATAGACTTAATATTTAGTGGCTGACCATTTGATATTTTGATAATTTGACCCCCAGATTTACCTCCCCACTCTTCAAAAACATTGCAAAATTGTCTGGTAGGGCCAAAAAAATTGTGACGTAGGTAAAAGGAAAATGTCTTGTAGGTTCCCATAAAACTGTTTAGAAGCCCCCCACCCCCACCCCCAACTTGTTTTTCTCCTCCTTGAAAAGATCGAATTGAAGAAATGGCACATGACCTTTTTTCTTCCTGCCCAGTGAATGTTATAATACTCAAACTATCGTATTCGATGTAAAAAGCGTCCCGCTCTAAGAAGCGCCCACGGCGATATTTGCTGATATATTGGCTAGTGAACAATCCCAATTAGCACCCCTTCCAATTGATCAATGTACACAAGACCTATTTATTCGTGTATAATACGCACTCGTATGTAATATGCACCCTCAATTATGGGCAATTAAATTCTGGAAAAATATATCTGTCGAACATAAACATTTCAGGCTGTCACTATAAACAACAAAATTTATCTTTCAACTCTGTTTTTTTCACCAACATAATATTCTAATAAGAGCCCCCTATTTCTAATTTTGAGAACATCCTGGGCGCTTATTAAGTCGAATACGGTAAGTAAATGTGGAAATGAATGCGACCGATTTACGTGTTGCCCCAAATACTTTTATATATTTCATTGACCAACAAGTCTCTTATGGGGTAAATATATAAACAACAATATTTTGCCCGACGGCCCTGAAGGTTTACGAAAAACCCATGTCTCTAAATGTAAGGTCCTTATTATAAAGTATTCATTGGGTAAACATTGTTTTCATACTCTACATAGAATCTACACCTTATTTTACACAAAAAAGTAACATATGTAAACTGCTGTGAAAAAGAAAATGTACACTCATGTTTGAAGGTGGCTAAAAATTAAATATACGGAATATATATCTATTTCATGAGGCCTCAAATTGTAAAAAAGATACTTGCAAATGCCATTTTTATAGAATTAAATGATAGAGACAGGTGTACTTCTGTTATATAAAAGTATTCTTCTATCAATTTTCCAGAACATTACAGGGTCATGGGTGACAAAGTTGTCTTAGGCGCCTCAGGTTACTGTGCAGAGTTGTGTCCCTTGGGCACGCCAGAACCCTGTGATTGTGGGTTATGTTTCTATGTTTGTCAGCATCATTCTTGTGCTTGTGGGTTTCAACAAAGTGGTAAATATCTAAGACCTACATCTCTTCAGGCTTTCCTCCCACATCAAGCTGACACACCATGATATAACGGTTCAAAGAGGCATTAAACACAAATCACTCACTCACTCAGAACATCTCGATAATGTTGTTTAATATATTCTTTATGTTTGCGAAATATTTCCTTTCATGTTGTGAAACAATTTCTTCAAAGTTGTGAAGTAGTTTTCTTTAAGATGTTGTTTTTAGTTTAGAAAGATTACCGGAACAATGTTTGACTATGTGAATATACTTCAACCATTTGTTAGACTGCTTTAGAACCTGGACGGCACTAATGCAGGCATATGCAGTTTCATACCATGAAACATGACACTGTGTAAATCAACAGATGTGTTCTATGGTGTACATCATATATGACAGCTTTCCAAAATCACACAAAACATTGTATTGCGCAGTCCGATAGGTCACAGCGAAAACATGCTGCTGTTTTGAAACTGATATATGGAAACATTTGAGAAGAAAACCAAACTGTCAACAAGCGGAGTCCTGGGTATGAATATGTTGAATAGTCTTGGTTTGTTGGAACCATATATTGTTTGGTGTCACAAAAGTGACAACTATTTTCAACAAACCTCGAATTTCCTTCAATATTAAGCCCACGCTCTGTGAGATGACTAAAATATGATTCAAATGATGTCAAACTCAACTCACTCACTTGTGGGAATCACTGAATAAAAGCGACAAAACCCTTTCCATATATCACTACTAAAAGAAGTGTCCATTGTACGATGTTGATTTTATCACAAGCAGGTGTTCATTAATCACTATCAAAGAGTGATGACACCAGGTGTTCATCCAAGACCTGCATCACCTCGGTCTTTCCTACCATAGCTGGCATGCTGTGATATCAGTGAAACACTGGAAAACTTTCACTCATTTTCACGGGGGCACGGATGGCCCAGTCGTCGATGGCGCCACGATTCGCTGTGCAGAATTGCATCCCTTGGGCATGCCAGAAACCTATGATTGTGGGTTCGAATCCCGGTTCGCCCCGATTATGTTTCTAGGTTTGTCAGCACCATACCCGTGCTCGTGGGTTTCACCGAAGTGGTAAACGTCTGTGACCTGCATCACTTCGGGCTTTCCTCCCACATTAAGCTGACACGCCGTGATATTACTGGAATACTTTTAAAAGCGGCGTTAAACCCAACTCACTCACTCACTCACTCATTTTCACCTTAGTCTGTATATACATTTTCAACATTTCACCAATTTCAACGTGTTGATTCCCAAGGAAAACCTTGAGAATATAAACATGGGCATTAATTCAGGTTTGGGCAAGTATAGCCATGACACAAGCATATGGGACTTCTTGTCTCCGAAATCTAGTTACTCTACATCAGTAAATAGCCAGAAATGAGTTCTTGGCCCACTTGCACAAAGTAATCTTAGCGCTTAACACCCATACTCTAACATAGGCTTACAATAGTCATAGCGCTAAGATGATTGTAACACCCATACTCTAACATAGGCTTACAATAGTCATAGGGCTAAGATGATTGTAACACCCATACTTTAACATAGGCTTACAATAGTCATAGCGCTAAGATGATTGTAACACTCATACTTTAACATAGGCTTACAATAGTCATAGCGCTAAGATGATTGCAACACCCATACTTTAACATGGGCTTACAATAGTCATAGGGCTAAGATGATTGTAACACCCATACTCTAACATAGGCTTACAATAGTCATAGCGCTAAGATGATTGTAACACCCATACTCTAACATAGGCTTACAATAGTCATAGGGCTAAGATGATTGTAACACCCATACTCTAACATAGGCTTACAATAGTCATAGGGCTAAGATGATTGTAACACCCATACTCTAACATAGGCTTACAATAGTCATAGCGCTAAGATGATTGTAACACCCATACTCTAACATAGGCTTACAATAGTCATAGCGCTAAGATGATTGCAACACCCATACTTTAACATGGGCTTACAATAGTCATAGTGCTAAGATGATTGTAACACCCATACTTTAACATAGGCTTACAATAGTCATAGCGCTAAGATGATTGTAACACCCATACTCTAACATAGGCTTACAATAGTCATAGCGCTAAGATGATTGTAACACCCATACTTTAACATAGGCTTAGATCGCTAAGATCGCTTTGTGCAAGTGGGCCCTGGATTAGTATCTAACTCAAGGCATCTTCCCCTGCAATTCAGATTCAATGATGAGCTGCCATCGTGTGGCGGGAATACATTGCAGGGTTCAACATTAGACAACAAACAAACAGTTACTTTTTCATGATACATCTTGTGTGAGTGGCAGGTACAACTGGTAGAGCAGGACTTATTCTCTTCACGAACACCTGGTGTCATCACCGATTCACATACTTTTCATTATTTGGCTTCTAATGCCCAGTGGTATCTGTTTTGTCAGATAATCAATTCTCTGGCATTGACGTTTCATATTTATAAATTGTAGCAGTAATATCCACGCCTGATACAGGACATTATGAAACAAATGAAGTTCAGCTTGATTCATGGTGCAGTGGTTGCAGGGGTTATATTTACATCCCTTACGATGATGGAGAACATGGCATAATGTCCCTTGACCAAGGCAAGTCTGTATCATGTGAATCTAGCACTTGGTCAGGTATTCTGACTGCTGCTGAAAGATACTCTTACTTCTTGCCCTGAATGTTACATCACTTCAGATACTTGTTTTCTGCACATTCTGTTTGACTGGTCAAACTATAATCTTGTATCATCGTATGCTTGGCTACAAATGGAGATCAATAACAAGCAATCTCTATATCACAGTATTATTTCAGTGACTTACAATTTGTAAGTTACTGGTATAAAATAATCTTACAGTAAATAGTTCATTAAAAGAAATGATGAAATCAGAACCGTTCTACCATGTCTACACATCTTTAAAACATATTCTGAGAAACAATAAGTTTACTTAAAATGGCCTTAAAACCATTGCTGACATGATGTTTTAAAGTTTGTCAACGGTAATCTAAGAAATGGTATTCATGTCAATAATGAATGAAAACCACAGACAATAACAGAGCAACTAAATCTCAAAGTCAACATCCATATTAGGCCATTCAACAATGACAAAGCACTTTTTCAAACTTACATTTATCATGATTCCTTTAAGTTATTTTGAAAAAAATCATAAAAAATGAGTTAGCATTGCTCAAGTCCTACTTATAAAAACAGAGATAGGAGTATTTCTTAAAAATTGCACATCCAGGTAATGGACGCAGGGAATTAATCAAAACCATTTTCTTCAAGACACTGCACCACTTAGACATAGAATTAGTAAATAATGGACAGCCAAATACAAGATTTACAAATATGAAACACCTTAGCAAACCTAGGATTTCTAAATGATGATAAATATTACGATACAGAAGCAAGGTTTTATAAAGATGAAAACTAAATATCACTATACCTGATGCAGCTTCCCCATCAGAGGTACTATAGC